GTTTTCACCCTCTGTCCCTCAGCCCTGACCAAAGCTGGCTATAGCCCCCTGACTGGTGCTGGACGTGGGATGCTATCCTTTATGGTTTTCCCCCTCCCTGTCCACATCTTTGTCAGCAGTTTCTTATTAAACTGTCTGGCTCATGCCCTTGTCTCCTGCTGGGACCCTGACCAGCACAACCTTCCAGGAACCCACACCGCTTCTACCGTCTTTCACCAGTGTTATTCTCATCTACATGGTTACTTCTGACTCACCATATTCTGGCCCAAATGAAAAAATAAACAGAAGCTGTATTCATTTCCTATGGTTGCAGTAACCAATCACCACAAACATAGGGCTTAAAACATGACTTTACCTTGCAGTTCTGTGGATTCAAAGTCCAAGACAGGTCTCCCTCGGCTAAAGTCAAGGTGTCACAGGATCGAGTTCTTTTCTGCAACCAGTGGAGGAGAACTCCCTTCCCGGTTGTTTCCAGCTTCTAGGGTGCCTTCCCTCCAGCTTCGAAACCACCAGCATTGGCCAAGACCTTCCCCGGCTGGAGTCTCTCTCAAGGGCCTTTATGATTACATTGAGCCCACCTGGGTAATCCAGGCTGCTTGCCCGTGTCAAGATCAGCTGATTAGCGGACTAGCACCTCAATTCCAACTGCACTCCTAATTTCTCTTTGCCACAGAATATATGTATTACAGGTTACAGAGATGAGGATGTGGACATCTTTTGGGGGTCATTATTCTGCCTATCCCCTGGAGAAAGAAATGGCAACCCACTCCAGTACTCTTGCCTGGAAAATCCCATGGATGGAGGAGCCTGGTGGGCTACAGTCCATGGGGTTGCAAAGAGTCGGACACAACTGAGCAACTTCACTAACTACCTAACCTATTCTGCCTATCAGTGGACGAAGAGCTTCCTTTTATAAAAATTGAATTATAGTTGATTTACAATGTTGTGTTAGTTTCAGGTGTATAGCAGGGTGATTCAGTTACACATATATGTATACATCTATTTTTCAGATTCTTTTCCATTGTAGGTTATTACTAGATACTGAATATAGTTCCCTGTGTGATATAGTAGGTCCTTGTTGTTCATCAGTTTTATACATAGTAGTTTGTATTTATTAATCCAAAGTCCTAATTTATCTCATCCTCCCCTCCCTTTCCCCTTTGGTAACCATAAATTTGTTTTCTATGTCTCTGAGTCTATTTCTAAACAGCTTCCTTTTACGGTTGTATCCTTGAAATCACACTTATCTGACCAACATCCTGTTGGACAGAATTTAGTCCAAAGGTCACACCGAACTCCAAGGGTGGTTGAGAAATGTAGTGTAAGTAGGCAGCCCTGGGTCTGGTTAAACCATGGAGAGTTCTATTACCAAAAGAAGGAAGTGGGGTAATGAACAGCACTTTGTAGCCTGCGCCCTATATCAGGATCCTCTGTTCTTGCCAGGTTCTACTTTCCGTTTCCCTTCACTTCGTCTTGCCCCCTGGTGCTTTGGCTAGTTACCAAAGCCCTGAGCCAGCCTTTACCTGGAATTGTAGTTTCTAATATAGGAGAAGATAAGGAACTATTTCCTAAACGGACCTATCAGATACCTCATCATCACTTATCTCCTGGTCGCCATAATGATTTTCATGATCTTCATATCGAACTCACACGTGAGCTGTAAATGTTTCTAGATGGTCTCTGGTAACAGGGTTTCCTCACACTTACTGGCCCACCCATGTCCTGTGTGACCCACCCAGCCCATGGTCTAGCACCTTGCCTTAGCTCCCACATCCAGCATCCTAGATCCTATCCGCCCACCCCTGCTATTGAATCTTCTAGTCTGTCCCTACTGATCTGGTCACTACTCCCAGTAACTTTGGCTCCTGCCCTTCCCCTGACCCCTCCTCTTGATGTCAGAATTCAGCCGAGCTTTCTCTGTGTGGGTCCCTCATACATCAACAGACCTCCAAGTGTTGGGTGGATGATTTAGGAAAGTATTAGAAAAAATTATAATAGAGGCAAAGGAAATTGATACATACTGATGCCTGTAAGCATTTTATAGGAAGAATTAAAATGTATCTTCTTCTAATCATATTTTCAGTTGACTATCACCTATGGGTGCTTTACATACTCTAATTCTTTTTTGGCTACTTACATCGAATTATCTTTCTTAGATAGGAGGCTGAGCCATGCCTTATATCTGCATTGCTTAGGCAGAATCCATGGATCTAAAATCAAGAGTGGAAATATATGTGATGCTCCTCACAATTATGCCTAAATGACTCTAAGGCGAAATTTTACTTTCTGTACCCATGACATTAGGCTCTTGTCTCTAATGAAGTGTGTTTTCACTTAATGACATAATAGTTGTTCTACTGAATTGGAATGCATACCAATTTCCAGTTTTTCAGGCTCCTCATGCTAAATGATAAACAGGTTGCAAAAAATGGGGTGGGGGTGAGGGTGGATTGTAATAATTTCAATTGGATCTTGATTTTTAAAGGGAAATAGAGCTGTTGGGACACAGTGGCTAGAATCTGGACAGTCTAGTCCTGCCCTGTCCCAGAGGAAAACATAATAGCATTCTCCCCTATTCATGCAGGACCTTCCAAGACTCAGAATCCTCAGGAAAGAAGGTTTGGGTGATCCTACCTGGCAAAGGGATGTTTGCTGAAGACAGAACATAAAGAAAAATCAGAAATCCCCACTACAACTTCTTGAGTAGTTATAAAAATGAAGACTGTGACCTCCATCTGTGTTTCTCAATATGTGATGTTTTATAGGTACTTGTATTTTGTATAATAAAATACAAAATACATTTAACTTGTTAATCTATTGCCCCACGCCTGCTATTCTGTACTTAGCATATGTTGGTGGTGAAATTTGTTATTTTGATTATGAGTTCAGTACATCAAGATAGACTTACAACAGGAGTGGAAAAGAAATGGAGTTCAGCTGGAAACCCAGCTTGAGAGCTGGAGGCATTGAATGTGTGATGGGGGACCTTGGGTTGGTTCCTCTGAAGACATGGGACGTACTTTCAGATGGCTGAGCGAATGCAACGTTGTGTTTGGTGGAAATGCTTGTCTTTTAGAAGCTGGGATGAACAATGTATTATGGTATTAGAAAGCCAAAGAGGTAAGCTAGAATGGAAACTTGTGATTCTTTGTCGCCTGGCAGCAAAACTCTTCTTACTCTGGAAGAGTTCAAAGATAGGTGGAGGCCAAATTCCTTTTCTACTACCAAAGCCCAAGGGGGCAGACATTTTTCTCTTCTCACTCCCTGGCAGCCAGGGCACATGAAAAGGCTCAGCCAATTGGACACTTCCACCAGGGATGCTGAGTCATGAGAAAGTGACTCAAGGTGCAGAGACAGTTGGAAATGAACAGGATGGTGGAGAGTGTCTATCAGGGCCAGCCTGAGCATCCTTACTTGAGTGTCACCTGAGGTGTGATCTTGAACATACGTCCAGATGCATAACTGTCCTTGGGTACATTTTCTCCAGCTGTTTCTTTATTTTTTTTTTGCCTATATCTTTTTGGTAAAATTCCCTTTCTGCATGATAAACTATCGTTGGTTTTCAGGATTTGCAATCAAGGCAACTCACACTGGAAAATATCATAGCATTTGGATTTCTTTTGCTGTTAATTATTGGATTTCTTTCATTTTACCATAAATAGTGCTTTGGTGGATTATCCACAAAACTCCCCATCCCACCCCTCTGTTTAAGATTTTTTTCTTAATGTACAAGTTTCACTGGTCTTAGGTTAGATCTTGCTATGCACTGTCAAATTACTTTGCAATGTATAAGAGATACTGTATTCATTGAATCTTTGTCTTGGTCACATCTTGTACAATGGATACTGCAAGTAACAGAAGTGAAGATGATTTATCCGACATTACTGAGGAATCAGATTTTCCACCAATGTACATTTAAAAAAAAGATAACCAAAGCTTATTATTTTCAACACCAAAGTTTTGAAAGCATAACCACTTTTTAATCATAACCTGTCCAAAGTCATCACATAATTCCTAACCTCATCAAGCTGCAGTCCCTGGAGGACCACAGAAATGATGGGTTTATCTTTGCCTTTGCACTCACACTTGGTGACCCAGATCACAGTGCTTTATTCATGACTGGGGAATTTTCAGTCTCTCCAGAACTCAACAGCCTCCTCAGTCAGAGGATAGAAACTCTCCCCTCTTTAATCCTTTCTTTGCTCCATGGCCTATTACTTGTACAGTCTGCCCACAGAAAAGGTAGAGCAACTGATGTGGTTATTGCAAACAGATCACCATGCTTGCAAAATTAAGTCTAGCATTTGTACCAAGTTGAAAGTCAGTATCCCAGTGGGAAAGTTGGAGCATGTTCCACTCTCTATATGGGATAGAGATATTTTGTGATAGCTGCGTTCTTCGACTCTGGCTCATTCTGTGTGCCATTGGTGGAAATTTCCAAAAGTCCAAGTGCTAAATGTGTGAAGGATTATAATCATATATTTCAAGAGAGATTTCTGCGATGGTTGTTTCTGTAGAAAAGTTTCATCCCATTCTTCAGAATCACCAGGGAAACTGTGATTTTCCTTGGTAACCTACATCTAAAGAAATTTCATATTTATATGTAATCATAAAGCCCCTTTGTTGAATTTTTAAATCCATCTGTTAAGAGTCAGCCCTTAATGGAAATGGTTCCAGCTGATTTTTCTCTTTCATACTGATGTTTATTATTTCTTATTCACAAATGTGGGGCCAAATTCCCTTAAAATAATCCCTCTGAAGGAGAGCTTTCACAATGTGCTGTATTATATAACATACATGCAAAACAGGTTAATATGAAATAACAGATCCATTTTGAAATGAAATAATCTGAAACTAAACATGATCACTAGTCTTTTAAAAACAAGCATATTTTTACAGCAAACGTGCTAGCAGACAACTTATGAAAAGTAGCTCAATATTTATCTTACTTCCTCAATATTCCAACACTAGAATATTGTTCTAGTGTCATTTGGGGAAAACAGAATCCTTTGGTTGAGAGAATGACTACATAGGAAAGTGGGTGTAAAAACAAGTTACATTTTGAATTGTATGCATTTTATTCAGAATGGAATAAGAGTTTTACAGACAAAGCATATCCAAATAAAATATAGGACAATCTAGTATATGCCATCCATATTTATGCCATTCTAGTATTAGAGATATTGGTTTGGTTAAATTTATTTTTATCTTATTGTGTTAACATTTAATATGAGATTTACACTCATTGCTTTTTAAGTGTATAATATGTTATCACTGACTATATGTATAATATGCAGTAGACCTTTACAACGTACTCATCTTGCTTAATTGAAACATCTTGCCTGTTGATTAGAACTCCGCATTCCCCCAACCCCAAATGCTGGCAACTTATTTAACACTTAGGCCACTGGATTGAAATGAGTATAAATATCTACTTATTTATAGATTTACACTTGTAACATGCAAGTCATTATTTTTAAGCTATGAAAGGAAAGGAAGGCGAAAACAAAGTTTCCTGAAACTAGAGATGATCTCTTTTCTATTCCATTTCTATCCCGTACGAAGTGGCATTTCCTTGGCCAGACTTCACTCCCCAGCCACGCTGGGCTAGGAGAGGACTCAAAGGAGGAGGAAGAAAAGGCTGGCCATTTGTGCTTCTCAGCCTCAGCACAGCTCTTCAGGTTTGCTCATCAGAAGCCAGAAATGAAAGCACACATGATTTTGCATTTTAACCCCACCTAACTGTAGCAGGTAGCATAGTTATTTTCTCAGTCGACAATTTCATTTTTAATGGCAATGACTTGATCTTCCAACTGTTTCAGCTGATCAGCTTTTTCTTGTTTACTAAGATTCAAAGCTTGGATCTTCTTTTCCAAATCTTAAAGAAGAAAATGGAGGAAATATTTAATTAGGTCCCATTTATTTTTGCTTTTATTTTCATTACTCTAGAAGGTGGATCATAAAAGATCTTGCTGCAATTTATGTCAGAGAGTGTTCTGCCTATGTTTTCTTCTAAGAATTTTTATAGTATCCAGTCTTATGTTTTGGTCTTTAATCCATTCTGAGTTTCTTTTTGTGTATAGTGTTGGAGAATGTTCTAATTTCATTCTTTTACATGTAGCTGTCCAGTTTTCCCAGCACCACTTATTGAAGAGATTTTTTTTTTTCCCCATTGTATATTCTTGCCTTCTTTGTCATAGATTAGGTGACCATAGGTGCATGGGTTTATTTGGTCTTTCCATTCTGTTCCATTGGTCTATATTGTTTTTGTGCCAGTACCACATTGTTTTGATTATTGCAGCTTTGTAGTATAGTCTGACCTCAGGACACCTGATTCCTCCAGCTCCAATTTTCTTTCTCAAGATTACTTTGGCTGTTTGGGCTCTTTTGTGCTTCCATTCAAATTAAATATAGAGCTACTATTTGATTCAGCAATCCCACTCTTGGGCATATATTTGGAAGAAACCAAAATCTGAAAAAAATTCATGCATCCCAATGTTCACTGTAGCACTATTTACAATAGCCAGGACATGAAAGCCAACCTAAAAGTCTATCTACAGATGAATGGATAAAGAAGATGTGGTACATTTATACAAGGGAGTGTTGTTGTTGTTTAATCACTAAGTGTTATCTAACTTTTGTGACCCCATGGACTGTAGCCCACCAGGCTCCTCTGTCCATATTATTTTCCAGGCAAGAATATTGGAGTGGGTTGCCATTTCCTTCTCCAGGGGATCTTCCTGAGCCAGGGATCAAAACCATGTCTCCTGCATTGGCATTTGTGTGTGCCAAGTTGCTTCAGTCATGTCTGACTCTGTGCAACTCTATGAACTGTAGCCTGCCATGCTCCTCTGTCCATGGGACTCTCCAGGCATGAATATGGCAGTGGGTTGCCATGCCCTCCTCCAGGAGATATTCCCAACCCAGGGATCGGACCCACATCTCTTCTGTCTCCTGCATTAACAGGCAGATTCTTTACCACTGAGCCCCCAGGCACGCCCACAAGGGGATGTTACTTAGCCATAAAGAAGAACGAAATAATGCCATTTGCAGAAACATGGATGAACCTAGAGACCGTCACAGTGAATGGAGTAAGTCATAAAAAGACAGATATCATGATACCCCTTACATGTGGAATCACAAAATAGAAGCAGTCACAGACGTAGAAAACAAACATGGCCACCAAGGATGAAAGTAGGGGAAGGAAAACTGGGAGACTGGGATTGATGTAAATGCACTGCTATATATAAAATGGAAAACTAATAAGAACCTCCTGTATAGCACAGGGAACTCTACTCAATACTCTGTAACGACCTATTTGGGAGACGAATCTGCATGTTGATGTATAACTGATTCACTTTTCTCTACTGCAGAAACACAACATTGTAAATCAACTATATGCCAATAAAAATTAACTGAAAAAGAAAATGGATTAAATGATACCTTTCTATTTGATAGATTACTCCTAGATACCCCCATCATACAAAACACAGGGATTTATATTTCAGTTAAGGGCATATTTAGTTTTGTGGTTTGAGACATAAATCATTTATTTTCACCAGATTTCTCAAGGTTTTCACTCAAATCAGCAGATAAATTGGTATTTTTGTCTAAAGAGAAATAGATTTCATTAGAAATGAAGAGAGATGATGAGCTTTGGTTGGATACGGTGACTTACTGTTTTTCCCAAGGTTTATTTTTGCTATTTTAACTTCACTTTTTAAACAAGCTTCCCAATTTTTCAGTAAAAAAAGCCTGAAGATATTTTAAAAAACACGTATATTTCTTCATTCCTCTCTGATACTGAAGTCCCTGAACAGTAAAAGCAAAGTAGTGCCTTTTACTCTTATCCATCCTTTCATCTTATCTATGATTGCATAAATCCATCCACACACCCATCCATGAATTCATCCATGCATGCATCCATTCAAGCATTTACTTATCTGTTCTTTATCCAACAAATACTTGGGAATTATAGTAAACCATAATCAAGAGCTCATACAGTAGTGGATGAAAGAGGTAGAGAGAGCTACAGTTAACAGCGTGAGGTGGCCTTTAGAAAAGACACCGACCTTCTTCAGTGGAACTTCTAAAAGAAAGAAGTAAGTGTTTCACTTCACTTGGTTGTATCACAGGTGGATACTCAGGTTGTATCACATGTGGTTTGGGGTTACTGTCAAACTAGCATGTAGCATGTGTTTAGAATAACAAGCTAGACTGCTGAAGAAATATGAAACTGTCTTGTGAACAAAAGTTGAATTAACTGGCTATGCTTCAAACAAAGAAAGAAGATTCAGGATATGTACTATAGCTATTTTCAAGTACTTGTGGGCAGAAAAACAGAGTGTACACGTTTGGACATCCTGAGGACATAGCATAAAACCAGTACATGAAAGCTCCATGAAGGGATTTTGTCTGAATATAAAGAACTTTCCCTGGCGGTCCAGTGATTAAGACTCTATACTCTCAACACAGGGAGCATGGGTCTGATCCCTGGTTAGGATCAAACATGTTGCAAGGCACAGCCAGAAAACAAATGAACAACTTTCTAGTAGTCACAGCAGTTCAAAGACTAAGAAGCTGCTATGGTAGGTGATGAGCATTCTATCAATCACTAGAAACTTTCACATACAGGCCATTTGGGATTGAAGAGGGGTTTTAGCATTAGAAGACTATTTGTTCTAAGAGAAAAATATTAATAGATCCTGGTGTTTCTACCAAGTCATTTAATAAAAGCATGCTGGATACTCTTCATCTGCCCCACCAGATCCATTTCCCATCCTGCCTGTCCTGGAAAGCCAGCCTCCCTGGATGACATCACCTGGCTCCCTTGACCTCTGGCTTTCATTCACACTTGGCTGCCAGGCGGTTCTGAGAAGTGATGGGTGCGGGGGAGGGGAGTGAGCAGATTGCATCCCTGGGGAGCAGCAGAGTTCTGGCAGTTCTGCCATCTTTTGAGTCCAGCTCCTGCAAGGCAGCCTCCTCCCTTCTGCCCCGGTGTTCCCACGGCTGCTTTCCAGCACTCACACTCCTGCTTCTCGTGGTTCCTTCAGGGATGCTAATGGCTTCTCTGCTGGTCACCCAGGACCTCCATGCCCTTGTTGATGCCCTTAATTCCTACGCTTTAACTCTAGTGCCTTCCAACAAGAAATATAACCTATTTACCTTCTCCCCTCAAACCAGGTCTAGCTTTCTTTGCCAGATGTTTGGACCAATAGAAAGTGGAAGAAATGATGTTACTGGACCTCAAGAGACTTGTGCCTTCGATTCATTCTAATGGAACCCTGTAAACACCAGGCTGTCAAGCAACCTGAGCCGAAAGACCTGGTGGAGAGAGGCACAGCCAACCCTGGGCCCTGGCAGACCTACCAGTTGACCCATCAGCCAATGCAGCTGCTTGAGTAACACCACAGGAGAGACCCACAGAAAAACAGTGCATGCTTGTTATTCTAAGATGCTAAATTTGGGGAACAGTGTTTGTGATGCAATGAATAGATAACTGAGACAACTCTGCTTATAAACACATGATCCAGAAGTGCATCCAAGTGTGTTTTCATTTCTTGCTGGGATCCTGACTGACACAAAGCTCTGCGGAGGGATCCTGGCTGTAGACTGGGGCCCACTCTTCACTCTCTTCACTTTGACCTTGTCAAGTTAAGTCAGGGCTCCTTTCCCGAATCCCATGGGCCTCTCTTCCTAACAGATGGAATAGAATACAACCTTTGTGGTTCAGCCTGTTCCCAAGTGGCAGAGTTGGGAAGATGGCCAAACCACCATCTTATTTTCCTATCTTGTTGAGTTGTGAGCACAGCTTTAAAGTGAGAAGAAAGAAAGAAGTAGAAGGCATTATTTTTGGTCTCTCTGAGTAGATGTCCCCTGACTGAAACTTATCTTCCAACTTAATTTCAGGAACTGTGACAGTTTTAGTCTATGCGGGAAAGTGGAAACAATGTGGACCCTGACATAAAATATAAGACAGAAAGGATTCTCCCTGTGTTTTTGTTCCCATAACAGGGACCAAGGTCCGGGAATAATAGAAACTGATTCTTCATGGTATCACCCTTGGAGTTCAAGGTAAAGAAACATTTATCCTTTTGAATCTTAGTATTTATTTTTTAAATTATTAGGAAAATACTGAAAATGGAAAGAAGCTCACTACTTTAAAACAATTCTACAAATGTAAAAAGTAGTGTTTTCCTCTTCACCCGCCCCTTCCCCAGAGATCTCAAACAGTAAGAGTTTGGTGTTATTTTTCCTGACTTTGGCCCACACTGATGTTGCATTTTCATTTTTTTGCATGTCATAGCACGTATATAAATGGTTATAGGGCCAAAGACTCATTTTATAATTAGTTCAGTTCAGTTGCTCAGTTGTGTCCGACTTTGTGACCCCATGGACTGCAGCATGCCAGGCTTCCCTGTCCTTCACCAACTCCTGGAGCTTGCTCAAACCCATGTACATTGATTGAGTCAATGATGCCATCCAACCATCTCATCCCCTGTCATCCCCTTTTCCTCCTGCCTTCAATCTTTCCCAGCATCATGGTGTTTTCCAATGAGTCAGTTCTTTGCATCAGGTGGCCAAAGTACTGGAGTTTCAGTTTCAGCATCAGTCCTTACAAAGAATATTCAGGATTGATTTCCTCTAGAATTCAATGGTTTGATCTTGCAGTCCAAGGGACTCTCAAGAGTCTTCTCCAACAGCCCAGTTCAAAAGCATCAGTTCTTCAGCGCTCAGCTTTCTTTATAGTTCAACTCCAGTATCCTTGTCTAGAAAATCCCATAGACAGGAGCCTGGTGTGCTACAGTCCATGGGGTCACAAAGAGTCAGACACGACTGATCAATTAACACACAGACACACACACCCATACATGACTACTGGAAAAACCATAGCTTTGATTAGATGGACCTTTGTTGGCAAAGTTACGTCCCTGCTTTTTAATATGCTGTCTAGGTTGGTCATAACTTTTCTTCCAAGGAGCACGTGTCTTTTAGTTTCACGGCTGCAGTCACCATCTACAGTCCATGGGGTCACAAAGAGTCAGACACAACTGATCAATTAACACACAGACACACACACCCATACATGACTACTGGAAAAACCATAGCTTTGATTAGATGGACCTTTGTTGGCAAAGTTACATCCCTGCTTTTTAATATGTTGTCTAGGTTGGTCATAACTTTTCTTCCAAGGAGCACGTGTCTTTTAGTTTCACGGCTGCAGTCACCATCTGCAGTGATTTTGGAGCCCCAAAAATAAAGGCTCTCACTGTTTCCATTGTTTCCCCATCTATTTGCCATGAAGTGATGGGACCAGTTGCCATGATCTTAGTTTTTTAAATGTTGAGTTTTAAGCCAGCTTTTCCACTCTCCTCTTTCACTTTCATCAAGAGGCTCTTCAGTTCTTCTTTGCTTTCTGCCATAAGGGTGGTGTCATCTGTATATGAGGTTAGTGATATTTCTCCCTGCAATCCATTTTATAATAAAGAAGCCCTTATAAGTCAGGAGTTTCAATTATTTTAATATTTTGAGAGTTACTTATATTCCAAATGAATTTGGTTAACTTGACAGCATTTGTTGTTGTTCAGTTGCTAAGTGGTGTCTGACTCTTTGTGATCTCATGGACTGCAGCACTCCAGGCTTCCTTGTCCTTCACTATCTCCTGGAGCTTGCTTAAACTCATGTCCATTGATTAGATGATACCATCCAACCATCTCTTCCTCTGTCATCCCCTTCTCTTCTTGCCCTCAATGTTTCCCAGCATCAGGGTCTTTAGGAAACAATAAATACAACTAGCAGTAAAACTAAACCACTCATCATTTGATATTTCTTGATGACTTAGAGGTGGTTCAGGACATGATGACTGCCCAGAACAATAATAAGTATCAGCTATGGGAAAAGTAGACTGATTAACTTTTTAATTATATATGTTCTGTGTTTACACAACTATTTATTTACTTAACCTCTGATGTCTGATGGAAACTAATTCTTTAGCCAAAGTGGTCTATGTTTTTCTTGGTCCTTTGGCTTTTATTTATTTAAGTTAATTTTTATTGGAGTGTAGTTGCTTCGGGTTTCCCAGGTGGTGCAAGTGGTAAAGAATCTGCCTGCAATGCAGGAGACACCAGTTCGATCCCTGGTTGGGAAGATCCTCTGGAGTAGAAAATGGCAACCCACTCCAGTATTCTTGCCTGGAAAACTCCATGGACAGAGAAGCCTGGCGGGCTACAGTCCACGGGGTTGCAAACATTCAGTCATGACAGCATGCACGCACATAGTTGCTTTACAACGTTGCGCTAGTTTCTGCTGTAGTTAGTTTCTTCTGTATGCCAACGTGGATCAGCTGTATGTACACATATGTCCCTTCTTGGTTTTGTGATTTCCCTTCCATTTAGCTCACCACAGAGCTCTGAGTAGAGTTCCCTGAGCTATACAGCAGGTTCTCATTAGTTATCTATATTACATATAGTATCAGTATTTACTACACTTCTTGCACTTCTTACATCAAAACTTTCATTTTGTTCAGAGTGTGTTTCCTTCTGAGTTGCTACCTACAGACCCGTGCTAAATGATGTAGCACTCTAGCATCTAGATCATACTAACTCCAAAAAGGTACTTTGAAGGAGAAGAGAAAATGAGCAGCATAGGTTAGGACAGGGTTCCCCACCTTGGCACTAGTGATATTTTGGGCAGAATAACTGTTCATTGTCGGGGAGACATTCTGTGAATTATAGAACATTTAGCAACATCCCTAACCTCCATCCACTAGAACATTAGTTGAACCACTAGTTGTGACAAACAGGAATGTCTTCAAACATTTCTACCCCCAAGGGAGGGGAGAAAATCACCTCTGATTAAGAAGCACCAAATTAGGGAACTTTCTTGGTGGTCTAGTGGCTTAGACTCTGTGCTCCCAATGCAGGGGGCCTGGGTTCAATCCCTGCTAGGGAGCTAGAGTCTACATGCTAAAACTGAAGATCCCGCATGCCATAACTCAGCACAAGACCCAGCACAGCCAAAGAAATAAAAGCAGCACCAAATTAGGACAAGGGCATTTTAAGATGACTAAAGACAGTTTCAGTGTGCTCCCATTAATACAGATCAGAGTTCATCAATACTCTTTGAAGTAAGACCAGGCACAAGGCATGTTCCATTATAGTCACAAACCCAGCTCCTACTTCTGTCTCAACTCAGTGGACTCATAAGTGGTTAAACTGTGTCAACAATAAATTGAAACCGGTATTTGTTCTACTAGGAAGGTGGAATATTATTAATATGATGTTATTGTCAAACTGGGAGAGTGCATAAAAGGATAGATAGAACTATCACTTGATCTGGGAATCCTCAATGTGTATGTTCATCTGAAAGAAACAAAATCTGTATCTCAAAGAGATACTGCTCTCCTGTGTTCCCTGCAGCACTATTCACAATAGCCGAGACATGAAAACAACCTGTGTCTGTCCATGGATGACTGGATAAAAACAATGTGAGAGGCATATATACATGTATCAGTTATATACATATGTATGTATAAATACAGTTCAGCCATAAAAAACAAGGAAATCCTGCCCATGTGTGACAGTGGACGAACCTAGAGGACATTATGCTAAGTGAAAATAAACCAGACAGAGAAAGATAAATACTATGTGATCTCACTCATGTGTGGAATCTAAACACACAGAATGAGGAGAATTGTAGCTGCCATGGGTTGGGGGAGTAGAGGACATTGGGGAGATGTTGGTCAAAGAATGCAAACTTCCAGTTGTAAGATGAATGGTTCTGTGGGTCAATCAGATTGTACTGTACACATCAGTAGGTCAGAAGCATTATTACCACATATACAAAAAGGTTGGGCTTCCCTGGTGGCTCAGAGGGTAAAGAGTCTGCCTGCAATGCAGGAGCCCTGGGTTCAATCCCCGCGTTGGTTAGATCCCCTAGAGAAGGAAATGGCAATCCACTCCAGTACTCTTGACTGGAAAATTCCATGGATGGAAGAGCCTGGTAGGCTACATTCCATGGGGTTGCAAAGAGTCACACATGACTAAGCAACTTCACAGGCTTCCCTGGTAGCTCAGTCGGTAAAGAATCTGCCTGCAGTGCAGGAGACCCAGGTTCAATTCCTGGGTTGGGACGATCCCCTGGAGAAGGAAATGGCAACCCACTCCAGTATTCTTGCCTGGAGAATCCCGTGGACAGTAAGGCCGGCCAGTACAGTTCATGGGGTTGCAAGAGTCGGACACAACTTAGTGACGAAACCACCCCCACAGAGAGGTAATTATGTGAGGTGGTGGATGTGTTAACTTAATTGCAGTAGTCATTTCACAACATACATATTCATCAAATCATCACACTGTACACTTTAAATACATACAATTGCTTGTGAATTATACTTTAAGAAAGCTGGGAACATCTAAAGAATAGGTACCTGCTCTTCTTCTCATCTTGTCCTCTGTGTCTCCAGCCAGGTTTGCTGCTGCATCTGTTAGCTGTTTCACTTTTCCTAATGTTTCCTTTGTCAGTCCTGGCGCGCTCATCTTATGCTGAAGAACAGCATATTGATTCTGTAGCTCAACAAACTCCTACAACAGGGTAACATTCTCATTATCAGAAGATACTTGTAAAGCACACACACATGTGATGTCTGCCTGATACTGTGCATAAAAGAAGAGGCAACTCTCATCCACTCAGTACGTTTGAGTCACTCTGAGATGTCCAACAGGGCTTTCATCTGCATTGTTTGTTTGTTTACAGGTCGAGAAAATTCTCAACTTTAGTGAATTAAAAATGAAAATTTCCTGTTATAAAATATCATACATTGCTTTATGTGATGGCAACTATTTATGAGGTACCAGTTTGTCCTGAAGTATAAGGTCAGAGCTACACAGGACAGAACTGACTCAGTGCTGCCCTTGACAAAGGTCTCGGTTCAGTTGGGTTGAGCACTTACAAGTGCAAGGTGAAGGTCAGAGAGAGGGGTGAACATTCAGAAGCAAGGACACAGGATTTGCTTGGCACAAAGGTGAGACAGGAGCGTGGTAGGAAGGGAGGCAGGAGGTTATGAAAGGCTCCCTCAATATTAGGAGGGAAATCTTCAGGGTCAGCCTGAGTGGCTGACAACCTAGAATGTCAGATTAGATGAATACAGGCCCAACCCAGGAATGGACTGTGGCAGTGGCAGAAGGTGGGCAGGAAGCACCTTTCTCAACCTCTGTTCCATAGAAAACACCCTCAACTCCCAAGTGAGTGGAAAATGTACCTAGCACAGTAGGAATTAAGAGCAAGAAAATACACCAATTATAAAAAACACTTCAACCTCTTTCTTTTGCTTAAGCTGCTATATGAATGAGACCAGCCAAAGATTTCCTGCCAAGAAAATGAGTTGATAGCTTCTTTCAGCAACCGAAATGAACAGGCCATTTTCCACAACTGGTTCAAGAACTCACTCTGATTTTTGTAACTCAATCTATTCTCTTTGGCAGGTGACTTGTACTTCTTTATCTGCTATGTGATTTAATTAGAGCAAAGGGCAGATACGTACAGTTAGACCCATGACATAAATTGTGAACATTTGGAAGTTTAGGAAAAAATTCGATTAGATGGGGTAAACAGTCTAACATAATCTAGTCACAAAACTCTTCCTTGGGAGACAGCCCTCCATGTACAGAAGCGTCTCCATGCCCAGCAGGGTCCCTACACACACACTATGGAACATGGACCAGCACTAAAGGAAATGCTGACAAATGGCACAAAAATCTGGGGTTAAGGGATTCTCTTTCAAAGAAGCACTGTCTGTCTGCTCTTGGTGGCAGAGGCAGGACCAACGACCTCCTCAAGGCCCCCAGCCTGGTGCCGGGCTGCTTCAGCCTGAGCTCGTGTGCGAACAGCCTCGCCTCGGTTCCTCTGCAGCGTGGTCTAGAGCTGGGCAAGTCCACGCTCCAACGCGGACTGGTGCTTTGCTATGTCCAGCTTCTTCTTCGTCTCCTGGGCCTGATTTTCAGCCTGCTGTTGATTGAAACACCAGAAAGGAAAAAGTTTCTTTACGTAATAAACAAACAAGAAAATAAATGATGTAATGATCCCTCGACAATTAAGCTAGGTGTAAAGGGAAAGAAAACTGTTCCTTTGCTTTTTCTGTTCTATTAAAACAATGTTATAATGCTTCAGACAATAGGGTCTAAGAGAAAATATGGCACATATCAATGTAGCCACCCTCTGGCCTAAGAGTAAGTAATGCCATGAGCCAAGGTCTTGGGTGTACCACCCTCCTCTCCATATCTCCCTCCACCCCCTCAAAGGTTACCACTACCCTGAATCTAATACTTTTTATTCCACATACTTCCTTTCATTCCATATGTGTGTGTGTGTGTGTGTGTGTGTGTGTGTGTGTGTACATACATGTATTAACTGTCTTTTGGGGTATTTCTAACAAAATACAGTATTTTCTACTTTTAAACTTTATACGTATAGCATCCTGTGTTTTTCTGCTGCTTGAATTTTTAAATTCAAAATTATGCTTGTACAGGTCATTTAAGCCAATTTGCATAGCTCTTGTGTATTCACTTTTACCAGTTTAAAGTGTTTCACAGTTTGACTGTACAAAAATTGACTCTTCTATTCTCTGGCAATGCAGGGGTGGCTTCTAATTTTTTTCTCCCTTATAAATAATAACAAACCCCTTACACTTATTCCTTATTTTGGTGACTATGCTTGCATATCTAAAAGTCTGATCTGTCATTTGTTATCTCTTTTGTTCTTTGGTCAAAGTTTCATACCTTCTTTGATTTTTCTTAAGCATAATAAACACTCTATTTTGTATCGGATATCCAGTAATGGTTATATCTGAAGTCTCCTGCATTCTCTTGTTTGCTATTTCTGATGATTCTGGCTTAAGGCAAGTTGTTTCTTTATTATGTGTTTTAAGGGAACCCTTTGAGGCTTGGTTTTAAGGTTCAGTCCTTTGGAAAGGATATCTCATGGCCTCTGTCAGGCATCTGAGGGCCTTGATAACTCAGGGTCACTTTAAATGACATTTTTAGCTTGGTTTATGGGGGTTACCCAGGTAGTGTGGATTCGAGCCCCATCTTACCTGAGAGCCAGCTTGTTAATAATTTTCAGTGAAGATTATCCCCCTCCACACAGAGGCTAGTGTCTTTACCATCTCTCTCTGTGGAATGGTCTAACATTTCCTTGAGGGTGTGCCTTTTAAGGTTCCTACTCTCTGCAGGGCCTCACTGCCTCCTTGGATGGGTTTTGTCTTCTATTACTTATGGCAGCTATGGAAACCAGCAGCGCTGATACCCCAGGGATTGGCAGTAGCCCTCTGTCTGCTGTCGGCTTCCTGCTCGATTAACTCTCTGGATCATGCTTTCCCGTCATTTTTGGCCTCTGAAGATGTCCTCCATTTTTTTACCAATTCAGCGATGCATCTAAACATGCTTTAAAATAACTTTTTCAGGTTTCTTTTTGTTGTTGTTGTTAGGTGGGTTCCTTTGTGTACTGGTCCATCAAGCTGCTAGAAACAGAAGCCCCTTCCTGTGCCCTTGGGTATATGTGGGAGCTTTTCTAGAGTAGGAATCTGCAAGCTTTTTCTGTAAACGGCCTGACAGTAAACATTTTATACATTGTGGTCCAGAAAATCTCTATTGCAACTATTCAACTCAGTGCCCTGGCTGCGCAAATGGCCTATGGACAATATGTGGCTGAATTCCAATCAAACTGTGTGACTTTGGACTCTACAAGAGTTGGTGGGTGCATGCGGCCCCTGGGCTGTGTTTTGCCAACGCCTATTCTAGAGTAGATGCACAGAGGAGAAAACCTGGAGGCCTTCTTTATTTTTTGCTCCTATATATGTGCAACCTCTTCATATCTAACCTTTTTTTCAATTTCCTGGTGTACTAATCCTGTCCTGGTGCTTTCTGCTTTTCTTTTCAGGATGCCTGTATTTTGATATCTAAAATGAGCTGAAGAACAGGGACTGAGGAGCTTGCAGTCTGCTGGGAAGGGGATGAGCCTTGGAGGAGAGATGTCATGGATTCGCAGAGTAGGACCTGTTCTGTCCTTTAACTGCCAGGCTTCCTCTTCCAGACCTATCACGTGGGTTAAAGCAGGCTTTATTCCTGCCAAACTCTGGGTGGAACCCTTTCTTTTGGGTTATCTTTCAGTTTTAGGATATGCTGGTGAGATTTTATGTAAATTTCATTATAAAAGTCTGGCAACAATTAATTTAATTTCTTTGGTTGGTGAGCTTTCAAAGCTCTATGACTTTCCCTGGTATAAGAACGGATAATATGATATCACTTATATGTGGAATTTAAAATACAACACAAATAAACCTATCTAAACCTATCTAAACAGAAACAGACTTACAGACATAGAGATTAGACTTCTGATTGCCAACATGGGGGGTGGGGCCAGGGGGCTGGGAGGGATGGACTGGGAATTTGGGGGGCAGTGGATGTTAAATATCACATTTAGAATGGATAAACAACAAGGTCCTACTCTATAGGACAGGGAGCCATAGCCAATCTCTTGGGATAAACCATAATGGAAAAGAGTATTTTAAAAAGAATGTGTATATGTGTAAAACTGAATTACTTTGCTGGACAGCAGACACTGGCACAACACTCTAAATCAACTATATTCCAACTAAAAGATTAAAAAAAAAAAGAAGGGATATACTGTCCTCACATCTATCACTAATTAGCTGTGTGACCTTAGGCAAGTGACTTAGCTTCCCCAGGTCTTACTTTCTTCATTTACAAGTTGGTGGTAGCACCTGCTTTGTCCCCCAGGCTTGGCCAACAGTGAAAAGAGATAACGCTGGGAGAGCTCTGTAGAAGATTAATTACACATATAATACTATCATAGTCTTATTTATCATCATAATGATCCCATTGAACAGGTAAGACAAGCATGACATTGGCAGACATAAAACCTGTGCTGTTTCCACAGTTGAAGTTTATTTTAGGTTAGTTTCAAAGAAGATAAAGAAAATACCTGAAGTTTGTTCTTTTTGATTTTTGTTATCTCGGCAGTCAGCTGTGTGATGGTAGAATCTGCCCATCCTTGAGTCATTTGAACTTGTTGCAACTTCTTCAACATTTTGCTGAGATTTGATAGAACATTTTCTGCTTTTCTGAGGTAAGACATTAACATATCAGATTAGATAAATAAACAATTATTCATTTATTTCACCTTGAAAGTTCATTCGACTCAACCAAAAACTTTCCTGAATTATTCATAAAGTCTGTTTAAATTACTCTCGAGCAAGGCAAAGTGCTGAAGTCTTCATTTTGAGAAACAGGTATATTTAAATGCCAATAAAAACACATATATTGTATATGCCTACATAGGTACAGATTTTGCCAGGTATGGAAATCAAAGATATAGATATCATTTCTTAACTTGTCATAAGCAGAGCGATTTGGGTAATAAAAGTGCCAAGCTTGGAACAACAACAACAGAAAATTATCTTCAGCCAGTTCTTTCCTGACTCCTCAAACTTAAGCAATGCTCTTGAAATCCTTATGGGGGGTGGGGTGGGTGGGGGAGGGCAAGTCAAGAGGCTCCACAGAGAGCAAAGAGAGTGAAAGGCTTTGCATTTACAGGCTGTGTTTATTCAGGTTTATTTAAGCTTCACTGACATTCCAGCCGCCCAGGGGCCCAGTCAGAGGTTAAAATCACAAGCATTCCAAGTGATAGTCTATTTTACAGAAATGAGCTCACCTCAAGTCAACATTCATCAGATACTTAGATCTACAGGCTCAGAAGAACCTTTGGAAGAATGTACGAAGTCAGGGAGATAGCTGACTGACCTTAGCAGAGACATTGTTAGAAATGCTTGTATAGGAGCAAAAATAGCTAAACGGCAAAACATCCCCTTCTCCAATCAACCCATCCTCTCCTCCTGGTGGTAATTTTTTTTTCTGTTTAAAGAAAAATACCATTTTATAAGAGCAGTTTTAGGGTCACAGCAAAATTGAGAGGAAGGTACAGAGATTTCCCATACATTTCTAACCTCCCCAGTTACTGACACCCCACCCCAGAGGGTCCATTTGTTACAACTGATGAACCTACACTGACACATCGTAATCACCCAAAGTCCACAGTTTACATTAGGGCTCACTCTTGGTGTTGTCCATTCTGTGGGTTTGGACAAATGTATAATGACATGTATTTATCACTATAGTATCAAACTGAGTATTTTCACTGTCCTAAAATTCCTCTGTGTTTGCCCATTCATCCCTCCCCGCAATCCCTGCAACCACTGATCTTTTTTTTTTTCTTTTTCACTGTCCCCATAGTTGTGCTATTTCCAGAAGGTCTTAGAGTAACAATCATACAGTTATGTAGCTTTCCTTTTCTACATTTCTTTCTCTACAGTTACAGAAAGGGGTTCCAGAGTCTTTCCTTCTCATAACTCTCCCTATCCCCATATCTTTTTACTGTATTCTTTTTTCCCTTAGATTTTCAATGTACTGCTCATTATAGCACATTTAGAGAACACTCCCCAAAAAAGAAGAAAGGAGAAAAAAATATCGGAGAGAAAATTTACCAATACTTCTACCACCTTTTATGATATTGGCATATTCTAACATTTTTGTCCTTATAAGACTTTTGTTTCCATGACTGAGAGCCTCTTCTGTGTATACTGTGTTACCTTCTTTTTAAAAGTATTAACATTACACTAAGAATCTCTGCATGCTACTTCATCAGCATCATTTTTAACAGCAGTATGATCATGCTGTAGTTACTTAATCTTCCTAGTTGTAAACAGTAAAACTGGAAGGGGCTGGGCTTTCAGCGGAGTCTGAGGGACTTTATTTGTATAAGTGGATGGTGAGACAGTGAAGACAGTTCAGGTCTCAATTCTGCTTCGGGGCATCCAAAAATGATGGTGGATGTAGATGACGATACCATCATCCACTGACCCTATGACCTTGACTCACAGCACCCCATGATCAACATCAAGGTGGCGTCTCATCTCTGGTTAGCGAAGTCAACAAGGGATAAAGCAGCAAGGATTAGTTGACTTTGTGTGCTGTGTATGTCATTCTATTCCAGTACCACTTTTGGGGCACTAGAGTCCTTCTCTTCCTTACCATCAAATCTTTTATATATATATATTTAAGTTTAGATTTTCAAAGTACTGCTTATTGCCATAAATATAGAAAGAACCAAAAATCAGTGTAAAAGAAGGGAAAATACACAGATATTCCCACCACATGTTAAGATACTGACATAAAATTAACACACAGCTTTTACTGGCATATATTGGTATAAAGAGGTAATAGACCACAGGAAGGGTGCTCAGTCTAAGGAAAATGGGAAACCAGCATCTGTGCCCTGCCTCCCAGCTTCCCAGCTTCCAGCTTCCTGGGGCACCTCCACAGACAGCTGAGCCTTCTTTTTGGGCAATGAACTAGCAGAGGGTAATTTCATTTGAATGTTGTAGCTCCTTAGGCAAATATTTTTCTGATGGCCTTTCAGCAGATTGCCTGTTAGAGCAGGAGGAGAACATTAATATTAATTGTACTTACTTAGCTGCTTCTGCCTTCACCAGAACCTTTTGGGCTCCATCTGCTGCTTTGTTTAGCCTGTCCTCTTCCGTCCTATAGTCCTCACAGAGTTGCATAAGTTTCTGTATTTTGTCAAGTTCATGGGTTAGATTTTGCGATGCTATTGGTAGGTGGATGTCGAGTACACGATTTGCCACCTTCTCTACATCCTCTGGAGGCACATTTTCCTCTTAAATAAGAATGTGTTTTAGATAACTGCGTTTCCTTATCACTCCATCTTGTCAATATCATCACAATGAATTCTAAGTTAAATCTATTTGTATTTGATTAGTGTCCCTAGAATACAGGAACTAGACTGAGTGTCCCATAGACTCTTCTGCATCTTCAATTTCCCCTTCTCTGTGAAAGAAACACTGTTTGTGTAACGATGAACACAACCTGTATAAATGTTTGTTGGAAAAATGAAAAATAACAGATTTGGGATATTTTGTGACCTACAAAATGTCTTCACAAGAATTGCTTATTGTAAGTACAGATTCAAAAACAATTAAAATGTTTAGATGCCTGTCATTAAGATTCAAAACCATGGAAAACTATTATGCATAGAGTGGATCAGCAACAAGGTCCTACTGTATAGCACAAGGAACTATATTCAATATCCTGTGATAAGCCGTCATGGAAAGGAATATAAAAAAGAATGGAAATATATGTATAACTGAGTCACTTTTATGCAGCAGATATTAACAACAATATAAATCAGCTATAAAGAAAGAAAGAAAAGAAAGTGAAGTCGCTCAGTCGCGTCCGACTCTTTGCGACCCCATGGACTGTAGCCTACCAGGCTCCTCTGTCCATGGGATTCTCCTAGCAAGGGCACTGGAGTGGGTTGCCATTTCCTTCGTTCAATTTAAAAAAAAAAGATTCAAGCACCATGAATGAGATAATAGGGAAGCCCTGGGTTTGGACTCAACAAAACTCCACTCTAATCCCCCCTGCCATTAAAAAGGCTCACAATTGCCTATTATACGAAGTGAAGTAAGTCAGAAAGAGAAACACAAATACTGTATACTAACACATATATATGGAATTTAGAAAGATGGTAACGATGATCCTATATGAGAGGCAGCAAAAATGGCCTCCTTTGAGAAGTGAAGTGGGAGATGTACTGTAGGTGTTTGGGGAATAACTCTTTGTCTCTTTCTGGCTCCTTACTGAGGCACAGATCCCGAGTCCCATGGGGAAATCAGAGGTGAATTAGACACAGATCTGATCTCCAAGGGGTTTACCATCAAGTCAGGAAATTATAAGTCATTCCAGATGATTGCTGATATTTCATAAGAGGAGAAGTGATAAATGTAAGACAAAATGATGTGGTGTTCAGCGGGAAGAGAAAATATTTCAGGAAGAACTTTAAGAAGACATTCAAATCTGGTCTTAGAAGCCCACACAGATTAAATCTGTGCAGATGTGGGTTGAAGGGATGGGTAAGGGCATTGTCAGCTCAGGCAAAAGCTCAGGGTGGAACAGGTAAATTGTGTGTTTGGTTGGCCAGTGGAGGGGGTGTCGAAAAAGTGTGTGAAAAAGTTAAAAAGTGTCTTAAAAAGTTTTAAAAAAGGAGGTGTAGTTCAGGAAGGCTGGGAGTGAATCACACAAGCCCCTAAAAGTGGGGCTAAGGAAAGTGGACTTCATTCAAAAGACAATGGGAGCCATCGATGGCTTTCAGTATTTGAGTGACACGACCTAAGTATATATCTTCTTTGCAGTCATTTTGCCTTAGCTAGTTTTAACATAAAAGGACTATTTTACTTAGTTTTTTTTTAGCTGTGCCACATGGCTTGTGAGGTTTTAGTTCCCCAACCAGGGATTGAAACTGGGCCCTTGGCAGTGAATGTGCCAAGTCCTAACCACTGGACCGCCAGCAAATTCCCAAAGTGAATGTTTTACTTCCTAAACTGTTTTTGAAAAAATGCAACAAGAATTTTTCATGAATAAATTAAAGCTGTATTTTAAACAGAATCATGGATCTGGCTCTTTATAGAAATGGTAGCTGTTTTGTTAAAAAGAAAAGTTCTAATAAAAAGTGAAGTGAACTTAATTCCACATTCAGTCATGAAACATTTATTGGCATTGATTATGAGATTAGAAATTAAAATTTAAATGATTATAAATTCACTTTCAGGAAAAGTGACACAAAACTCTGTTAATAAGGAATTCAGATCACAAGGAAAATATTAAGATGGTCAAAGAGGAGCTGCATAGAGTGGCCAGCATAAATGTAATATTTTCATTTGGGCTTTACAGCCAAGAAAATTGAAGAAATTGGGTGCGCAAAAGGTACCATTTCCTGATGACCAAGAATCTCGGGACCCTGACCAGGGAAGTTCCTTTTATGGAACAGGATTTTTCTTGATGCCTAGCCTAGTTTTTGTTGTAATAATCTGAACAGAGTCCGCCCCCCCCCCCCAATTCCTTAGGCTAATTAAAGTGGCATTTTTACTGTGACTCTATTTAAAGTCACATTCTAGTAGCAATGAGAACCAGGACCAGTATAGCAATAGGCTCTATGATCCAGTGAACTAGGAGGGAAACAGGTAGAACCTGTTTTGTGATCTGTTGCTTGAGCTCAGGACTGTATTTTACCATTTTCATACGACAGCAGTGGTAGTTCTGATATTTAGTTTGGGTGTCTGAATTAACTTGTATCTGCAGAAATTGCTAATGTGTTCCTCACATTAATTGGCATTGATTATGAGATTAAATCTACTAGATTAAATCACAGATCTACTAGGATCTGTGCCTAGTAAATAGTCAATCTAGCTTCTCACTGAAAATTTGCTTTTGAACAAACAAATGTCCAGCTGACTGATTTCATACCCAGTCATTTTCACTGATTATTTTGGTCATTTTTACTGATTATTTTCACTCCTTATTTTTTTTCTTATTTTGAAAATCAGTATTAGAGCTGCTAATACAATTTCTAGAAACAATGAAATAGAACTTGGCCACAGGGGTCTCTTATAAAAATCAATAGCAAAGAGATTTAATAAAGTGACTGCAAAGATTGTAACTGACATCCTAACTGTTGATTAATTCATGTGGAGATATTAAATGACTGAATTTGGAAGATGGCTGTGGGAAAACTTTCTCAGATCAATTCCATGTAGTATTATACCCAAATGACATTGTTTGCAGAAAAGTGAGGTTTCAGGTCAATTTCCAGCTGTACTATTTGATTTTTATCTTTAACTGATAATTCACTAGAGTTTAAAACAAACCTTTCCCAGGGACTTCCCTGGTAGTCCATTGGTTAAAGCTATGCACTTCCACTGCAGGGGGCATGGGTTCAACCCATGGTCAAGATACTAAGATCCCTTATGCGTGGGGTGATCAAAAACAAAGAAAACAACAAACCTCTCCTAAAATAAGGCACTGTGAGGGATAATAAGTTTATAATCATAATAATAATGAATCAAATAGTTCCCCCTCTGGCAGGCACAGAAAGACAACATGAGTCTTGGAAAATAGTCAATAACAGTTATCCAAAATAATCAGTATTTTAGATGCCGCTTCACTACAGTATTTGATATACTAACTAACAATTGGCTTACCACGATCTCACTCTCAGATTGTGGAATCTGACAGTCTTCATGTTAGATTTTCCTTTTAAAAAAATAATATAATTTTAAACGCTAAGTTCACTTGTTTGGAATTTTAACTAAATTCTAGGATTTATTATCAAATTAACCTTATATACAGAACCATATTTTTTGATACAGATTTAATATTTTGCAATTGTTTTCATTAAGAAATTTAAGATCAACAAGTATGTCTTGTTTTGGATTTAGGCATGTGATTTCCAATTAATGTAATTTGGAATTGGTTGATGCTTCAGTATACATTGAAAAGGAAGAAAAAGGAAGAGGAGATGGGGGAGATGGGGGAAAAGAAGGAGGAACAAAAACTAGTTCTAATATTTTTTAAAAAATTACCTAACAAAAATATTTTCAGTTTTTCTATTAGAAGATTCATTTTTTTCTTCTTCAGATTCACTTTGGTTTTTCATATTCCTCAGTTTCTTTCTTAGCTGTAATGCACTCTTTTTGCAAACTTCTGCCAGTTTACTTATATTTCTGATCTTGAATAGAAAAAACAAAAATGAGGCAAACATAACAATCAGGCATATTCTGGGATGTCTCCTTACTTAGCTGACCAAATAGAACTCACTAAAACTAAAATAGAAGTCTAGATAACTAAACAATAGATTCATGTTAAAGGACTCTTTTAAAAGGTGATATTGGTTGTTTTCATCATCCTGTTTTCTTAATAATGTAAACTTCTCTCTTAAAACATTATTAGTGATCAAAATTGCTATTTGAAAACAATGACTTTTCCTGATATAAATTGAAAATACAAATTTTCTTTTTAGGAGATGTTAGTATTTTAGGGTATCAGAAAATTTCACAGAATTACAGTGATCATCATGTTTAGGAAGCTGAGAACATTTTCTTTAATATGAGTTAAAATATTAACTTTAATAAGTTTAACATAAGTTTAAATCTTTACTCTTTTAAACATTCTTCAAATTCAAATAATATATGCTCTTTGAGCATAAAAAGAAAGCATTCTTTCTTTTAATAAATGAGTTTGAACTCAGAGCAGGCTACAAAAATAAATTACAAATACTGTGTACACTTGGTGGAGAAACGATAAGGACTAAAACGTTTACAACTTAGAAGCGCAAATTCTTAACTGTATGATTTGAAAAAGGTCATGGACTTTTTCTTAGGATTCCAACAAATGAGAGAAAGAGAAAAAAATGGAGAGCAATAGAACAATATCACCCACAAGTTGAGCTGCACTGAATAAATTAATTGTGACAGAAGCACGGCTAATTAGGATCAAACATAGTTAGGGGGAAAAAAAAATCTCCCTTTATTTCTCCATTAAAAAACAGCTTAATTTAAGCCATACAGATTCTGTGGAAAAGGATTTAATGGTAGTCACTGGCAAATGATGAAACAAAACAGAAATATTTACATGATGAAAAATATGTACCTTAATTTTTTGGACTTGTTCCTTAATTCTCTAGAACTTTTTAAACTTTAAAATGGATACCAGTTGCTAAGAGAGATTTTAAAAGTTCTTATCACAGGAAAGAAAATGTAACTACATGTGGTGATGGATGGATGTTAACTAAATTTATTGTACTAATCATTTCACAATATATACATATATCAAATCATTATGTTGTTCATCTAAAACTAATACAAATTTCCTATGTCAATTATATTTCAATAAAAAATAAAGTGGAGAAATTGTGAGTAAGAATACACAGAAGTGAGATGAGAATTTCAGAAATAAATACTCTGGTCAGGAAGCACCAAGTTACACAGATGAAATCTCAATGTAGATTAGTTGATGCCATATTCAGAAAGAACAAGATTGCTAAATTACTTCACTCTTAAAACATTTCTCTGCAATCCATCCTCTGTCACGACTCCTGAGAATTCTCTTGTAATCTCTTCTGGCATGCTTCCCCCTTCTAATCAAGAGGAAAATAGCACACCATTTTATCAACATGACAACTTTCATCCTTTTCTAGTTCTCCATTTATATGTTGATTAAGCAAGATTCTGCTATTATATACTTCAGGTGTTATCTTTTAAAAATAATCACTTCTAGAACACTTTCTAACACCATACACAAAAATAAACTCAAAATAGATTAAAGATCTAAATGTAAGAGCAGAAACTATAAAACTCCTAGAGGAGAACATAGGCAAAACACTCTCCGACATAAATCACAGCAGGATCCTCTATGACCCACATCCCAGAATTTTAGAAACAAAAGCAAAAATAAACAAATGGGACCTAATGAAACTTAAAAGCTTTTGCACAACAAAGGAAACTATAAGCAAGGTGAAAAGACAGCCCTCAGATTGGGAGAAAATAATAGCAAATGAAGCAACAGACAAAGGATTAATCTCAAAAATATACAAGCAACTCCTCCAGCTCAACTCCAGAAAAATAAATGACCCAATCAAAAAATGGGCCAAAGAACTAAACAGACATTTCTCCAAGGAAGACATACAGATGGCTAACAAACACATGAAAAGATGCTCAACATCACTCATTATCAGAGAAATGCAAATCAAAACCACAATGAGGTACCATTACACGCCAGTCAGGATGGCTGCTATCCAAAAGTCTACAAGCAATAAATGCTGGAGAGGGTGTGGAGAAAAGGGAACCCTCTTACACTGTTGGTGGGAATGCAAATTAGTACAGCCACTATGGAAAACAGTGTGGAGATTTCTTAAAAAGCTGGAAATAGAACTGCCATATGACCCAGCAATCCCACTTCTGGGCATACACACCGAGGAAACCAGATCTGAAAGAGACACGTGCACCCCAATGTTCATCGCAGCACTGTTTATAATAGCCAGGACATGGAAGCAACCTAGATGCCCATCAGCAGACGAATGGATGAGGAAGCTGTGGTACATATACACCATGGAATATTACTCAGCCATTAAAAAGAATTCATTTGAATCAGTTCTAATGAGATGGATGAAACTGGAGCCCATTATACAGAGCGAAGTAAGCCAGAAAGATAAAGACCATTACAGTATACTAACACATATATATGGAATTTAGAAAGATGGTAACGATAACCCTATATGCAAAACAGAAAAAGAGACTCAGATGTATAGAACAGACTTGTGGACTCTGGGAGAAGGCGAGGGTGGGATGTTTCAAGAGAACAGCATCGAAACATGTATATTATCTAGGGTGAAACAGATCACCAGCCCAGGTTGGGTGCATGAGACAAGTGCTCGGGCCTGGTGCACTGGGAAGACCCAGAGGGATCGGGTGGAGAGGGAGGTGGGAGGGGGGACCGGGATGGGGAATACATGTAAATCCATGGCTAATTCATTTCAGTGTATGACAAAAACCACTGAAATGATGTAAAGTAATTAGCCTCCAACTAATAAAAATAAATGGAAAAAAAAATAAAACACAATACAGAATGTAAAAAAATATATATAAAAATAAAAATAAAAATTACTTTACAAATTAAAAAAAAATCACTTAACATGGGACTTATTTAAATGGTGTGAGATTTCTGGTTTTTGAGGAGGGACACAATAGTACTTTAACATTACATGAAATGATTAAGGGTTGGTTTAAGCACAGGGATACAAGACCAGGATTCGTATTTGTTCACTGTTGAATTCCAGCATGTAGATAAATGCCCAGCAAGCAATAGGTACTCAACGAATATTTGTTAAAGCATCGAAGAATAATATATAAGTGAAAAAACTAGGTGGCAATACAAATTTGAATGCTAAGTCGCCTCAGTCATGTCTGACTCTTTGTGATCCTATGGACTCTAGCCTGCCAAGCTCTTCTGTCCACGGGACTCTCCAGGTAAGAATACTGGAGTGGTTGCCATGCCCTCCTCCAGGAGATCTTCCTGACCCAGGGATTGAACCTGCATCTCTTATGTCTCCTGCAGTGGCAAGCAGGTTCTTTACCACTAGCACCACAGATGACTATGTAAACAAAAAATGTCAACATTTAGGATGTGTAGGGATGTTCTTCAACCTGACTATAATCAGAGACCTGCTCCTGGACTTGGATTCTGGAGCCTGTGGAGCAAGGATATAGGACCAGCTGGGGCTCAGGTCCATGGAGACGAGGCTCATGGAACAAATGGCTGCTCTGGAGTGTGTATGTGCAGGAGTGTGTATCTTAGTTGTGGTTCTCACCCCATTTTCAAGTCTGGCTCTGTATCCTTCTTTCACTTCTGAGGCCCAGATGTCTGCACATAATTTCCTTTCTGTTCAGGAGTTGGTTTCTGCCACTTGCAAACAAGAGGGCTGACTAATATAATATTTATCTTATATTGATTAAAAAAAATGCAGTTTTTTTCAGCTTTTCTTCTTCAAAGGCTCTATGTATATTGCCAAAAAAAAAAAAAAAAAAAGGCAACTAGGGAACATACCAACTTATTTTCAAGATGAACACAATGTATTCACAAAACTCTTAAATTTGTATCTATCCTTTCAAGGTGAATATAAATGTATTCATCAAAGAGCCTAACTGAAAATAATATGTACTTTTTAGAAGTGATTTTTAAAATCGTTTAAAATTATTTAAGATTCTGTTATCAGGTACTTAAATATTAAAACAACTTTATCATATCAACCTAGGAAGGAGTTTAAGGAATTAAGGGTATAATCCTATTAAAAACATTTATAACATTGAATTCTAACATTAAAATTTGTCTATTTAGTACAATTTCAAACACATTCTTGAATTTATGAAAAATTATTCTTTACTTGGAGATTTCTATAGTTTTCAAAACTCCAAGGCTAGGAATTTACACATTTCTATGCAGTGTTTGCTATAAAGCAATCATAATCAAATGTCTATGTATGTCCTATGAACATATACTCTGTTTTTCTCTTCTCTTTCTTTCCATACACACACACACACAATGTTATACACACACACACAATGTTATACACACATATATACACATGTTTATATGTCATATATATGAGAAAATATGTCAATATTCTCATCTATTTCTACATCACCATTTATAGTCACATCTATATTTTTAGGGTTTCCTTGGTGGCTCAGATGGTAATGCAGGAGGATCCAGGTTCGATCCCTGGGTTTGGAAGATCCCCTGGAGAAGGGCATGGCAACCCACTCCAGTATACTTGCCTGGAGAATTCCATGGACAGAGAAGCCTGGCAGGCTACAGTCCACAGGTTCACAAAGAGTCGGACATGACTGAGCAACTAACACTTTCATAACTTTTCTTTATTTTTATTCTGTATTTCCAGGCAAAAGAACACCTAACATCTAGAACCTATTCTTTCACTTAGAAGATAAATGGAAATTTAAAAAATTTCAAGCAGTTTGCTGTTTTAAAATTGCAACAGCTTTGCAAATAAAGCATGAGAAGACATCATTTACCTGTTTCTTCAACCTGTGAACTTGGTTGTTCAAACTGTGAATCACAGACTCTGCTTCCTGAGCTTTCTGCAGGGCATTCCTTGAGAGGGTTGGGGAGCCATAACAGCTCGGGCCACCACAGGATGAGAGCCCACAGGCCGTGTCCTCTCCTTCTCCACACACCTGAGAGGAAGAAGGATCTATGTCAGAAAGTAACTTGTTGGTAGAGTGTTTTTCTAACGTCATCCAGGCTCACTGAGGCAAGACACTGCTCTATTCACCTGTGTTTCTTCAACAGTTGTTCATGATTAATATGTAGATGTGACCCATTAAATATTTCCTAGCTAACTGAATAAGTATCTAACTTATTTGCTGTTAGCACTGGTGTCAATCAATAACAGTTTCATACTTATGGTTTCTTTGGAAAATATTGAGCATTTCCATATTAATTTCATCTTTTTAAAAATAAAAACTACCTTTCACTCATGAAGCAGGAGGAGTAAATGTCCACAGTCTATACCATTTAGGAGATAGTAAATAGTATAAAATAATAAAATCAAGCCACGATCTTTACTCTTTGATTTTTCTCAAACTTGGACTTAATAAATACAAAAATATTATTTTTAGATTAAATATATATTATTTATATATTATTCCTATACTTATAAAATATAAATTAAAAATGAAATAAAACATTAGACAGGGAAATAGAAAAGATTTGTATATCAAATCGGGCTTCAAAGGTAGCACAGTGGTAAAGAATCCACCTGCCAAGGCAGGAGATGCAGGTTTGATTTCTGGGTCGGGAAGATTCTCTGGAAAAGAAAATGGCAACCCACTCCAGTATTCTTGCCTGGAAAATTCCATGGACAGCAAAGCCTGGCTACAGTCCATGGTGTCCTGAAGAGTCAGACATGACTGAGCGATCAAGCACACACATATTAAGTAAACACCACAGATATTTTTACTATACTGTCATGAATATTTACCTTTTCTTGCAATATTTGAATATTTGGTATCTTGATCTGCTGTAATTTCTCCAATGACAAGTCTTCTTTTGAGGTTAGTGTATCTAAGATGCTAAGTAAGTCATTCCTGGTATTTTTGAAGTTGTTTATGATGGATGTAGTTTCATTAGTTTTCTTTTCAGTAGATAAAGAACTCTGATAATACTTCTTGATGTCCTTTGAAAAATCTACATCAACACAAATTGAGGTAAGATAAATTTTATGGAAACAACTGAAATTATACATGGGCTACCAACATAATCATTCTCTAACTTGACTGTTTTGGTTTCAATGATCAACACAAAAATTCAACATCCATTTCCTTGAGTTTGTATTTCACAGGGAAAAGTTAGAAGTTGTGTCATAGATACAGATGTAATACCTACAGAGCACTGAGGTTTAAGTCTGCAGACATAGATTTGAATGCTGGCTTCTCCCTTTACTGTGTGGGTATGTGCTTTNTTTTTTTCTTTTTTTTTTTCATTTATTTTCATTAGTTGGAGGCTAATTATTTTACAATATTGTAGTGGTTTTTGCCATACATTGGTGTAAATCAGCCATGGATTTACATGTGTTCCCCATTCCGATTGCATGCGGATTCTTTACCGTCTAAGCTACCAAATGGTGCTAAGTGCTTTCTATACAGCTGTACTTCTGATCAATTTTCATCCTTAATTTTACAAAACACTGTGAGAACTAGCCCAACCACCATTTTACAAGTGGAAAAACGAGGCTCTGATGACAGGAAGTTCTCACTGATAGTAAGAACTGCAGCAGGGATTGGAAGCCAGATTGTGTGACTCTAGAGACTGTGTTCTTAAACATTTCTCTATATTTTGATAGAAATACAAATTCCTGAAAGCATGATGTGATATTTTAATGTAAATGATAGCATATTAGGGCTTTAGACTATTTTAGGAACCAAAGACCCATGATTCTGATCTTTACTTCATACATAACTGGAGTCCAGGCATGACAACCACTCTTTATCTTCTAAACATTCCTGGTTTTTATACTAACATACTCAGATGGCATCACCAACTCAATGGACATGAGTATGAGTAAACTCTGGGAGTTGGTGATGGACAGGGAGGCCTGGTTTGCTGCAGTCCATGGGGTGGCAAAGAGTTGGACACGACTGAGCAACTGAACTGAACTCTTACTATATCATGATTTTTATTTACCATGAACCACTTCCCTAAACAAACAAAAATCATCTTTCTATTGCTTGTAATGATTTTCTGCCTTGATTTATCTGGCAAATTTATCTTTATTCTATGAAGCCTTTTCTAATATACCCAGGAATACCATTTTTTCTACTTTGTTCCTGAAGCAGTTTGAAGATGCTCTAACAGAGTCTTTTCATTGTTTGGGGTTGTTTATATGCCTGGCTTTCCCACTGAGATTGGGATGACTTTAGGGTGAGGACTGGCTGAATTTACTGCCTGTCTCTGATGCCCAGTACAGTGTTAGGCATTGAGAAAAAGCCCAGTAACTGCTGTTGGGATGCAAGTTTGAGAGGATCAGCATGGGTCAGTTTTGCTTTCTTCTACCTGGCTTGGGGGACTGCTCAAGGATTTTCAATTCTTTCACTGGGCACCTTCTTCCAGATTAGGAATCAGAGCAAATTCCTTACTCTTTATATGGTGCTAAGCATCATCAATAGTGATTTCATTAAACTCAGGCCTTCCTTTAGCCTCATAATTATCATCTTTTTTTTTTTTTCTCTTTTAGCTCAAGATCAGATGTCAAATAGCAGCATAGACACAGAATACGGAAAAGTAGACGATGCTTTTGCCTTGAGATAGGTTTCATCTCTCAACTGGATGGGTTCTGTGTGAATAAGATCAGTGCTGCCTCTTCTGGTAGTTAACAAGATGTCTGTCCATTTCCAAACATAACAAGGATCTCATGGGAAAAGAGGATATGACTTAATTCAAGTTTTGTTTCAGAGTTCCATTTCTCCTCCAAGTTGATCTTGGCTTTGGCATGGCTCCCATTCATTTTTAAAAACTATGCAATATGTACTACAGCCTTCTAGTGTGTTATATGTCTCCAAATTCCTACAAAGTTCTTACAAGAAATAGGTAAGTTCTTTTTTATTCATATTCTTTTATGTTTATGATTGCTGGAAACTGAGTGGCTTATATTCAAGAAGGTATCAAAACATATCTCTTTCATTTTCTTATGGCCACATTAGAATTTCCAAGCTGATGATTACATAAGATCCTTGTGTGGCTTGGCATCTGAATACTTTGGGTTTTAGTATATGTTTAGTATTGCATAATTGTTAGCATTTTTTTGTGCAAATGCTATCCAGTCTCTGCAATGTTTTAAGAAGTTGAAGTATTCGTGCACAGATAATACCTTTAATGGGTATGTTTTCATGTTTTAAAGTGCTTGGGTGCTGTGGCGATAAGCACAGGGTGATTCACTAATGGAATGCACTATGGATTTTATCAGCTTCTGTCCAGAAACAGATAGTTAGGTACATTTTCTTTCTTACCCATGAGGCTTGCATTCCAGGCACCGAAGTGCAAATCATTTCCTTCCTGAAGATCTTCAAGTAAGAGGTTTGTTTCATTCCTCATTCTGACGATTGTTTCTTTTAGGTCTTCAAATTCATCCACTGTTTTCAGCTGCTCACTTAGTTGCATGATTTGTTTCCTATAGGGGACAATGAGAGTAAATGTAGCAAAGCTTGTATTACATTTGACAGATTGGTGGAAAACACACACACACACACACACACACACACACACACACACACACACACACACACACAAAGTTGCCCTCATTATCAAGTATCCTCATACTTCAGATGGATTTCAACTGCAGTAGTCTGACTTCTGAATATATGCTTATGGATATCCTGAGTGCTCTGTCCTTCCCCTACTGACATTTTGATTTGTAATTTACCCAGCAAACATTTATTATTTAACTAAACCAGCCTTGGAGAAAACAATCATAGAGAAAACAGCTTTGCCCACAGGAGGTCCTCAGTGAGGTAGTGGCAAATGAACTACAAAGACATGGAAAGATGGAGAAGGGAACACATCCTTTCTCTGAGGTCGTCAGGAAAGGCTTCAGAGAGGGGGCGGTGTTTGGCTGGCTGTTACAGAGGAACAGAGTTCAACAGGTGGACCACGAAGGGGCTGGCATCCCTTACCACTTCAGACCTGGCACTGGGACTCCAGTTGCTTTTGCTTTCTTCTCTCTGGCTCTGCTCTGGGCTCTTGCAGTGTCTTTGTTTGGACCATCCACTATGGACTGGCTCCTTCCGCTTTCTCAGTTCCATTTTATCTGCTAGGTCTGACAACCACAAACTAGTGGTCCCTGGGACAAGCTCAGTCTCAGACATATTTCTTTGGCCTATACAGTGCTTTTAAAAAGTGCTATTGAATACAGGCAGCTATTAGCTTCCTGTATTTTAAAGTGGGGACATTTCCATAGAAATCTGGATATCTGACATCACTCAAACAGTGGGGAGCTCTGGGAACCCACAGTCTTTACTAGGTTATAGAAGTGCTTGTTCTCACCTGCCAGCTTGACCTGTACATACCACTGGGCCCTAGAGCTGTGTTTACGATGCCAGTGGCCCTTCCTCTGTACTAACCAGGTGAGCTGCATCACCCTCCCTGTGCAACTTTTAAGCAATTACTATATACTTCCGGAATTTTTGTCTGGTGACAAAATTGACAAAATGAATATCCTTATATTTACAGTTGTGTTTTCTATGACATGAAACTTTGTAGCTTCAACTATTCTTTAATCCATGAGCTTTTCTGGGGAGGAGGAATATTTTTTATAGAACCATAATCTTCTTGGTTTCTTTGTAGACTGTGTGCTCCTAGATGGGTAGAAACTATACCCAACTCATCCTCATTTGTCCAGATCAGGTCAGCAAACTTTTTCTGCAAAGGGTGAGAAAGTAAATATTTCAGGCCTTGGGGGCCATAGCATCCTTGTCATAACTGCTCAGCTCTGTCCCTGCAGAGGTACAGTAGCCACAGAGGATGTAAATGATGGGTATGACTGTGTTCCAATAAAACTTTATTTACAAAACAATGTGATGTGTTGGATGTTGCTTGTGAACTATGCCTTGCTGACTCCTGGCCCACAGCAATCAACATCATCTCTAAAACTATTTGATGAATGAAAAAATGATAAAAATGATATTGCATTTTGAAAGAACTATTGTACTCATTATACAACTTCACAGTAATGTATGGGCATGTAAACAACTGAGGAATTTGGGAACATTAAGCAAATATCCCTGAGTACATGGTTGAAAAAAAAAATTGTATATTAGAAACCTTCCTACTTCCAATTTTGTGTCCTTCAGCTCTGCTGATTTTGGGCTTCCCAATTAACCTTGTGGTTGCCTTTTTGTTATAATCAATGACATCTTGAAAAATCACATGCAATCCTAACTAGGTAGGAAAGAGACAGACAGATATGATCCCCAGCCTGGTTACTAACTAAACAATGATCATTCTCCTAATGTTAACAAAGGTACATTTCTAAGCTGAAGGCTGTTAAAGCTCTCAGGAGTTAAGGTAAATCACGAACTTGGAGACCTATTACTTTTGCACAAACCTTACCGAGCAGAGTCATGATAATCCTTGACTTTTGAGAATTCCTCAGATGAGAAAACAGGATGTCTCCAAATCCTTTCTATTTCAGACATGTTTTCTCTGAGGCCTTTGAAGTCGGCCTCACAGACAGGCAGGGTCTCTCTTTTATCTTCCATGTTAGCAGCCAGCCTAATTAACCCTTGCACCACTGTGGAGAGGGAAGAAATAGTGTGGTCCCATTGATCAAAGCACTAGTGACACCGAAGACAAGAGGGGAATTCCCGGGCATGACCCCGGGCACAGCGATCGCATCGAGGGCCGCTAACGCCCTCCTGGCATCAACACGCGCCTGTGCCCTGGTCACAGACAGGCTTCTAGGAACCTTCCCTGTTGCAGTCACACGCTGAAAAAGATGGGAGAAGGAGCAGAGAATGTCAGTCACCTGGCCTTTAGCTCATTACCAGCTCAAAAATAAAGTCCCCTCCTCTTCCCGGAGAAACTTCCTAAATCTCATTTCTAAGGTGAACATTTAAAGCAGGATAATTTCAGAGATCTTTGCAATGGCCATTAAAACACAGCATCCCTCTTTTCACTCCAGTCAAGTCAGCTCTGGGGTTTTTGTTCAGGTTTTTGCTTTTGTTTCGGCTTGCACTTGGCTTGCACTTGGCTTGCAGGATTAGCTCTCTGACCAGGGAGCGAAACTCTGCCCCCTGCAGTGCAAGTGTGGAGTCCTAACCACTGGATTGCCAGGGAGGTCCCAGGTCTCGGTTCTTACATGGGCATCATTAGACGTCATTCTTACTGCAAGTGTGTGAGTTGTTCACATCTGGGTTCTTCCCCCGTGGGAGTGGAGAGTGTGGATCTAATGGTAGACTTGTGCATGGCTGCTACGTTCCTTCAGGGTGGCTCAGGCATGCCACAGGCTCTCTAAGAATAAGATGGCCCATGATCACACTTTTTCTTACTGAAACCCAGCCTGGATGTGCTGTCTTCCTTTCATAAGAAAGGCTATTCTGTTCTCAAAAAAGTGTGTGCCTGGAATCTCCCTTTGGTATTTTTACCCAAAGGAATTCAAAACATGTCCACATAAAAACCTACAAATGGATGTTTAGAGCAATGGTATGTATAATTGCCAACTTAGATGTAACCAAGATGTCTAGGTGAACGCATAAAGAAACTGTGATACATCCAGACAATTAAATATTATTCAGATTATAAAGAAATGAGTGCTAAGCCATAAAAAAGACATGGAGGAACCTTAGGTGCTTACTACTAAATGAAAGAAATCACTTTGAAAAAGTTACATATTGTAATATGATTCCAATTATAGGATATTCTGAAAAGGCAAAACTATAGGGTCAGTAAACAGATAAGTTGTTGCCAGGGGTTAAGGGGTGTGTAAGGATGGATAGAAGGCAAAGCACAGAGGATTTTTAGGGCAGTGGAAATCCCCTGTATGATACTATGCTGATAGATACATGTCATTAGACATCTGTCTAAATCCAATACCAAGTCAACCCTAATATAAACTATGAGCTTTAATGATTACAATGTATCAATATAGGTTCATCAATTGTAACAAATGTACCACTCTTGTAGGGAGGTTGATAATGACTGAGGGCATGCATATGTAGGGTCTGGAAGGACATATGGGAAATCTCTGCCTTCCTCTCAATTTTCCTATGAACCTAAAATTGCTCTTAGAAAAAGTCTTTACAAAAATTGGAGAACATTAAATATACCATCTTAATTAAAAGAAAAACAAACAAAAAAACACCTCGGATGTTAGGTGGAAGTCCAATGGTTAGGACATCCTGATGGTCCAGTGGTTAGGACTGCATGCTTTCACTGCCGAGGGCTTGGGTTCAGTCACTGGTCTAGGAGCAGATCCATAGCCATGCAGTGTAGCCAAAAAATAAACAGAAACTCTCCCCAAACCTGATACGCTATGCACTTCAGATGAGTAGGTTGTTGATTACAGCTAAGGATGGAGGATGAAGAGAGCTACTGAAGTTATTTGAAGCAATTATTATTATTATTGGAGCAATTTCCAAAAGGTCAGGGAATCACTAGCCTATGCCACAGGCTTAACTGCAAGGAACAAGTGATTTAAAAATCCATTTGGCAGCCTGAGTGGGAATAATGCCAATTACAAATAAAAACTGATTACCACACTAGGCTCCTCCAATAGACATCATCTGTCTGGCCCATTCATTTTGGTCCAGAGGCCTCTGCAGGAACCCCGGGGGCACTCTGTGCATTTCACCACCTGGAGGCCAAGGCTCCCCCTTATTATCTGTTCTTCTCCAGGAGCACTAGTGGGGTCTGTAGCCTGAGCTGACCATTTGCAAAGCTTCCTCTATGAAATCATTTTTATAAAATAAGATTATTAAAATATTAGAAGGACACAGGAATATAGGCTCTCTAAGAAAGATTTTCTAAGAGCCAACATTCCTTCCTGGTTTTTAAAGTAGCAATTCCACTTGGAACATTGCATCTTTGAATGTGGCAAAAAACCAAAGGCTTTTTTTTTTTTTAAACCATAAAAGCACATTTATAAAAGAATGGACAGGAAGAAGAGTTTCCATATGTGGCTACATCGAATAGAAGTGACCGCAATGATAAGTCCATCACATCTGATATTTCTTTAGTTTGACTTCTTTTGGAAGTGGATTTCAAAGAGAGATTAAAAAATCCCTCCTCCTAGAACCAACCCAGACTCTACATTTGCACTGTCCAATATGGTAGCTACTAACCACATATGCTATTTAAATATAAATGGATTAAATGAAACAAACAATTGTTTTTCTCACTTGCACTAGCCACAGTGCAAGTGCTCAATACAACTAGTGGTCCCTGCACTGGATAGTTTGGAGTAAAATGGTTCCATGTTTGCAGAAAGTAGTATGAAACAGCCTTGCCCTGGGAATTCTCTGGCAGTCCAGAGGTTAAGGCTCTACGTTTCCACTGTGGGGACAGGGGTTCAATCCCTTGTCCAGGAACTGAGATCCCAGATACTGTGAGGCGCAGCCAAAAAATAAATAAAAAGACAATCTCATTTTTTAAAAATGCCAGGAGCAGTGGCTGTGTATTAAGAATAAATAGATATAAATAGCCCTGCTCTAAATCCTATAACTAGTGCTAATGGAATGAAAGACACCAGGAACACAAACTCCTCAAGTTTGGAGGCCTTGCCTTCTTTCTTCACTAACCTGAGTACCCAGTAGACACTCTGTAAATACTTTTAAATAAATAAATGAATGAATCTGTGATAGACCCCAAGTTATGAAAGCCATGTTAAGGAAACATCTGCTCTGCTGGCTTCTTATGATCCATTTCCCAGCCTCTACCTTGATCCAAATTAGCTATTTTTGTCAGCATGCTTCCAGATAGCAGAAAATTGGCTACAAGTTATGATCTCAAAAATCTGTTCCATATTAACAACTTTGAGGAATTTTAATATAACCTAACATTCAATATAGTGCAAAGTTTTAATATAAGAGAAAAAATTTTAAAGGGCTAAAAATATTTTTTTTTAAACTAAGATTAAAGTTTGTGAGTTTTCAAATATAAAGCATGATACCATAAAATTCCTTGACAAGAACTTAGGCAAAACATTCTCTGACATAAATCATACTAATGTTTTCTTAGGTCAGTCTCCCAAGGCAATGGAAATAAAAATGAAAATAAACAAATGGGACCTAATCAAACTTATAAGCTTTTGCACAGCAAAGGAAGCCATAAACAAAATGAAAAGACAATCTGTGGGCTGGGAGAGAATATTTGCAAATGACATGCCAAACAAGGGCTTAATTTCCAAAATATACAAGCAGCTCATATAACTCAATAACAAAACAAAACAAAAAAGCCCCAAATAACCCAATTGAAAAAAGGGCAGAAGACCTAAACAAACATTTTTCTAAAGAAGACATACAGATGGCCAACAGACACATGAAAAGATGCTCAACACTGCTAATTATTAGAGAAATGCAAATCAAAACAACAATGAGGTATCACCTTATATTGGTCAGATGCCCATCATGAAAATGTCTAGGGCTTTCCTGGTGGCTCAGTGGTAAAGAATCTGCCGGCCACTGCAGGAGACATGGATTCGATCCCTGATCTAGGAAGATCCCACATACCACAGAGCAAATAAGCCACAACTATTGAGCTGTAGTCTAGAGCCCAGGAACTGGAACTACCGAGCCAGCGTTGCAACTACTGACGCCCCCGCACCCTAGAGCCTGTGCTTCACAACGGGAGAAGCTGGAGCACCACAGCTGGAAAGGGCTCCCACTCTGCACAACCAGAGACAGCCTGAACGGCAAGGAAGGCTCGGCACAGCCAAAAACAATACATAAAAGTACATATGAAAAATCTATAAACAACAAATGCTGGACAAGTGTGGAGAAGAGGGAGCCCTCCTAAACGCTGGTGGGAATGTAAATTGGTCCAGCCACTATGGAGAACCATACGGAGGTTACTCAGAAAACTAAAAACAGAGTTGTCATATGGTCCAGCAATTTCACTCCTGGGCGTATGGCTAGACAAAACTATAATTCAAAAAAGATACATACACCTCTATGATCATAGCAGCACTATTCACAATGCCAAGACATGGTAACAACCTAAATGTACCTAAATGGATGGATAAGAGAGACATGGTACATACATATAATGAAACACTACACAGTCATAAAAAGAATGAAATAATGCCATTTGCAGCAATGTGGATGGACCTAGAGATCATCATACTAAGTGAAGTAAGTTAGAAAGAGGAAGACAAATACCATACTTTACTTGTTACTTACATACCACATGTTACTTACATGTGGAATCTAAAACATGACACAAATGAATTTATTTTACAAAGCAGAAATAGACTCACAGAGAACAGACTGTGGTTGCTGAGGGAGGGGGGATGGATTAGGAGTTTGGGATTAGCAAACGCAAACTATTATATATAGGATGGATAAACCACAAGATCCTACCATATAGCACATGTGTGTGTGTGCTAAGTCACTTCAGCTGTATCCAACTGTGTGCGACCCTATGGACTTTAGCCTGCCAGGCTCCTCTGTTCACGGGATTCTCCAGGCAAGAATACTGGAGTGGATTGCCATGCCCTCCTCCAGGGGATTTACCCGACCCAGGGGTCGAACCGGAGTCTCTTGATGTTTCCTGCATTGACAGGTACGTTCTCTACCACTAGCGCCACCTGGGAAGCCCACACTATAGAGCCCAGGGAGCTATATATTTAATATCTTGTGAAAAACCATAATGGAAAAGAAAAAAGAGAAATCTAATTGGTTTATACAGCTTTCATTTTATTAATATGTTACAGAAATGTTTTTTAAGTTTGTGAATTTTCCACCAAATAAAGAAATTTAAAATTCAGTTGGTTCACAGCAAGCCTGTGGTAGGACCAGGTTGACTGTACTCACATTTTTAGAACCAATACTTACGAATGCATCGCCCTAGGGGATCCTCATAATGATTTTCCTCACACTCAGAGCAGCGTTTCCCATCATAGCCTGATCTACACGGACACTGGCCTGTAAGCTGTGAGAATGGTCATGGGTAAGAAATTGACAAGCTTTATGATCTTAAAAGAAAAAATTCAGATTAATACAAAACAACTTTTCCCTGCAATGATTTAGGACATACAGCTGTGCAGAGGCAGGAGGAGGATTCCCATGGCCAGCAGCCACCCCCGACAACACCAAGGATCAAGAGTTAATATGTTTTGGCTGAAGGCTCTTGAATATACCGCCTGCTTCCAGCTGTTCAGGGACGAGTGTCCTCAAACTGAGAAACAGCCACAGATGTAAATGAAAACAAAACACAAAATAGGAAATGGGCCACATTCCTCTCCTCTACGGTTCTGGGGGTTCTCCCCTGAGAGACAGGCCAAAGACCTGGTTTTAACATCCATCAACAAGTTTGGCAAATGTTTCCATTATGGAATGTAAATTGGAGTCTTTCCCAATTGGGCTAGTGTTTTTCCTCCACAAACTTTTTTTTTTTTGTAAATGAAGCTTAATCATTTAGTGACAATTATTTAACTGTGTTTTAGAGAGAGGGCTGAACTTCTCCGTATCCTCCCAACTGGATTCTTGACCAGATTTTCTGAACACTGAGGAGATTAGAAAATTAATGGGAAAAAACAGAAAGCAAATCACTATTGCTGTGGTCCTCCATTATACTTGACCAAATCTGCTTACCCAACGATGACTCCAGAAGTAGCTGAATTCTTAAAGTGACTGGACCTACTAAAGCTTCTACCCATCTCCGGAGTAACCACTGGCTTTTGCTCAAATATAGGGAGCTGCAGGAGCCTGTAGTCCCAAGGGTTGTCACGTTGCCACACTGTCTTTGTTGGGCAATGCTTTCCGTATGTTGATGCAGAATCTGCTCCTTTAACTTCTTCCCATTGTTCTAAGCCCAGTCTTAAGGAAATTGCACAAAACATATATCTTTCCTCTTCCTTTGTACAGTGCATCTCCCAACTAGAGTTGGCCATTCTCAACTTGTATATGCTTTGTTATTTTAAATCAATCACCCCTAAAACTTCATCACAAAATAGCATGGTTCTTCTCCACTATCCACAAACACTAGTTTGTCAATTCAGTGCTTAAAATGTGGTACTCAGAAAGGACAACAATGTTCCTGGGAGTCATCTGACCAGTACAGAGGACAAATGGGAAAAGAAAGGCTGCCCTGGAGCTGGGCATGGCACTCCCGCCCCTGCCCGAATGGGCATCCCCTCCTTGGCAGCCAAGCCGCACCACTGGCTCACTTGCAGCACACAATGAAAATCTCCCAGATGTTTTTCACTCAAACTTGTGCCAAGTTATTACTCCCTCTCTGTATTTATGCAATGGATTTAAGAAACCCAATTGCAAAACTTTATTTTTATTCCACTGACAAGTCATCTTCTTGTTTCCAGTCAATAAGACAGTTGTAAAATATCTTGTCTCTTGTTCTGTCTTGAACATATTAACTTATAATTTTGTAGTATCTGCAAATTTGATATGTTTGTTTCTCTATCAAAACTATTGATGAAAATATTGCATAGCATATTTGCTTCCCTAGGAATGCACTAGGGACCACCTACTGGCAGACATAGAGACATTTATCAGTAGTTGTTTAAACAGCTGGAAATCTCAATGACCGTGTGGCTCTTCTATATTCCAATGAAAGTGTTTCCTGATTTTAAAGAGCAAACTTCCCCAAGGAATCCCCTGTGGACCAGATTACCCCAAATACCCTTGTCATAATCAGGTCTTTGGTTAAACCAACACCATCTGATTTTCAGCTTTGTAGGCTTCCCTTGGCCTCCATGACTGAACTGCGGTCATTGTTAAGTGCTCCTGCAAATATGCTTCCCAAAAAGTCTAAGAAGCATACCAGACAGTGATGTCATGAGCATGAGGACTTCCTCATGAATTAACGAGCCAAGCAGTGTGTGGAAATCTGCTAATTTGTTCAGTTTGTTCTGTAGTTGGTGGCTGCAGGTGTGATGAGAGGAGAGGAGCATATAAAATAGTCACGGTCCTCTAGTGCCCAGGTCTTGGTTTCTAACATCATTCTCCAATAGAAGGAACCAGTGCTCCTTAAAGAAACGGCTAATTCTAGGGCAGAGGCAGGAAATATACAAAAGGACCTTAGAGCATCTTGCAGTGCAAAAAGTAGGGAGGTACTTAAAAAAAAACAAAACCCACCAACAATATTGAGGTATGTCAAAGGCCTAAAGAAACCAACTGAAAAAGTTTCCCATGACCAAAGCTGGAACAACTTAAACAACAAAATTAAGTAGTGTTGATTTATAACTCAAAGTATAGTAAAAATATCCTTGAGTTCACGGATATAAAAAATGATTAAATAAATGAAGAAATGGGAAACAAAAGACAAAACTCCAGTGCAGAAGAATAGAATAATTTATGGAGATACTCTGCCCTCAAGGAGACAGAGCATAACTCCCCAATCCTTAAGTGTGGTACTGTGCTGAGTGATTTCTTCCCAAGGAGTACGGTGTGGAAAAGAGCCAAAGGATCACTTTACAGTAGAGAAAGCTGACACACACCACTTCAGCCAGGTGGTCAAGGTTCAGGGCAGCAGCGATAAGTCACCTAAGTAGTGTATAGCTTTGATGTGATGTGATGAGAACAGCACTTTACCTCCAGGGCTCATCTTTTCCTCAGAATCCATAATTCAAGTCTTACCACAAGAGAGGCATCCGATAAATGTGAACTGAAGGACATTTTACAAAATACTCAAAACTATCATGGTATCAAAAATAAGGAAAGTCTAAGAGACCGTCACAACCAAGAGCAACCTAAGGAGATGTGATGACTAAACGTCGTGTGGTGTTCTGAAGTCTTGGAACAGAAAAAGGGCATCAGATAAAAAACTAATCAAATATGAATAAATTATGAACATTAGTTAATGATAATGCATCAATACTAATTCATTAATTATGAGAAATACACCATACTAATATATAAGAAATTTAATAACAGAAAAAACTTGGTGTGGGGTACATCTTCTCTATCTTCATGACTTTTCTGTAAACCTAAGTCTATCCTAACATAAAAAGTTATTAAGGAAAAAAAGGCCATGGTGTGCATTTTTGTGGATATGGGTTGGAGGAAGGAAGGTCTGAGATAAAGAAAAAGAGAAGGGAAAGCCCATTCTATATATAAGAACTACTTCAAAACTTTACTTCTACAAAATTTGACCTTTAATAAGTTGAACAGTGGAGTTGAAATTGGAGGTTAGATATACTTATTAATTGCGAAGATTCCAGCTTCTGAAATGAGCATTTTGATTCTAATTAAGCCCTAATCCCTATACTGTGGACTCGACTCTAAAATGTCTCATCATTGTTTTACCCTTCTTTTCACATCTCTGTTAATGTGAAAAGTGTTTCAAAGAATATATTTACAAAGCAAAAAACCTTATCATGAGATTGTTTTTTGCATAAATAATGTTAATATTCTTAAAAAATTTTTCATTCTCATTGTTTCATTGACTGAAAACCATATGTGCAGTTAAGTGTAGAGTTAATTGTACACGAAACAATAAAGATTTGATTCTAGACTGCATTCTCTAGAAACAATTGCTCCTGGTCTCGTAGCTTGAAGATAAATAAAATAAGAGGACATCTTATTTAACCATACGTAAAGCAACTGGTGAACCATGGGAATGACAGCTTGATTTTTAAAGATGGAATTATGGATTCTGAAGGCACTCAATTTTCATTCTGGTTAGTAATCAATTCTGATTAATGATGAAGTTCTTGGGGCTTCCCTATGCTTCTATGTACAAAACAGTGAAAGAGAAAGATTGTGATTTGCTGTGTGTGAATCTTGACTCGCCCAGTCCCACTGAGGACTGAAGAAAGTGGAACAGGGCAGAGCCTAACTTTCAGACCCTTATCCTCTCTTCTTTGGCGCTCTTCATTCCTTGATAAATGCAGACTCTATGCCCATAAAAGGCCAATCCTATCTAAAAACACTGATTAACAGCAATACATAAAGAAAACATTCTTTACATGTTTAGAAAGCATGTCTCCCTACTGTGACACCATAGGAAGTTGAAAGTTTCTTGCCTAGTCACAGCGGCTACTGAGCGAGGTCCAGGGGTCACAATCACATGGCTGACATCCTCTGCCAGGGACCAGATCCAGTATCCATCAGCACAATGGTCACAGGTCCGGCCAGTGACACTGGGCAGACATGGGCACGTGCCAGTGTCAGGGTCACAGAGGCAAACTTCCCCACTGAGGGGACACTCAGTGGGACTCACGCCAGAGGGATGACAAGAGCACCCTAGAAGCACAGAACCATCACTGGGGGTGAATCCATGATAACACTGGCAGTCAACAACCCATACAAACAGCTTTTTAGAGTGAAGGCATCGTTTCTTTAAAAGGACCAAGGAAGAAGCATTTTACAAGAAGAGAATTTATCAAAGAATCTAAGTAGGTTGAATTCATTCAACTGTTTTTGATCTCCCCCAACTATAATTTCCTATGGTTCAGCCGACTATGTTCCAAGAGCTCACAATTAGGATGAATGAAAGTTTCACTGTTTCCTCACATCAGTCACCAAAGTTCCACTTAAGCCAATGATCTGAGAACAAATGGTTTACTAAATTGACTTGGGTGAGCTGAAATAATTAAAATATTTCTTAAAAATGAATAGCATATTCCTTGACTTTCTTTATCATGGAATTAAACCCTTGTCCTCTTCTACATCAGTGATTCTCCTCTTTATACATTAAAGTCTGGTTGATGAGCTGGTTACAATGCAGGTTCCTGGGCCCCATTCCCCCCCAGAGATCCAATTCTGTAGGTCTGAGGCACAGTCCAGGAATCTGCATAATGATACTCCACCTCCATCCCTGGGTGATTCTGGCAGAGTGCACAGGGGTACACACTCTGAGAAAGGAGACTTCCAATCCTCCAGGGCATGCGCTGAAGTGTACAGTCCCAAAAGGCACACTTCTACCACCAGTGAGTTATTGCCGCAAGGCCACGCTGAGCCACATGTGCACCGCACCCATCTCTGCTGCCGAGTTCAGGACATCGGCCCGTTCTCTGTGGGTGCTGGCACCACGGACCTAACTGAAAGGAGTACCGGAGTTGCTACCACAGGTCAAGCTGCCACGTTTCCTGCCGAGAGCTTTGCAGACTTACTCATGCAGGTCTGATCGAGGGCCGAGCCGAAGTAACCTGGCTTGCAGAGCTGGCAGCTGGGGCCCTGAGTGTTGTACAGACATTTCAGGTACTCCCCTGTGGCTGGGCTGCAGGACCCTGCATCAGTCACGTCAATGTTGTTGTTACAGGCACATGGCCAGCAGGGTGCTCCGGAAATACCTGGATTTCCATAGAAACCAGCAGAGCATTCTCCACACTGCACACCTGAAAGAAGGGGAGAAGAAAAGAGAACGAGATAAGAAGTGTGTGCGCGCGTGCACACGTGTGTAGAGAGTGATGTGGACAACTGGACTCCTCTGGGGATTATGAAAGGTCACACATTTGGGATGAATAAGAAGAAGTGTTCTACATTAAAACCATTTTCATTTACTATCTATTCAGAGAATAAAAAGGCTATTTGGATATAGAAAGTTCTTGGTGAAGAACAGACTTTAGTCTTCCTTAAAAAACCACAGAGTTGTGAGTTCAGGATTCCTGGGTCCTCAAATAACCAAAACCACTCAAATATGCTTCTGGATCCAAAACTAATCTCAGCCCATGCTCTCCATGCGGCACTCCAACCCTTACCCAATCTTAGAGGTGAAACAGCCCCAGCCTGAGATAACATGCCTGGGGGTGCAGAGGGGTGAGTAGTTTTCCTGACATGTGAACCTCTGAGGGTTTTTTACACCCATCTCTGCTGCCGAGTTCAGGACATCGGCCCGTTCTCTGTGGGTGCTGGCACCACGGACCTAACTGAAAGGAGTACCGGAGTTGCTACCACAGGTCAAGCTGCCACGTTTCCTGCCGAGAGCTTTGCAGACTTACTCGTGCAGGTCTGATCGAGGGCCGAGCCGAAGTAACCTGGCTTGCAGAGCTGGCAGCTGGGGCCCTGAGTGTTGTACAGACATTTCAGGCACTCCCCTGTGGCTGGGCTGTAGGACCCTGCATCAGTCACGTCAATGTTGTTGTTACAGGCACATGGCCGGCTGGGTGCTCCGGAAATACCTGGATTTCCATAGAAACCAGCAGAGCATTCTCCACTCTGCACACCTGAAAGAAGGGGAGAAGAAAAGAGAACGCGATAAGAAGTGTGTGCGCGCGTGCACACGTGTGTAGAGAGTGATGTGGATAACTGGACTCCTCTGGGGATTATGAAAGGTCACACATTTGGGATGAATAAGAAGGAGTGTTCTACATTAAAACCATTTTCATTTACTATCTATTCAGAGGATAAAAAGGCTATTTGGATATAGAAAGTTCTTGGTGAAGAACAGACTTTAGTCTTCCTTAGAAAACCACAGAGTTGTGAGTTCAGGATTCCTGGGTCCTCAAATAACCAAAACCACTCAAATATGCTTCTGGATCCAAAACTAATCTCAGCCCATGCTCTCCATGCGGCACTCCAACCCTTACCCAATCTTAGAGGTGAAACAGCCCCAGCCTGAGATAACATGCCTGGGGGTGCAGAGGGGTGAGTAGTTTTCCTGACATGTGAACCTCTGAGGGTTTTTTTAAATAACCTTTATAAGACACTTTGAGGGTATTTCCATGAAAGATAGTGGAAAAACCATCCCATCTCTCCTACACTCTACTCTTTCAATCACAAAGGCAACTGCCAATGTTTAGGTGCCCAAACCCTGGGTCCACCTTCCATTTTTTGGTTTATTCCATTTAGAAATGGTCTCATAGCTCAACCATGGTCTCAGCTCTTAAGAACTGACCAACCATGCCAGAGTGTGCACGGAGAAGAGGCTGTAAGATTAAGTAGAGACTTGTGTAACCTTAGAGGTAATAAGTAAGAAAAATAATGGCCATGTGATTTATCACGATGGTAATTATAATAAAGAAAATAATAATGCCATACTTTTTAGTATCATTAAATAATACAGACTTCATGATTTTTCTCCTTGTTTGTATTGTATATTTATACTTATGCTTAAACTCCTTAAATAAAATTTTTGACTAAGGGACAGACATAGATATTGAATTAATTTTTGCAGTATCTGTACATTACCCAAATTGGTGCTTTAAGACATCTGAAAAAAATTAGTTATATCTGTGAAATATCAATCAAATTGATTACTTGAAATTATATAAAGAAAGCAGTTGAATGATTTTTATTTAAAAATTTTTGTGTTTTATATGTATATATCAATGTATAAAACTTAATCACATATTTATATTATTTAACACATCATGATTTTATTTTAAATAAATTATTTTGATTTGAGCTCATTTGGTCAATTTTCCAGACCATCATTTAAAAACATAAGCTCTGTGATATGAGTTTTTATCACTGGTTTTCGAACCATTCAAATTCTTTGTTCTGAAAAGTAGCAATTTACCAAATTGTGTCTTCTTACCATTAACCTATTATATCCTGTATCACTCATTTTTCCAAGGCAGATAATATGAATATGTGATCATTTTTCAGATAGAAATGTAGGATGAGAAGGAAAAACAACATCATGAAGTATACTGCATACCTGTATAACCTGGAAAACAATTGCAGATTACATCTGAGTTCCAAAGATTCTGATAACAGGAATGGGCAAAATACCGATTGCTGGAGGGAACATCTGGACACGGGCAAGGACGGCAGGACTGTCCTGAAGANCTCCAATACTTTGGCCACCTGATGAGAAGAGCTAACTCATTGGAAAAGACCCTGATACTGGGAAAGATTGAGGGCAGGAGGAGAAGGGGACGACAGAGGATGAGATGGTTGGATGGCATCACCGACTCAATGGACATGAGTTTGGGTAAACTCCGGGAGTTGGTGATGGACAGGGAGGCCTGGTGCCCTGCAGTCCATGGGGTCACAAAGAATGGGACACGACTGAGCAACTGAAATGAACTGAGGACAGTGCAACTCTTAAAACTCAACATTTTAGTAGATGCTCATTTGCTCTGTAGAAAGGTTTTCTGCTTCACATTGAAAGTCCCACAGCTTAGTCATTAAACTGGATATCATGGCATCTAATTTACATGCACATTTTAGGGATAGAAAAAGGTGCCAAGCAAATGCACGTTACTGATTTAATCAGGCAAAGTCCGGTTCTTAACAAGACTTTGAAGGATGATGAAATGATGCTCTATCTTCCCCCGCCCGTCGCCATCACGATACACTTCAATTGATTCTCTACTCAGTGGTCCTTTAGAGAATGTTGTGAAATCAGAACAAAAGGAAAAAAAAAGTGCACATGCATTCCATACCTTTCACAGTTTCTCCCAGTTGTCAATCCGCCACAGTTGAAGCATGACCCAGTTTCTGGATCACAAAGTTCAGTGAGCCCATTACAGAGGCAGGGGCGGCAGTTGGGAAATCCGAAGTAGCCAGCCAGGTGCCGATCGCAATGGTGGCCAGCCACCTGTCCACGGCACGGGCACTGTCCTGATACTTGGTCACATGTGGTGCTGTTTGAGCCTTGAGGGTGGCAGTGACAAGCTGAGCAGAACAAAGAGAAACCTGCCAGGGTCAAGGGGCTAGTGGTGGGTTGGTGAGAGAGTCACAGTTCTGATATCATAATCTCTAACTTACTGTATCAACCCGATCAAGGTAAATAAATTTGAGTCCATACAGTGCTTAGAACAGAGCCTTGCATGTACTGGGTCCAGTTATATGTGCTCAGTTGGCAAGTTATATCTGACTCTGTGCAACCCCATGGACCATAGCCCACCAGGCTCCTCTGTCCATGGAATTTTCCAGGAAGAATACTGGAGTGGGTTGCCATTTCCTACTCCAGGGTATCTTCCCAACACAGGGATCAGTCCTGTGTCTCTTGTGTCTCCTGCACCCAGTTACATATGATTTGTTAATAAGAATTCACTGATTTCATTTGATCAACAGTATGTTGTGGACAACTGCAGTGTTCTTTTTTTTAAATTGTGGAATGACATATGACATTATATTAGTTTTAAGTGTACTACATGATGATTCCATATTTGTATATATTGCAAAATGATCACCATCATTAAGTCTAATTAATATGTCATGACACACAGAGTATTTGTCTTGTGATAAGATCTTCTAGGATTTGTTCTCTTATAACTTTCTAATATAGCATACTGTATTATTAACTAAAGTCACCATGCAGTACATTACATTCCCATGACTTACATATTATATAGCTGGAAGTTTGTACCTTTTCACTTCATTCACTCATTTTGCCCACCTCATCTCTGGCAACCACTAATCTATTGGTGCTCTAGATCCATGAACTTGATTTTTGTTTGTTTGTTTTAGATTCACAAATAAATGAGATCATACTCCTAGAGAGCGAACTTATGGTTACAAATGGCAAAGTTTAGACAGAAGGGATAGACTGGGAGTTTGGAGTTGACAGGTACATACTACTATGATACATGTACATACGTAACTGAATCACTTTGTTGTACACCTGAACCTAACACAATATTGTTAATCAACTATCCTCTCATATAAAATAAAAAAATAAAAAGAGAAAATGCAATCACACAGAATTTGTTGTCTTCTATCTGACTTATTTCACTCAGCATGAACCCTCTAGGTCCATTCAAGTTGCTGCAAATGTCAAGATTTCCCTTTTTTAAAATGACTAATATTCCATTATTATATTATAGATATATGTATCAGTTCAGCTCAGTTCAGTCGCTCAGTCGTGTCCGAATCTTTGCAACCACATGGACTGTAGCGCACCAGGCCTCCCTGTCCATCACCAACTCCCAGAGTTTACTCAAACACACGTCCATTGAGTCAGTGATGCCATCCAACCATTTCATCCTCTGTTGTCCCCTTCTCCTCCTACCTTCAATCTTTCCCAGCATCAGGATCTTTTCAAATGAGTCAGCTCTTCACATCAGGTGGCCAAAGTACTGGAGTTTCAGCTTCAGCATCAGACCTTCCAATGAATATTCAGGACTGATCTCCTTTAGGATGGACTGGTTGGATCTCCTTGCACTCCAAGCGACTCTCAAGAGTCTTCTCCAACATCACAGTTCAAAAGCATCAGATCTTGGGCACTCAGCTGTCTTTATAGTCCAACTCTCACATCCACACATGACTACTGGAAAAACCATAGCTTTGACTAGAAAGACCTTTNGATGATCCAGCAGATGTTGGCAATTTGATCTCTGGTTTCTCTGCCTTTTCTAAATCCAGCTTGAATATCTGGAAGTTCATGGTTCATGTATTGTTGAATCCTGGCTTGGAGAATTTTGAGTATTACTTTACTAACATGTGAGATGAGTTCAATTGTGTGGTAGTTTGAGCATTCTTTGGCATTGCTTTTCTTTGGGATTGGAATGAAAACTGACCTTTTCCAGTCCTGTGGCCACTGCTGATTTTCCAAATTTGCTGGCAGATTGAGTGCAGCACTTTCACAGGATCATCTTTTAGGATTTATATATCATATATTATATCATGGAAATACATACCTATATATACATCACATTTTACCTATTCATCTGTTGGTGGAAACTTAGGTTGTTTCCATACCTTGGCTACTGTAAATAATGCTGCACTGGATAAGAGGGTGCAAGTATCTTTCCAAGTAAGTGTTTTCATTTTCTTTGCATAAATACCCAGAAGTAGAACTACTGGATCATATGGTAGTTCTTTTAAAGTTTTTGAGGAACCACCATACCCATACTGTTTTACATAGTAGCTGCACCAATTTACATTCCTAGTGTACAGGATTCCCTTTTCTCCACATCTTTGCCAACACTCATTATTTCTTGTCTTTTTGGTATTAGAATTTCTAATAGATGTTGAGGTGATATCTCACTGTGGTTTTGATTTTCATTTCTCTGCTGGCCAGCAATTCTGAGCATCTTTTCATGTAGCTATTGGCCATATGTGTATCTTCTTCAGAAAAATGTCTATTCAGACATTCTATCCTCTGTCCATTTCAATCAAGTGTCATAAATGCTGTTTATACAGAGCATCTGAATAAGTAATGCTTTTAATGATTCAAACTTCCATGAAACTTAGGATTCAAACTTTCCAATTATAAAAATAAGAAGAACGATACTTAAATGGCTAGATTTTTCTTTTCCCTATATGAGATGATAGAGATTCAATCTTTTTCTGGTAAATTGCAGAACTCTTTGAGCCAATCTTCCCTATACAAAAATGTGATGCTTGACAGGGTGGTACGTGGAAGAAATGTTTTCTCTTTTGTGTGTCAGCACTTCATAATCTTTTTAAAGAAAAGGAAAATAAATGATGGACCAAAGCACTGTTTGCTGGGTAGACAGACAACCATGCCCAGGTGATGACCAGGAAGGTATACCATCTCTCTGAATCATAACTGAAAAGACATGTTCACTGGTTTGGAAGGAGAATTAACCTACCTGGGTGTTTTCATGGTTCCTAAGGAAGATTTCTCAGTGGGGAGCAGTGTTTCCACTAATGGTTTACACTGTGAACAGAGAACTATTTACCCTGAACATGACAGTCTTGATAAAGAATCAGCAATGCTAGATGAAGCCTTATCTAAGCCTTTATTAATGGGTGGCTTATGAAATGAGTTCCAAGGTTAGTTGTGACCCCAGCAGCAGAAAGGGTAAAATTCGGGCGACAGGGTCACCCCTCTTTTCAACTTCCAAATCTCATACTGTTATAGCCTTTCCAACCACTGGGTTTATGCACCAGGTGATAAAGCTGGGGTTACACAGACAACTCCTTGGGGTTCTCACATCCTCCCTGGGCTACTACGTTTCTATCATCACGCATGGTACCTAAGAGAGCTCTGCACACAGTGCCCACTGCATGAAAGAATAAAGTATGGAAGAAAATGTTCAGTGTTTTACCTACACTGATAGTCTGAACAACATAGTCAAATTCCTAACCATGCCTTCTAAACTCCCCACATTGATTTTCTCGCCTTCAAAACTCCAAGGTCGAGAACATGTGGGTTTTCCCCATCTGGGTTTTGCTACGTACAGTGACAGCCATGTTGCCCCAAACCGTAGCTTCCTGTTGAGCACGTGTCACAGCAGCGGCCAGTCACCCCAGGCTTACATTGGCACTGGCCTCCCAGTCGGCTGCAGTTGGGTCCCTTCGAGCCCTGTGGATGACACTTGCAAGCTGCAGGGAACAAAGGAAGTTAGAGGGAAAGGAAGTGACAGCAAAGCACCTCAGCCCATTAGCAGCTCTAGTTTTGATCCCTCTTTCTCATTGGATACCTCTACCTCCTCGGATTATACAGATTAAAGACAATCATGCCTGTGAAGTACTTAGCATAGTGTTTGGCACAAAGTAAGTGCTCAATAAACACTACTTAATACACATCACTTAACAGTAAACATTACTTAACAAGTTACTGAAAGGAGCCCATTAGCAGCTCTAGTTTTGATCCCTCTTTCTCATTGGATACCTCTACCTCCTCGGATTATACAGATTAAAGACAATCATGCCTGTGAAGTACTTAGCATAGTGTTTGGCACAAAGTAAGTGCTCAATAAACACTACTTAATACACATCACTTAGCAGTAAACATTACTTAACAAGTTACTGAAAGGCTTGAAATAGATTGCTTCAATCATTAGTTGTTCCAATGTAATTCTTATTGATGCTTTTATTTCAATTCCTAGTGATCTATGTTGATGCTGGATTATGCCTTTCATTTCCCTTATTCCATCTTTCTTGAAGTTGTGGGCATCCTGAAGGCAGAGTCCTGCATGGAAGAAGCATCTGACGATCTCAGAAAGCCCAGACTCTCAATGTGGCTGTCACTTTAGAGCACTGATTCTCAGCTAGAGGGGAGATCTTGCTCCCCAGGGGACATATGATAAAGTCTGGGAGCATTTTTGGATGTCACACCTAGGGGGAGGGTACTACTGATATCAGGTGGGCAGAGGGTAGGCTTGCTGTTAAACATCTTACAATGCACAGGATAGTGCCCCCTTCCTAGCAAAGTGTTACCCAGACCATCTAGGTCTTTCAAAATCTTTCAAATCTATTCAAAAGTGCTGAAACCCTGTTCTACAGTTGAGTGAAATGGGCAAGTCACCTCATGTTTTGGACTCAGTCTCATTTATTAAATGAAAGTTGAGGGAATGAAAGAGGTTGTTTACAGTTCATTCTAGCCCTAACATTCCAGGATTCCAAAGAAATATTTTAGGACTGTTGTTCCAGAAATCTGGCATTCCCCAAGTGACTGCCAGGCTCTTCTTTTACATATTTTCTGTACTGTAAACTATGATGTCAACACATGGAGAGAATGCACTGTGTATCTAACCATTGAGCAATTGGTATTTACATTGGCTGTTGAGCTAAAACATATTAAACTATTTCACTCATATTCCTTTGAACAGACAATGGCGCTTCAGCAGAGCCCATTGAACAGATACTCACCCACGGCCCCGTTGTGTAGCCTGGCAGACAAACTGGCTATAAGCCTTTTACATGCTCCAGGGAGCACCTGAGGTCCCGATGCTGAGGCAATTTCAACACAGTTGTGCAGCTGATATTCATCTAAATCCTGCTTGCTGCAGAAATTCTTCAGTGAGTTGATTTGGGGAGTAAGACCAAGCTTTTAAAATAACAAGGAAAAAAAAAGAGATTTCTGTTTATAGTAAAATCCTATTCAAGATTCCAGTTATTAAAACAATTAGATCTATGAGAGTCATGGTTGAAAAGAGACTCAATTTCATCCCTTTAATTGCATGCAACTGAAGATTTTAAGATTTTCAATTTATTTAAGAAATCTTCAACTAAATATTTACATTTGTTGACTTCTGGCAAAGAAAATAAGCCTTTATCTTTTTATTATTATATTTTTTACTTGCTAATCAGTTTGTCTTAGATTTGAAAGATTGCTAACTAGACTACTTGTAATGGATTAAGAAAGGACAGCTTAGGGACTTTCCTGGTGGTAGAGCGGATAAGAATCCACCTGCCAATCCAGGGGACACAGGTTTGATCCTCGTTCTGGGAAGATCCTACATGTCACAGAGCAACCAAGCCAGGGTGCCGCAGCTACTGAGCCTGTGCTCTGGAGACCGAGGACTGCGAGTACTGAGCCCACATGCCGCAAAATAAACAATTTAAAAAATTATGACTTAGGTGGTGCACAGTAGTATTACTGTGGAACTCTAAGGCCACAGGACGCTCCTTTAGAAAGTTCTGTCTTTTTCCATGGCTGACTCAGGTTGATGTTTGCCAGAAACGAACACAATACTCTAAAGCAATTATCCTTCAATTAAAAATAAACACATTAGAAAAAGAAAGCTTTGTCTTTTTCAGTTACACATGAACAGTGCTGTTCTACATCAAACAGACTGCCTCTTGGGAGCCTCGCAGTACAGATGAACACGTTAAACCTCTGAGAGGTACTGCAAGAAAGTTACTTTTGTTTTTTATTGAATTATAGTTGATTTATGATGCTCTGTTAGTTTTAGGTGTACAGTACAGTAGTTCAATTGTGTGTGTGTGTATATATATATATATGTGTGTGTGTGTGTGTGAATATATATTGGAGTAGGAAATGGAAACCCACTCCAGTATTCTTGCCTGGAAAATCCAATGGACAGTGGAGCCTGCAGGCTACAGTTCACAGGGTCATAGAGAGTCAGATATGACTGAGTGCACACACACATACACAAGAATATATATACATACATATGTATTCTTTTTCAGATTCATTTCCCTTATAGGTTATTACAAAATATTGACTTAGCTCCCTGTGCTACACAACAAGTCCTTGTTGTTTATCTATTTCATGTAGTTTTTATCTGCTAATCCCAATCTCCTAATTCATCCCTCCCCATCCTTTTCCCCTTTGATAACTATAAGCTTGTTTTCTGTTTTGTAAATAAGTTCACTTATAGAAAAATACTTCAAAACGCAGTGTTTCCACACTTATTTTGCCACTTGGTCCTATATCCAAATAATATTTATTAACATCCTGTGTGCTTAAGTGTTTCACGGATGCATTCTGGGAATTCCTGGCTAAAACCACATAGCTATTATGGGGACAAGGACATCATTTCAAGCTTATTCTCAAGGAGGAATGATCTACAGTTTAATAGTTACATGAAGAATAACTATCTGTTGAGATTTCTTGAGATTTTATCTAAATTATAACCTGACACTATTCAAAACGTTCACTAATGACTTGGATGAAATAGTGAAGAATGGTAGAGCAAACTGATCACCAAGTTTGTCATTTTGAACAACTGGTGGAAAAAACAGCACTGAAAATAAGTTTGAACTCAACAGGTCAAGTTGGGAGGGGAACCTGATAGCGCAGATAAATCTCCCCTCCTCTTTCTGCTTTGTCTACACTGACGTTAGTTTCCATGGGTTTTACTTCAACCCTCTTCAGTCTTTTCCTTTCTGGCCTCTGACACACCCCCACTGCGGGGTGCAATCTCAAACCTGGATGACAATTTCAGTAATCCAGACTATTTCTACTCCTCAAATTTCTAACCCCATCCTCCCAGCATGTCACTGCCTCTCACTCCTCAAACTTCATAGAGAAAACAGATAACAGCAAAGGGACTGGAGTCTCTTCCTTCCTGTTTCCCAAACTCCTGTCTCACAGGTGCTGACACCTGTCCTCACCTCTGCAAGCTGGTGGAGGAGAGGTATCCCAGGGGAAGAGATGTCCCAGCAGCTATGCCCTCTGCCCTAGGAAACTTTCCTGTGGAATACGCACCCGGAAGCCTGGTGTGCTCCAGTCCATGGGGTCTCAAAGAGTTGGACACGACGTAGTGACTGAACAACAATGCCTTCCTTCTTCAGTCTTTTTATTTCAATCGACATATGTATGTGCTTAAATCTCTCCCATCTGTAAAGTCACCTCCTTGATCTCAAATATTTCTCCTGCTACTGCCTTGGCTCTTGATTCCTTGGCAGTCAAATTTCTTTAACAACTGTTTCCTTGCCATCTTCACTACCTCTTCTCCCATTCACCCCTCACGCCAAAGCAACAGCTCTCCCCTAAATGTTGGGGCTCCTTGGGGTTCTCTCATGGGCTCTCTTCTTACCCCACATCCATTTCCTAAGTGATTGTAATGAAGCTGTGTCTTTGATTTTCATTTGCATTTATGTCTGCTGCCACATCTCAATCATGGGTTCCAGCTCTGCACAGACAAGCTTATCAGTTGTCCCAAAGGCACTGCCAATCAAACACACTCACAACCTGCCTTCCTTTCAGTGCCTATCACCAGGAAATAGTGCCACAAATGGTGGAAAAAACAGCACTGAAAATAAGTTTGAACTCAACAGGTCAAGTTGGGAGGGGAACCTGATAGCGCAGATAAATCTCCCCTCCTCTTTCTGCTTTGTCTACACTGACGTTAGTTTCCATGGGTTTTACTTCAACCCTCTTCAGTCTTTTCCTTTCTGGCCTCTGACACACCCCCACTGCGGGGTGCAGTCTCAAACCTGGATGACAATTTCAGTAATCCAGACTATTTCTACTCCTCAAATTTCTAACCCCATCCTCCCAGCATGTCACTGCCTCTCACTCCTCAAACTTCATAGAGAAAACAGATAACAGCAAAGGGACTGGAGTCTCCTCCTTCCTGTTTCCCAAACTCCTGTCTCACAGGTGCTGACACCTGTCCTCACCTCTGCGAGCTGGTGGAGGAGAGGTATCCCAGGGGAAGAGATGTCCCGGCAGCTATGCCCTCTGCCCTAGGAAACTTTCCTGTGGAATACGCACCCGGAAGCCTGGTGTGCTCCAGTCCATGGGGTCTCAAAGAGTTGGACACGACGTAGTGACTGAACAACAATGCCTTCCTTCTTCAGTCTTTTCATTTCAATTGACATATGTATGTGCTTAAATCTCTCCCATCTGTAAAGTCACCTCCTTGATCTCAAATATTTCTCCTGCTACTGCCTTGGCTCTTGATTCCTTGGCAGTCAAATTTCTTTAACAACTGTTTCCTTGCCATCTTCACTACCTCCTCTCCCATTCACCCCTCACGCCAAAGCAACAGCTCTCCCCTAAATGTTGGGGCTCCTTGGGGTTCTCTCATGGGCTCTCTTCTTACCCCACATCCATTTCCTAAGTGATTGTAATGAAGCTGTGTCTTTGATTTTCATTTGCATTTATGTCTGCTGCCACATCTCAATCATGGGTTCCAGCTCTGCACAGACAAGCTTATCAGTTGTCCCAAAGGCACTGCCAATCAAACACACTCACAACCTGCCTTCCTTTCAGTGCCTATCACCAGGAAATAGTGCCACAACCTGCCAAGCTGCTTGCTGTAGAAAACTGAAGGCCATCTTTGATACCAGCCTCTTCATCATCAACACGCCCAATCCATCCCACTTGCTCCCACCCCCAACATCAAGTTCTTCACAAGCCTGGTCAATTTGACCAACTGATACGTCTAGGATGTGTTTATTGCTCTTCATTTCCCATCACTTCCCTAACCTAGGCCACCCAGATGACCGTGGTGACAGCCCCAAAGATGTCCCAGCTTCCACTTTCGTCTCCCCTCTGTCATCAGTTTTCTACCCTATTGCCACAGAGACCTTTTATTTTTTTTATTTGTTTTTTTAGAGCAATTAAAGGAATTTAATAGTAAAGTAATTTCAAAGCAATACCCTAAATATAGATCCTGTTCTGTTACTTCAAAATTTATCTCTGAATAAATAGAATAAAGAGTTTGTATATACTGAATACATGAAATTGCCAATCTTCCAACTTTGTTAAAGGTTTTATTGAGGTATAATTAGCATGCAATAAACCACACCTCAAGAGTTCAATTTGATAAGTTTTTTTTTCTTTTTTTTTTTACATGAATCAGCCATGGATTTACATGTGTTCCCCTTTCCGATCCCCTCTCCTGCCTCCCTCACCATCCCATCCCTCTGGGTCTTCCCAGTGCACCAGGCCTGAGCACCTGTCTCATGCATCCAACTTGGGCTGGGGAGATCCTCTATGACCTACCTCCCAGAATATTGGAAATAAAAGCAAAAATAAACAAATGGGACCTAATTAAACTAAAAAGCTTTTGCACAACAAAGGAAACTATAAGCAAGGTGAAAAGACTGCCTNCTCTCAGCTCACTGGTTCTCTCTGTGGGAGGTACCCGCCCACACCGGGCATTTTAGAAATTCCAAGGGGTAATTTTGGTTGTCAAGGTAATTGGGTGAGGTGTGTGACTGGCATGGGTGGGTGGAGATCAGAAATGCTAGACATTCTCACAGAAAGGAAAATAATTTCACGTCTCTGGCAGCTTTTGAATGTTTCACTGAAGATCCATGAAGGAGCATTCTGTTTACAGTTATGAGTTGAAAGCTTTACCCCGTGTTTTTAAAATATGTCAAACATGTTTACAACACATCTGCTTGCATGGCTGTCTCATATGTAGTGATTCTACATGTATGAGCATCTCCACCCTTCACTGTCTCCCAGTGTGTTCATGTCCATGCATGTACATATTGAAGTACATACTATATCTCTATAAATGACTTCTCTTTTATCTCTCCTTTGTGTTTGCACATAACACTGATAGTATTTAGAAGCTGTACATTCAGGTAGGCTATAATTTCTGTGAATTTCACTGCAGGATAGGAAAGAGTGTTACAAAATATTTGTAATAAGAAGGGAAGGTTGTGTCAGATGACATTTAGAGCCACTGCCTGAGCCACACCAAATGACCTGTCACAACTCCCAGTATCTATCATGACTGTGCGGTCACTTCTTGCATAACTGCCTACGTCTCCTCCTTAGAGCACCAGCCCTGGGGAAGGCAGGGAAGGTTCTAGTCTTGTTTACACCTATGCCTGCCCCACTGGCTAATTTTCAGTACATGCTTATTAAAAATTCTGCAGTAAAGAAGTACACATACATTCTTAGGATTGTATCTTTAAGTTGATACTAAAATGGCTCTGCATTCTCCAAACACAAACCAAGCAGGGTGACACTCAGAAGGAAGCCAGATGGGTTAGGCTTAGGAGTGAGGGCAGCCAGTCCAGGACCACTGTTTACAGTTCTTGGTCAGAGCTGGTTTAAGAGTTGGCCATTCTTGGCACCAAGCCGATGGAGCAGATGACAAGAGCTCCTGTTAGCTACAGAGGTTTATAATGCCGACTCACTTCTCCTAGAAACCTCTAAGGACTTTATGTTACCAACTACAGTCCATCTCATGGTTTAAAAGAAGAATGGCAGTTTTATGTTCTATAACGCGTAATCTCTGTTTTTATGGACACACCTATCATGTAATTAGGGCAACTGAAAAAAAATGAACCTACTCACTATGCTTGCCAAACAAAAGATATTTGTGCAGAAGGGTTGAACATAGCTTTCCTCTGGTCTTCTTGGTAATGCATCTCAGTTAATCAGGCTGCAGAGGGGAATGAACGTAGAGAGGGTCGAGTTCCAAGCAATCGAGTATTTCCCAGAACAGCAGAGTTGCTTTAGTCTGTAATCATAATGTGCAAGGACTTTCTCCTACTGTCATCCTGGGTCAGGGACTCTCGGGGACATTGCAGGTGCCCTGCTCAGACCTCCCCACCCCCCAGCTGCTGTGGCACTGGCTCCTAAAAGCTCACAGCTGCTCCCTTCTCCAGAGAACTGGACTCAGCCACTGTGTCCAGGAGTGAGTGTGCTCCCTGGGGCGGGGCGGGGGGAGCCTGTAGCCGAGGATGACATGAGCACACAAAGCCCTACCCCTTCACCTCCACGTGGAACCAACCCATGGGGCAATTCATGCCCCAGAGCTCCCTGAGCCCATCCTTGCTGAGTTCCTTCTGCTGGCCCCTCACTCCTCTTTCCCAATGAGCACCTCACACCAGGAGCACCTGAATCTCTGCTTATAAGGAATCTCACTCTAAAACGATGATTAAAGGCCTCTTCTGGGGTTTTGGACAGTTTGCCAAGATCTGGAGGCTCTCTTAAATTTTATTTTGGTTTTAGGAATTTTCATGGCTATATGTAAGAGAATGTAAGAGAAAACGGACATATGTTTAGTTAATTTCAAATTGTCCATGTATATTCTACATCTATCAAACATCAATGCAGTGGTTTTGTTTACACGCCTGTCCTGTATATCAGGCTGAGGGCAAGAACCAGATTTTTTTCCCCTCGGGAATTAGCACAGTGCCTGGCTGTACTCTCAGAGGTACATCACCCATTCATCATGGGTGATGAATGGACAATTTGGATGGATGCATTAACACAGCATCCAGTGATTACTTGGGAATTTATAAACTTTTAGAGATATTTAGGACATGGATTTAAAATGAGAAGTAACTTAGCTCTCATAAATTTAAGTTTCATGACTGTTACGATTACAATAATAACATCCCTTTGTTACTAGGAATCCTTATTTTCTATCTTTCCCTTTCTTTTCTCTGCCTGGGTTCCCATCTGTCAGGTTTTGTTCCCCTTAATTAAACCTGTTGGATTTGATTCTCTTTCTTTGTAACTCACGTGTTGGTTCATAAGCACAGTTCTATTTAAAGTTCCTCATCAGAATATGAATTATATGGGTTAGGGAAATCATGACAATTTACACTTCCCATTCAGGAGTTGGTTTCCACTTTCCATTTCAATTATACTGAATTTCAGAGAAACAATGAATACTTTTTTAGTATATCTCAAGTAATATTTGAGGGCAATATTTGGCTCATATTTATGTCATATTCAAATTTAACTGGGTGCCCTGTATCTTTCCTCCCTCCACCTCTCCCTCTTTCCTTCCTTCCTTTCTTTCCTAAATCTTGCAATCCCATCTTTGATAAAATAATCTTAAATAATGGCCTTTTAAAAATGCTGTAATAGCTGCACTTACAGAATAAAAATCCAAGATGTACCTGCCCCACACTAAATTCTATAATAGATAATGAAATTAAGAAGTTCTAGCTTATAAATTAAAAATGTTCAATAGTTAAAAACTGAAGTTTAAAGACACAATACACAAAATATGGAGAGAGATATATACCTATGTATATACTTAAATATAGCTAATTAAATCAGGGGTTGACAGACTTCCCATAAAAGATCAGATAGTAGAGGACAGAAGAAAGGCTCAAGAGAGAGGGGATATGTGTTCATATATATATACACGTATGTATGTATGCATGTGTATATGCATGTGTATGTACATGAATGACTGATTTGAGTTGTTGCACAGCAGAAACCAATAAAACATTGTAAAGCAATTTTATGCCAATTAAAAAAACTTTTAAAAACCCAAGAAGGCCAGATAGTTAATATTTTGGCTTTATGATCATAAGATCTCAGCTGCAAATACTCAGTGGTGCCTTTGTAGCTTGAAAGCAGCATAGATAATAAATATGTAAACAAACAGGCATGTCTGTGTTCCAATAAAACTTGATAGGGTTGTGGTATGCTAATTAAATCACAATATTAGGAGATTCTAGCAGATATTTTAAAATAAAGTTTAACAAAGCAATTTGATTTTTATCCACAAAATTTTTTAAAAATCTCACATACTTCTGTACAATTCTGCTAATGGTGGGATGAAACTGGCACTTTCATGCATTACTGATGATCCTGAAAATTAACTGATGAATACCTACCAAAAATTAATTTGACAGATTTCAAGAGCCATGAAATTTTGGTGAAGTATGAATGCATTTTAAAATATTTAAAAATATACCAACTATGCAGAGTTATAAAAAATAGAAGCAACTTAAATGACCAGAAAAGGGGAATAGGTAAGTAGAGTAAGTAAATTTATCCAGTGTCTAAACTCTGCCCAGTGACAGGACTGAGCCTAAAGTTGTGGACAGAATGAAAGGTTTGGAATAAATACCTGTGGCCCAAATTTGGAGGAGAAAACAATGAAAGAAGTTACTCAAGGAAACACTATGCATGGTTCCTAAAAATGGTAAGCTTACAAAAGCACCAAAAGAAAATGCTTATGATGTAATACAAAGTGCAAAAAAAAAAAAAAAAAAACCATGAAAGAAAGTCTTGTCTGAGCACTCTGATTACAGGTATAGAAAAGTATAATAGGTAGAAAATGGGAAGTTACAAGGTGACAGTAAGTAATTAATTATTGGTGGACTATCTCCCCAAACTTTCTATAATGCAAGTACACAGTTGTGGCTCCAGGCAGAGATGCTGGAATCAGGCCTTCTGACTCTGAATTCTCTCGCCTCACTCACTAGCTCTGTGACCCTTTGCTTCAATTCTGTCTGCAAAATGGGAATAAACACAGACTTCCCTCACAGAGTTGTCATGAAGTCTCAACAACAGAATATGGAAAACACTTCAAACCGGGGCTGACAAGTGCTGTTCTGGAAGATTTGCCATTGTTATTCGGTGACCTTCATAAACAGTAGGTGATTTTCATAATGAAACAAATAGATTTCTATTTCTCATGAAACACTGCAAAGTACAAACCTACATGTACGATTAGAATGGAACTCAGTTCAGAAGGAAGCACCCGCAAGGCTCCTGTGGTACTCACAGAATCAACCAGGATGGGTGAATGAGCCTTGAACCTTCCTTCCAAAGGCTGGGAAAAATAGACATCAAGGGAATATTGTACATCTGGTTCTAAACAGATGGGTGTGGGAAGCAGCATGATTCTGTATTAAAAGAAATAAAGCAAAAATTCAGTGTCATAAGTACAGTTATATAAACGAAGCAGCCATTGCATTTGGTGTGTTCCACATGTGCTGTGAAGCGGGTTCCACTGCCAGATGGAGGCTTGGTTTAGATCTAGACCAGTTCAGGTGGGTTGGGTGGTCAGTTCACATTCAGATTCTCTCTGGCTCTACCACAGGATTGTGCCAAATAGCAAAACCTTGGGAGCTGGCCAAGGGGTATCACGACTGCTCTGGGGAGAGGATGGAGCAAATGTCCTCCCTCCCATCTATCAGGCTAATATTAACAAGTTTCTGTTTTATTCAGCCACAAATCTCCAATGCAAAATTACTGGCCTGAAAAATAGACTTTCAGCTGCTGAGATAACTCAAACTGAACACTGTACTCTTATTTTTGTAGCATTTCGTTTGTTCACATCTCCAGGCATCTGGGGGAACAGAAAACAAACATTCAGGATCAGAGTCAGGCTGTCTGGGCTGGAGCCCTGGTCCTGCTATACATCAGATAAAAAACTCAAGCAAGTCATCAAAATATTCTCAATTTCCTCCTCCTCTGATGAAGACAAGATCTACCTCACTGAGTTGTTAGGAAAATTCAACGTGATATTAAATGTAAATCATAGTGTAGCATATAGTAAACACTTAATAAACATTACAGTCTCCTTTGATACACCTCTTATCCCACATAGTTCCTAGTTACAAATTACTGATAGACAAACAAGACAAACAACATTCTGAGAAACCTTCAGCATTTGAGGCCAGGTCCCCATGCATACCTGGAAGCTGCTGGTAAAGCCTGAAGCTTTGACTGTGGGGTCTCACGTGTGCAGTGCTTGCTTGCTCCAATGGGGTTAATCACCATCTGGATGGTCCAGTCATCTGCAGACTAGACAGGCATCATATAAGGGCATGTTCCTGTGAGGATGCATGCACCAACATATTTCTAATGGATAGTGCACAGGATAAATTTGCAACCCAAAGTCTGCTTGGAAAAATGGAGTTTTGCATTTATGAGAAGAGATTCACCCTCAGGCTTAACTTTCTGGTATTTGAATTATGATCCAGGTAGAAAGAATATTGTTTATGGCCATAGATGTAATTCCTGGGTCTAGAAAACCCCTGGGACTCCTGAAGGTCTAATCTTTCATTTTTTTAAAACTTTTTATCTTGTACTGAGATATAGCCAGTTAACAATGTAGTGATAGTTTCAGGTGAACAGTGAAGGCACTCAGTCACACATATACATATACATGTATCCATTCTCCCCCAAACTCCCCTCCCATCCAGGCTGCCACATCACACTGAGCAGGGTCCCCTGTGCTCAACAGTAGGACCTTGTTGGTCTTCCACTTCAAATACAGCTGTGTGCACATGTCCATCTCAAACTCCCTATATCCCCTAAAAATCCAATCTTTAACATCTGTCTCCCAAAGAGTCAATTAACTCATCATGTTCTTGGATCACAGCACAAAGGGAAAAAAAGGAATCTTTCACAAAAGGATACATATTTCTTTCATACTATTGCATAAATATTCTTATATACATTTATATTATTTAATATTATATTACCAGATATATTTACATGTGTATAAATACACATACACACATACATATGTGTATATATATATATAGAGAGAGTGCATATATGCTAATTACCTAAACTCTAGAAGTCTCACAATCTGGAAAAGCTTTTTAAAGCTGTCAGATATATGTTCTGTCTATACAAAAATTTATATGTATTTATACATACACGTTTATATACACGTATCTTTTTAAAAAATGACATTCTTGTCATACTCACCAGGTCAAAGTGCCTTCAAGTCCCTTGCTTTTAATTTGTTAAGTGAGAAATTAAGAAGTATGTCATATTAAGAGTTTCAAAGTAGATCATCCACTCTGGTCATACAACAGACAATGAACCCTTTCAGAATGTGGTCCCCAGAGGGATTCTGAGACCATCCCCAGCCACATAAAATATTTTTTAGGGGAGATGGTCTATGGAGTTTCAGACCACCAAAGAAAAGATTATGCAAAGAAAACTCTAGATCAAGTGTTTTCTAATTTGGTTTCTCTTCTTTCTTAGCTATTTCTCAAAAGGCAGGGGAAGGGCTCAAAAGGGAGGAGGCAAGAGGACCAGGTTGGTTTGAGCTTTTGTCTCCTGGTAAAATCCAAGTGCAAATAAATGCCTCTTCTGCATAACCATGAGTCTAAATCTCTGCACATATGTTGCTTATTACAATTTTAGGGGGAAAAATGTCATAGGAGGGCAGGATTTGCATTATTTTAGTTATTTATTATTCTTATACAAACATTCAATCACCACTTCCTTAGACCTAGTATCTTAAATCTATAGCTCCAGCTTTAGTTTCTCTCCACAGAATAATGTGTGTGTACATATGGCTCCCTGTGTTGCTTTAATATCTTCAGGAAACCCTTTGGTTTACAATGCTCTCCAGATGTTCAACTTTCTGCAAATCCTGTTATGATGAACCTAGGCAAGACTGGAATGGAAACACTTAGCTTGAGAATGTATTTCATTCAGCTTGGAACCACCATCACAGAAGGGGAGTTAAAGGATACCTGAGTTTCATAGTGAATGGCAACTGTGAAATCCATGGGAACAGGGATGTCCCCCACAGCAAATCTCAAACCAGCCCCAGGGAGAACCCTGGCAAATCCAGGTCCCGTCCACATAACAGGCATCCCAGGAACTGGCTCTCGGAGAAAGATGGAAACAGCAGGCAGTTGGTCAGAAGTCACCGAGCCCTAAAATAGGAGAGGAATGAACACAACTTTGCCTAGAGTGAAGGGTTGGAAGAGAAAATTAAAAACCTCATGTATTTCTTGATGTGTATATGATCCATCTGAGTCCCAGATAAACTATTCCAACCAGGACACATTCCAGAATACCACGGAGAATAAAGTGCTGATTCTGCAGCTGTGGAACATATGTTACTGTATAGAATGATCACTTGGAAAGCAAGATCACTGGCCAGCACGTGAAGTACCCCATGTGTCATAAACTGAGTGATTCCACATTGGTGACTTTGGCTTTTCTCAGACATGACTGCGGAGCTCTGGCCAAAATATGAAGAGAAGGAAAATATTCCCATGCCTACTTCATGGATTTTGCCTAATTGTGCATGACAATGATAAAACCACATGGATTTATTTTTTCTAGATATTTCTCTCATGCAAATGTGAGAAATGATCTTCTCCCATCTGCCTGGGGGCACATGAGTACAAAACTGCTCACACGCTTGGTTGATTAGCAGCCCTGCTGGTCCCGATGCTGGATGTCAGCCTTGGACCATCTGGACCCTGTAGATAATGCTTCCTTGATGACATCTGCATCTGCCTCTCAACACTTCCAGCCTCCACTGGAATTCTGCCTCTTTCTTACTTTTTGCCTGTGTTGCCGCAACAGTCTCTTGGCTGTTCTCTCTGTGATCCCTCTAGTCCAATACATACCACACACTGCTGCCAAAGAGCATTTCAAACGCCTTCTCACTGCCAACAACCTCACGCCCAAATTACTTAGCCTGAAGTTCAAGTTGCTCTGTGATCTACCACAAACGGCTCTTCACTTGACAAATGTTTATTTAGTAACAATTCAATCCCGGCCTCTGAATCAGATGCAAAGATGAATAGACTAGAATCCCTGCCACAGAGGGGTTTAAGGTAAATAAGAAATGAGATGGAGATGTGTGTAAACTCATCTCTGCAACATTTTCAAACTTTAAAAAAGTATTCTGGGGACATCACTGGTGGTTCATTGGTTGACTCCATGCTTCCAATGCAGCGGGGCCTGGGTTCAATCCCTGGGTGGGAGAATTAGATCCTATATGATGCAACTAAGAGTTCTGCAACTAAGAGTTCACATGCTGCAACTAAAGAACCTGTTCTAAGACCTGGAGCTGTCAAATAAATAAAAATATTTTTAAAATAGTAAAATAATAAAAATTTTAAAAGTATCTTGGAAATTGCAGCAGACAGTGTAGGTGCCCCATGGGATCCCCTTTACTTAGTTGGTACATCCATTCCCCATTTGTTGTACCAGTGTGACTTCTAACAGCTCACATTTGCCCCTTGTCTGGAGAATTTGCCTCTCACATCCCCACCCCTATGCCTAGGGTAGCTCACAGCCAGTGACTGCCTGTGTGTTAGTGGCTCAGTCATGTCCAACTCTTTGCAACCCCATGGACTGCAGCCCGCCAGACTCCTTTGTCCATGGGATTTTCCAGGCAAGACTACTGGAGTGGGTTGCCATTTCCTTCTCCAGGGAATCTTCCCAACCAAGGAATCGAATCCAGGTCTCCTGAATTGCAGGCAGATTCTTTACTCTCTGAGCCACCGGGGAAGCCACCAATGACTGCCTGATAGGATATAAAAGGCTAGCCCTGTGGTCTCGAGAGGTAGGAAAACTTTATCTGTAGTTTATGTTTCTGACTTTCTCTATGGGTCAATCCAAGGTTTGTTTTGCCTGAGACCACCTTTGACTCTTTCTCCCTCTCCATCTTATTTCCTTCATTCTCTTAAAGAGTTTTCCCAAAGAAGACTGCCTTTGTAAATCACCTGCACATGACTCCAGTCTCAGGCTCTGACCTGAAATAGTTGGTAGCAGACAGTGTACCTAAAAGCAGACTCGAAGATGCATTCCTGGAGGGGAATCACTTAATGTTCAGGTGGCAACAAGGACCTCAGTGGGTAACATGTGTTGATGACCCTTGTGGAGCAGAAGAGCCATTGCTAAAACTGTCATCTGGGGCGAACTGGGACAGGATAAGGAGGGAAGGGGAGGCACCGACATGAGCAATATTTCTGGCATTGACAGATACGGGTTATAAGGACTGTGGGCTCGGATGGTTACTATTGGTTGTCATTGGTACATGTCTTAATTCTTGGGTAGGGACAAAGAATTCCACTACTATAAAGCTGCTGGGTGGTCACACTCCTGCATAGAGTGAGCTTAAGAAGCAAACGGGCAGAGTCAGCTTCACGGGCATATAGCCTGTGCAGCTGCATGGGAACCCGTGCACAGAAGGACCCCATGCTTGGTTTAATGCTTGGCTCTCATCATCTTGAAACAATTAAGACTTAAGAAGTTGTTTCCTAAGTGAAATGTCTTGGGACAATGGAGGATGCATAAGGACAGAAGATATATGCACAGTGTGTGTCTGCCTCTTTGCTGTCCCGTATGCATGCAGGGCACAGGCTGCCCAGGAGCATGGGATTCAAGTGGACCTACTATGCTTAGGCATTCAGTGGGACTAAGAGGTAGCACAAAGTAAGTGCGCTGCATCTGTGACTAAGTAAGCAGGGGTGCCAACAGCTCCAAGAAGCTGCATTTTCTGTTCCAACCAGAAATTTCTTTGAAAGCAGAAAGAAGGGAATGACATTCTAAGAAACACATTATTCATGCTACTTCCTTGTGTCAGCCAACTAGTTACACTGAAAATGATAACTAGAAGGAAAGAGGACAATAGGCAACTCAGAGTTTCTTTTCCTTTCAGTTCCTCCTTACTCATCAATAAGCTGAAGGTATTGTTGGTCAAACACACACTAAGACATGAAATAACAGCTGAGTTAGTTTTGTACAGCATTTCCATTGTTCTAGGAAGAATAAAATATATATGCATGGTGATGGTTTAGTCATTAAAGTGTGTCTGATTCTTTTGCAACTCCATGGACTGTAGCCTGCTAGGCTCCTCTGTCCATGGGATTTTCCAGGCAAGATTACTGGAGTGGGTTGCCATTTCCTTCTCATATATATATACATATACATACATACATACATATATGACTCCAAAATAAAAATTGTGTAATTTCAATGATTATGTGTAAGAATTAAGTGCTCTTATGTTTGCAATTAAAATTGGCATTGCATACTATGGAGATGAATAGTATAATTCATGCTAATAATTAAAATTTTTAATATTTCTTTACTTAGAATGACATTAAATAGCATATAAAATATTTTGACAAGTTGAGAGGCAGAGACTATGGAAGAAAGTAAATTAATATTTTACTATTTTAAGGGGCCCTTTCCTTATTTTTTATTTTGGCTGAGCATCATTCAGGATCTTAGTTTCCCTGTCAGGGATCAAACCCATACACCCGGCAGCAGAAGGATGGAGTCCTAACTATTGGACTGCAAGGGGAGTCCCCCTAATTTCTCAATTAGGGGGCTCTGCATTTAACTTCTATTTTACCCTGGCCCTGCCCATGGGTCTGAGCATGCCAGGAATGAGCTGGAATTGATGCTGTTAGTGTACCGCCTGATTCCCTTTATTGGACCACTCTATCTTGCCACCAGTTTCTGGGACTGTTAGCTGCTATGTCTCACCACTGCTCCCTTCTTCTGAGAACTGCCCTTGGCTGAAGGGAACTGCCTCACCTGGGAGGTGATCTGGGTCTGCCCTGGCAGTTTGTAGCCATGACTGCCTGACATGAAAATACAACAGGCCAGCCCTGTGGCCTCAGTGGAGGACAACTCTTTGGTGCAATGTACACTTCAGAGTTTCCCCAGGGAAGAAGGCAAGGCTAGACTACCCTAGATGCCATCCTTGCCTCCCTTTTCCCCCGCCCCAGCCTCCTGCCCTCCTTCCTGACAGGTTTCTCCTGATGAGCACTCCTTCAATAAAGCACATGCATTCAGATCTCTGTTGCAGTCTCTGTTTCTAGGAAACCCAACCTAAGCCAGTGATTAAGGATGGACGCATATGCACACATACACTTATGTAAAACTAAAAGTTTCACCAAAAAATATGCCCTTGCTTTATAGTCTTCTGTCCTACTAAGTTGATTCAAGTCAATTGATTTCATGACCTACTTACCAACAGGCATGACCTGCAATTTGAAAATTACTGACCTATGGGACCCTAGAGATGGAAACAATACTAATGTCTGGATGTTAGGGTAGTGAATGTCACAGAAAGATAAATCTGAATTAGGTCTTAAGGGATGACTACAAGTTTTCCAAGTGAGTAATACAGAAGTAGTTGTTTCAGGTGAGAGTCAGGAGAGGAGTCTGTGGCTATTTACAACAGTGTTTCTCAAAGTGCTTCCAGGGACCACTCATATTACTAGGGGTGCGTGGCAAATATGCAGATTTCTTCTTTTCCCCCAAATGATCCAAAAAGTATTTATTTAAAAAAATCATTATGTCAAACATCTCAAATATCTAAATCCAATTAAAGATCACAAAATGTATGTATGTTTTCCTAAAGTCTCTGCAGATTTCCAAATTGAGCATCACTGCTCTAGAGCAACATTGTCTAATTGAACTTCCTGCAATAATGAAAATGTTCCATATCTGCACTATCCAGTATAGAAGTCCAATGTGGCTCCAGAGTTACTTGAAAAAATATGCAGGCTTCATGACACTAGTCAGATTCCCCGATTCAGCATCTCCAGTGGAAGGCCCTAGCGTCTGCATTCTAAACAAATTCCCCAGGTGATACTTCTGTGCAGTAAAATTGGGAAGTTCACTGATCTGTGCCACTGGGAACAAGGGCACTCCAACCCTTCTTTTTTCAGGAGGACTTCAAATTGAGATGCCTGGAGTCAGAGAAAGTTTTATGGACAGGGGACATGGGGACGGACAAGAAGAAGAGCAAAACTGCTTTGACGTGAACATGAGCCTGAACAGAGGACCACCACTCACGAAGCCTTCTCCGATCCTCTCGGCTGGAGGTGGTTTCCTTAAGGGAAATTCGTAACACGTTTCGTGCACCTCTTCACACACCCCACCCTGAAATGCATTCATTGTTTGTGCACATGCCTCATTTCTTCCACAAAAATCTCAAGGGCACGCTCTATGTCTAGGTGTTTCTGTTTTCATTCTTTCAATCAAGAAAGTCTCTTAGGCATGAAGAACTGTTTCAAGTGTTGGTTGTATGAACAGGACAGCCAACATCTGCTTTCTTTTGCTTTTCCAACATGTCCCTTCATGCAAACACACAGGAATGCTCGGTCAAGACCCCGGCATAACGAATGAACAAATAGACCTAAAGTTATCCTGCCTTTAATTAAATAGTAGTTGAATGGCCACAGGGTTTTCTGGTCTCCTCTAGCCTGCAGAAGCTATTGGAGGCAGGGCCCTGAGGAGGCAGCATCACCCTGACACTCATATCCAGCACTGATCAACTATAACCATTTCAGAATCAAGAGCATAGGCATGCAGCATCCCCAGGGACACCAACATGTCCTCTGTCTTCAACTAGGAAGATAGCCATTTCTCAGCATTGCACGTCTCCTTTTTTGAAAAGACAAGAAAATATGAAAGCACAGTCTGACTCTTCAACTCTCCAGAATCTTACTTTCCCAAGGTTTTCACGCTGAAGAGAAATAAAGCTAATGAAGTTTTTTCCAGAGGCTCTAGTTACTTTGAGTGTGTGTCTTGCTTTCCTACACTCTATTCTTGAGGATATTAAGAGCTTAGAGGGACTGAGCACTTACATGAGCCAGGCATGGTTCTAAGTGCATTACCCAGGTTATTTGCTTCTAGCAGAATAGACAATGACCCTGAAGAAATGGTTTACCTCATTCTGTTCATCTGCTTATATGCTTTGCTGATGTTTTCTCAGTATTATATTTCCTTTGTCAATTATGAAATCATCTCCTTGTTGCTGGAAATAACATGCGATGTTGCCTACATCGCATGTAGGCAAAGCTGTTGCTAATATCTTAAAAAGAAAAGAAATGGTAGTTTAAGTAACAAACAACAGTTTCAATTTTATCATGGTTGAAGAGTTTCAGGTTCTACCAGAATTTAAAAGGGAATCATGATTCTCACTTAATAGCCTTGGGAGGAAGTCATGGAGGCAGAGTAAAATTTTTTGTTTTTCTGTGAAAATGTGAAATTTTGGGTGGTTATAAGGCTATGTGTTGAGTTTTCTTTTCAAGGGCTATTATACTAGTGTAATTCTAAACTGGGAAAACATTTCTTCTTTGCTATTGCTTTTATGGTGTTTTGAACATTACCAATATGCATAATGTACCAACTCAAAGGTTTATTAGATGTTGTAATTTTGACACCTCCAGACCAATTTCTCTTAGTTCTCATGGTCTGTAAAATTTGGCTTTAAATGTTCCCATAAGAGATTATGTCAGGATAGCAAAATTCCACCAGCTAAACTAAAACAGCAGAATTGCATCCATGCACCTGCAGTTTCCTTTAAATCCTGGGCTTTGTGGGACTCACTTTTATATTATCTCCCAGTCTTTCAGTTGTCTACACAGACTCTCCAGTTGTTCATTTCCAAGTTTTCACTGTATCCCGTGTGTTAGTCACGCAGTTGTGTCCGACTCTTTCCAACGCCATGGACTGTAGCCCGCCAGGCTCCCCTGTCTGTGGGGATTCTCCAGGCAAGAATACTGGAGTGGGCAGCCATTCCCTTCTCCAGGGGATCTTCCCAAGCCAGGGACTGAACCTGGGTCTCCTGCATCGCAGGCAGATTCTTTACTGTCTGAGCCAGCAGGGAAGCCCCTATATGTTTGCTTGATGTTTCACTGTTAGTTTTACAGACAAAGTTTTTAATTTCACAGATGCTCTGGTTGTTCATTGTGAGTGGGAAGCCCTGAGCCCTCTATTCTAGTGGTCACTGTTCAGACTCTTGAGCAGGCTGTTCAGTCAGCTCCTTTGGACAGGACCCACAGGCTTATGTTTATTTGTCCTCTTCACTGTTTTCCCCTCACTAATTATGTTCACCTTACAACACAAAATCAGAAACTATTTTACTAATTTTACACAGAAAACATATTATGGAATACTATATTAGATGCCATACTATGTTTAATTCAATCAATATTAACTTTTGTGGCCACATTTAATTTCTATAAGAAAACAAGTCAGGTGCTTCCCAAACTGTGTACAGATCACCTGGGGATCTTGCTAACATGCAGACTGGATTCAGTAGGTCCAGATGGGGGCTGAGAGTCTCCAAGTCTAATGAATCCACAAATGATGCCACTATTGTTGGTCTGCACACCATATTTTGAGTAGCAAGGATGTTGCCATAGACTGAATGCTTGTGTTCCCCTGCTAAATTCCTATGTTGAAATCGAATCCCCATGGTGATGGTATTAGGAGGTGGGGTTCTGGGAGGTGATTAGGTCATAAAGGCAGAGTCCTCATGAATGGGATTAGTGCCCTTCTAAAAGATGCCTGAGAGAAATCCCTTGTTATGGGAGGACTTAGTGAAAAGATAGCCCTCTAAGAACCAGGAAGTGGGTCTCAGACACTGCATCAGCAGGTACCCTGACCTTGGACTTCCTAACCTTCAGAACTGTGAGAAATAAGTTCATGTTGTTTACAAGCCATCTGGTCTATGGTATTTTTAGCAGCCTGCACAGACTAAGAAAGATTAGATAGACAGATAGGTAGATATGGATGGATGGATAGATATAGATATATAGATTTTTGAAGACCTACCAAGAAAGTTAATTGTCATTCTTCTTAGCTCTCCAATTTGAGTATTAAAAGAATTACTTGTAAGATGGGTTTTGGATTCATGTCTTTGTGTGTCCCCGTTTTCCATCCTCTCTTTTCTTTCTGAACCTGGCCTCTTCTCCATCTCCGTCTGGACTACTGCAGATGGTGCTGCTCCAAACTAGACTCTTCTCCTGCTGGATGGTGTCTATGAGGACACAGAGGACAGTCTTCATCACGCCATTCCTTTGCTCAGAAAGATTCAAAATTTAGCCTCTTTAATGGTGGTGGTTTAGCTGCTAAGTTGTGTTTGACTCTTGCAACACCATGGACTGTAGTGTACCAGGCTTCTCTGTCTGTGGGTTTTCCAGTCAAGAATACTGGAGTGGGTTGTCATTTCCTTCTCCAGGGGATCACCCCGACCCAGGGGTCAAACTCGAGTCTCCTGCATTGAAGGCAGACTCTTTACTACTGAGCCACCAGGGAAGCCCAGCCTCTTCAATGGGAAAATCTAATTTTATCTTCCAGTACTTCTTCTCTATGTAAACTTTCTGTTCTACCTGTGAATACACCTGCATTGTTTCTCCTCTGAGTTATTACTTGGAACTTTTCTGACTGGATTGTCTTCTCCTCTAGTCCACCAGTGGAAACACTTAATTAGTTTCAAGTCTCAGTTCAGATGATTCTACCTGTGTGTTAAGTCCATTCATAAAGGTTTAGTCATGGCTCTAAAATCCTGAAGCACTTACGGACTCTTCTTGTTTTACGGCACTGTCCTGATCTTGAGCTATTTATGAAAAGTATTAGTTGTGGTTAAAAACTTCTGGAGGGTAGAGACCTTAACTGATCCCTTTCTATGCCAGTCAGCCTGGGTCTCAGCATTATGTGCCTGGCTATAAACTGGGGTTCTTGTGACACTTTCCCTGGGTTTGATCATTTGGTAGAATGACTCACAGAGCTCAGGGAATCCCTTATTTATGTTTACTGGTTTTTTTGTATAATAAAGGATATGATGAAAGGATATAGATGAACAGTGAAGATGAACATGTACATAGGGTGAGGACTGGAAGAGTCCCAGACACAGGAGCTTCTGTCCCCTTGGAGCTGGGCTGCACCACCCCCAGCACACCGATGTGGCCACCCAGCTGGAAGTTCTCGGAACTCAGTACCTGCAGGAATTGTGTGGAGGCTTCAGCCCACAGACATGATGGATCATTACCTCAATCTCCCTCACCTCTCCCCTTCCTGGAGGATGGGGTACGGGGCCAAAAGTTTCAAGTGTCTAATACTTTCTGGTGACCAACCACTGACCTGAAGCCATCCAGAGTTACCTCATCAGGACAAATGACACTCCTCTCACCCAGAAAAGTCCAAACGATTTAGTAGTTCTGTGTCAGCAGCCAGGGTCAAAGACCAAACATTAGAACAAAGGATCCTTCTAGTGCTCTTATCCCTTAGAAAAGCTCACAGGTTCTAGGAGCTTTGGGCCGGGAACCAGGGACCAAGATCATTAGGTATATTTTTTATATTATTTCATGATAGTTGGAGGTGGAGCCTAAATATCAATATTCCCTTTCTAAAGTTTTTTTTTTTTTTCCAGTTACTCTCATAAACCTGTAATGCTAAAAACCATGAGGAAGAATCCAGACATAGGATTGTTTTATCTTGACTCTACCCACCGCAGTGCTGAATCGAGGTCAGGACAGTGCAAGCCTCCTCTTCTTGCCCCAGTTTCAGTCAGTAAAAGAGCAAATTCCAAGCCTCTTCAGGGGTATTTTCATCCCTCCCACTAGTCATGTCCAGATTAGGAAGAGCTCTCAGGAAATGAATTAGTCACTGGAACCTGGAATGAATTCCCAGTTTTCCATCCAAATCCTGTCTCTGGAATCAGCTTTCATATGCCTTCTCCCCTTGAAGTCGTTCACCTCACATTGCCTTTTCCTGGGTCAGATTCCTGCCTGCGGCTGGAGTCACAGGCATGTGGGTGCCATCAGAGTCTAACTTAACTTTTCTCTGTTGGGTTCGGATGCTTGTGTTTGCCCCCATCGTAAGACTTTGAGATAAATGTTTTTAGGGAGCATCCCCCACAGGACTGTGACTTGTAATGAATGGGACGAAGGGGCGTTTTCAATCACACACCCCGTGACCAGCACTGAGGACTGCTAATCCAAGATCAGCTTCAGGAGGTTGGTGAGCACATCTTACAGCTGGTTTTTTACCAGATTCATTCATTCAGTAGCAGAGATTCACAGCTTTCTATTATGCACCAATCACTGGGCTCTGCCCTAGAGCAGCAGTGGTGATGGAATACACACTCAACCTTCCCTCTCATGGTTTATAGTGTCATCAGGGAGACAGACCAGGAAATGCTCAATAAACATTCTCTATCTGACGGGTACCTTGAAAGAGCAAGAGTCAAGTCTGTGTCATCACAACTTAATCCAATTCACACTTCTGTGCCAGCCTCTGTGTTGGAATGGGGAATATAAAAATAAAATAGAATGCAAACTCTGCCCTTAAGACTTAATAGAATCTGCAATTCCGTAACAGAATCAACTCTGCTCCGTGTTTGTGGGCAAAACCACTCTCTTCCGGGTACCTTGCCCACAATCTCAAGGGTGTACTTTATGTATTTACCTACACTCCACCAGATGAAGTCTGTAAGGAGAGTCAGTGAAATACAAACCAAAGGTGCCAGTCCCAGAAGTGGCGTGGCTTCCTCCGCCTCATAGAGGTAGAAATTCAAAGGAGCAAAGAAATAGCCAGGCGCTGGCTCAGTGCAGCTGCGACCTGTGACGTGGGGACAGCAATCACACTGCCCGTTTTTGGGTGAGCACCTGTGGGGAAACAAACCCACCTCGTGGAAAAAAAGTGAAGGTGGGGTGGCAAGTGTGAGATAAGGGCCTAGGGGTGCTGGGGTAAGTGGCCTCTGGATTTGAGTCCATTCTATGAATCCATCAATCAGTCATCCTGGGGAAGATGTGGAGAGGCAATGGGATCTACAGGTCTGGTTTTTTTTTATTAACTTTTTATTTTATACTGGAGTATAGTTGATTGACACTGTTGTTCTAGTTTCAAGCGTACAGCAAAATGATTCAGCTATACAATACATGTATCTATTCTTTTCCAAATTCTTTTCCCATTTAGGTTATTACATAAAATTGAGTATAGCTCCCTGTGCTATACACTAGATTCTTGCTGGTTATCCATTTTAAATACAGCAGTATGTTCATGTCAATCCCAAATTTCCCATCTATCCCTCCCCTGGCCATTCTCCCCTTATGGTAACCATAAGTTCATTCTCTCAGTTCTACAGGTCTGATCTTGACAAACCAACCCAGATCCATGAAACCTTGGTCACCGCTTCTGTCCTCAGTGGCTCTCTGCTTCTCCTCTAAAACTGAGAGGTCCAGAATGCTGGACCTCTCTTTACATGCCGACAAAAAGTTTGTGTTTTAGGTGGGTCAAGTCATACATGTACAGTGATATTTCCCACCACCTTGGGATTCCCAAGTAACAGAACTGTTTTCTCAGCTTCAGAAATACCTGAAGTGAATGAAATCAAGTGGGCTATCTTTAATGTCTCAAGATTGCTGCTTTTCAATGCCCTTTGCCTGCCATGTAATGACTTCACTTCTGATTATCATCATGTCCTAATAAGTGTGTTTTACTTATGTTATGGAAATGGGATTGAGGAATACTGCCACCAAACTCACTCATTTTACTGACTTACATGTTGGAATAAGCACCTCCAACATCACAGTTGCAGGGAGAACATCCATGGAGGTGATTTTCCAGTCCCCAGTATCCAATCTACAAACAGAAAATGCTCAGTTGATTCCAGTTGTGAAGATACCTGCTTCTCTGAAGTATGGCATTAATATTAAAAGCACCACAAGTCAGTTGTCGACAGTCAATAGCCACGGGGCCTGAGCAATCACACTGCAGCTTGCTTGCCTACACCCTTGATAATGATCTTCTAAAAGTAAACATCTCCTATTCCCAGGACTCGAATGAAGAGGACAGGTAGGTTGTCTATATATTGCTTCAAATGGAATTGCAATGGATAATCAACAAGGACCTACTACATAGCACAGGGAAGTCTCTTCAATATTCTGTAAAAACCTAAATGAGAAAAGAATCTGAAAAAGAATAGATATAGGTATAACTCAATCACTTTGCTGTAAACCTAAAATACAACATTGTAAATCAACTATACTCCAATTAAAAAAAAAAAAAAAGAAATGCAATAGAAACCTCACTGTTCCTCTGACAGCACCAATTTTAGCATCAAGCTGGGTTGTTTAAGGCCAGTCAGGAGAAATTCTTCAGCTAGCCTATGCAACTGTTTGCATAAAACCAATGGAGTCCCTTACTATAAAACCCCTAGGGATTTTTACTTCCACACTACAGCAATGTTTGTGAGTTAAAAAAAAAAATCGTTCAGCTGATAGTGAGATCTTGTATGAATTATCACCGTTCAGTAGAATTGCTTACTTATAAATAATTGTTTTGGCATAACAAACTCTCCCCATGTGAGAGATCCAACTCTCTTCTTCAAGACTTTTCTCATCATTGCAACATCTTGACCTTTATTCGATATAAACAGCTGGTGAGATACAAACAACTACTTCTCAATTCTGACGCTTACTATAAAAGACTCAGAAAAAGACTCCCCTGCTCAAATATCTATTTAACAAGCGTAGGTGAAACTAAGATCTAGGTTGGCATGGAATTCTCATTTGAAATGGGTTTGTTAAGTATTCATATGTTTTGTTGTTATCTTGGTACAATTTTATGCCCAGTTTTACTCAAACAGATTTATTTTAAACATTAAAAGTTGACACAATTTGTTACATAACACAGCTAAGGGCTTTTGAAATCCTTTTCCCCCCAAACCAAACTTCAGTTTAGGCAAAAGCAATGTGAACTGAGCTGCTTTGCTCAGGCTGGGGTTGTGAGACCCCCCGCGAGGCAGCACACCCTGTAATGTTGGCCCCAGTGCACCATCGGCAGATCCGCGTGGGGTACCAAGCAGATGCCTTGGCTCAGCCACGATGGACAAGATTCCCCAATAGTGGCCCCTGCTCAGTTATTTTCCTTTTGCAAGAACAATGGCAGTTAACTAGCTAAGAAAAGAAGTCAGGCCGAATCTAAGGTTTGTCTGCAATGATCTGATGTGGTATCTCTGTTGACCTATTCACTAGCTCTACACTCCTTTTTTGTATTGCCCATTCATGGTCATGGAACTTGGCACAGCTCACCTTCCAATGTGAAACTTCTAGATGACCTGTCCTGTGGTAGAGTTCCCTTTTCATATTTTCTCCTTGCTTTCTTTTCCCTCCTCCTCTGCCTCATCCCCATGTGTTTTCAGTAAAGCAACTTACAATATTAGCACAAACTATGTTGTAACAGACATATGTTTCTTATTTATCAGCTACATGTCTTCAGACACATCAAGGTCACTGTTCTTTTATTAGGTTAAGTTTTTGTTTTTTCTTTCTAAAATGTCAGGGTGGGCTGCCAAGTTTGGAGGACAAAGGAAAGAGCTGGGTTTTTAACTCTCTAAATGCATGACACATTTCTTATGGCGGGAACATGTTTTATTTTGTTAATTTGAGACATACATGCTCATGTGTGTAGCAGAGTCTGTGAAAAATCCAGGGGTTTATTTATTTCCCACAGGAATCTACAATACATTTAAACTTGATTTTTTTTTTTTAATGACCTCGTCCAAAAATAATTTTAGGCAAGGAGGAGTAGGGGTGGGAAACTGATTGTATATTAAAAGACTCCATGACCTGGTGCCTTAACAAGGGGTGGGGTGGGGGGGGGAGCGGCAAATAAATGCTCTTATACTCTATTGCTTGCACTTCCAGGAGAAGAGTGGATAAAACTATTGTCTGGGTTGGTTCAGATCCATTGGGTAAATGTGCTGGTAAATGTTTAACTACTAGCTTTCTGCAGAAAGACAGGGGCTGATTTCCAGTGTTTGCTGACTTCTGCAGTGTAAATACTTTTACCTCAGGAGTACTGAAATACAATACGGCAAGAAAATGATCAACAAGACCAAGTCTCTTCTCGGCAATGGCCGTAGGAGATCACATCACTCCCTAAAGCGGGCGATTTTGTGCTCAGTCATGTCCAACTCTTTGTAGCCTTGTCAGGCTCCTCCATCCCTGGGGACTCTCCAGGCAAGATTACCGGAGTGGGTTGCCATGCCCTCCTCCAGGGGATCTTCCCAACCCAGGGATCAAACCCAGGCCTCCCACGTTGCAGGCGGATTCTTCTACCATCTGAGCCACCAGGGAAGCCCCCCTAAAAGGGGAATCAGAGGCAAATACATACAGTGCATTCTTCACAGCGTAGTCCGGCAGCAAATGCCTGACACAAGCATTGGCCTGTATCCACATCACAGGGCAAGAGCGGCAGGCTCCCAAGGGGGTGACAGTCGCAGGCTGAAAGCACATCGAACATAGTTGTTCTCATTTTGACTTCTTCACACTGGTAAACCTTATTAGCTTACACTGAGCTAAACGTGGCCATGAGAACCCTGAGCAGCCTGCCCTGTCAAGTTCACTGTCTGCCTGGCCGCACCGCTATTGTACTTCATTCAACTTTCCCCAGGAAAGCCAATGCCAGACACTTTCAGAGCCCTCATGTGGTTCTACTGGGTTCCAGTTAGGAGGAGACAAGAGGTCATGCATGTTGGGGAGTGGGGCACAGTTCTCCTAAGTGATGCTGGCTGGATCAAGTGATTAGGGGCAAGGGTTTCTGAGCATCATGGATGTTACTAATGGCTCCCTCTCTGGCAGATGCCATCTATTATAATACTTTCTCTCTCTTAGCACCTCTTTGCTTTTTTCTTTTTCATTCTCTCTCTCTCCTTTTTCTCTTCCACTGATAGGTGTTGCTGAGTTCTGTTCATGTTGTGAAGGCTAAGAAATTGTGCAACCAGAGCAAGATAGGTATTTTCCCTGCTGAATCTGCTACAAGAAAAGCTAATGTGCTTGAAAACAGCCCAAATGTCCTTCAACTGATGAGTGGATAAATAGTGGTATATCCAAACGATGGAATATTATTTAGCAATGAAAAGATATGAAGTTGCTACAACATGGATAAATCTTGAAAATATTGTGGTAAGCAAGAGAAGCCAGACACAAAACACCACACATTATATTATTCCCCTTTATGAAATGTCCACAATAGGCAAATCTATAGGAACAGAAGCATCGCTGGCTCAATGGACATAAATTTGAGCAAACTCTGGGAAATAGTGGAGGACAGAGGAGACTGGCATGCTACAGTCCATGGGGTCACAAAGAGTCAGACAGGACTTAGTGAGCAAACAACATAGAAACATAAAGTAGATTAGCGGTTGACCAGGGCTGGTGGGATGGGAGGTGGCAGCTGGAATGTTTCTTTTCTTCTTTACAGTAAAATATGTATAACATAAACTTTACCATCTTCACCATTTTTAAGTATGTAGTTCAATAATGTTACATATACTAACATTGTCGTGCAACCAATCTCCAGAACTCTTCATCTTACAAAACTGAAACTCTGTATCATTAAATATCATCTCTCTGTTCCTCCTTCCTTCCTCCCCTCAAGCCCTTGGCAACCACCATTCTATGTTCTGTTTCTATGGATTTCACTTAACAAAATGCTTTCAAGTTTCATCCATGTTGTAGGATGGATCAAGATTTCCCTTCTTTTTCAGGCTGAATAATATTCCATCATGCATACATACCATATTTTGTTTATCCATTCATACTCCTTTTTCTCTTCCACTGATAGGTGTTGCTGAGTTCTGTTCATGTTGTGAAGGCTAAGAAATTGTGCAACCAGAGCAAGATAGGTATTTTCCCTGCTGAATCTGCTACAAGAAAAGCTAATGTGCTTGGAAACAGCTGAAATGTCCTTAAACTGATGAGTGGATAAATAGTGGTATATCCAAACGATGGAATATTATTTAGCAATGAAAAGATATGATGTTGCTACAACATGGATAAACCTTGAAAATATTGTGGTAAGCAAGAGAAGCCAGACACAAAACACCACACATTATATGATTCCCCTTTATGAAATGTCCACAATAGGCAAATCTATAGGAACAGAAGCATCGCTGGCTCAATGGAGGTAAATTTGAGCAAACTCTGGGAAATAGTGGAGGACAGAGGAGACTGGCATGCTACAGGCCATGGGGTCACAAAGAGTCAGACAGGACTTAGTGAGCAAACAACATAGAAACATAAAGTAGATTAGTGGTTGACCAGGGCTGGTGGGATGGGAGGTGGCAGCTGGAGTGTTTCTTTTCTTCTTTACAGTAAAATATGTATAACATAAACTTTACCATCTTCACCATTTTTAAGTATGTAGTTCAATAATGTTACGTACACTAACATTGTTGTGCAACCAATCTCCAGAACTCTTCATCTTGCAAAACTGAAACTCTGTATCATAAAATACCATCTCTCTATTCCTCCTTCCTCCCCTCAAGCCCTTGGCAACCACCATTCTATGTTCTGTTTCTATGGATTTCACTTAACAAAATGCTTCCAAGTTTCATCCATGTTGTAGGATGGATCAAGATTTCCCTTCTTTTTCAGGCTGAATAATATTCCATCATGCATACATACCATATTTTGTTTATCCATTCATGCATCAATGGATACCTGGGTTGCTCCCACCTTTTGACTGTTGTGAATAGTACTTCTATTAACATGGGCATGCAGATCATCTTTAAGATGCTGCTTTCAATTTTGAGGGTATATAACTGGAAATAAGAGTATGGGGTTTCTTTAAGGTAATGAAAATGTTCTAAAATGGATTGTAGTGATGGTTACACACTCTGAATATACTACAAATCACTGAACTGTATACTCTAAAAAGTGAATTGTATGGCATGTGAATTATATGTAACTAAATCTTTGACAAAAGAAAAATCAAAACAAAACCCAATTTTGGCCCATTTCTTGGAGGGCATAATGTTAGTCAGTGAACCAGCGTAAATGCTTGGAGTACTGAGAGGTATACTGGGAAATTGGCTTAGCTATATAATTAATTACCCTGAAATTAAGTTTTACATCAAACCCCAAAAGAAGAGCATTTAAAAAACAAAATGATTCATCATGCTGCTTTCTAAACATGCAAATAATCCACAGTTCCTTATACGGGTATAACTCAGAGCATGACACTGTGATCAAAGGGAAACGATTAACCCAGACTCTCTGGGGAATCAGCAGCTCTCTGAGACCCCAGACAGCCTTAAATTTCTGTGATCCTAGAGCCAAGGGGCTCCCCACTTGGCCCCCCAAAACTCTGCAGTTATTTCTATTTTCCCATGACTCCTTCCTTGCTTCTTTTTTCCCCCCACTTGAGAATTGCCTAAGAAGTCATCAATCTACACAAAAATGCATAATGTAGGTTAACAAACTTGTAGGATGGAATCCTGGTGGAGGATTTTTCTTTTTTAATTTAAAGTTTTCATAAAGGTATTAAATTTCTTGGCAGTTACCCTGCGTTTGCTCCAGCAGTGAAAATGTGAGCGCCCTCTGCTGGTTCTTGATGATAAACTCAGCAAACCACCTAAAATAGTTCACTAATTCACTAAAATTTGTGAGAGGTTTTGTATCACTAAAAAAAGTATCCAGAGAATGCTGGGACTCAAGTATTTACAATGAGCAAATGTTAGCACTGACAGGGGCAGCTCCAAGCCTCAAAATGCATTCAAGGTGACGACCCAGCCGCCGCTGACTTACACTGACAGCCAAGGAGGTCCGCGGCGCTCAGTCCGTAGTGGTCTGGCTTGCATCTGTCGCATTTTGCTCCTTCCACGCTCTCCTTACACAGGCATCGGCCGGTCACAGACCCCAAGTCAGGATCAGAGTGGCTCACACAAAGCCCACCCGAAATGGTCCCATCGGGGTCACACTCACAAGCTGGGGACACAGATGTGCATTATCTTAATGAACTGCCAGTTGTGGGAACCCTGAAATAGAAGCATACTGCTTTACCTTCACTAGAACTGTTTTAGTTGTTTGAATACAATAAATGTGTTTGAATAATTAAACCAGTGAGCAAGGGCTGCTTGGGTATGTCTCCCATATCTCAGAACTAGAAAAATGTTGAATAATACATAAATATATTTTTGAAAGAATTTTAAGTGATTCTAAAGGAAGACGACCAGAGAAAGTCTCAAGCTAGATGTTAAGAATAGATTGATGAAAAAAAGCAACAAACCATAAAATTTATATGGACCACATACAACCCTGACTAACCAAAGCAATCTTAAGAAAAGAACAAAGCTGGAGCCACCATGCTTCCTGATTTCAAATTATATTACAAAACAACAGCAATCAAAAGGGCATGGTATTGGCATAAAAATAAACCTATAACCCAGTGGAACAGAACAGAGGGCCCAGTGACAGACCCACACTTGTATTGTCACCTAATTTATGACAAAGAAGTCAAGAATATATGCCCGGGAAATGCCAGTCTCTTCAATAAAAGATGTTGGGAAGACTGAACAGCCATGTGCAAAAGAAAAAACTGGATCCCTCTCTTCCACCATTCACAAAAATTGATTCAAGATGGATTGAAGACTAGAATGTAAGATCTTAAACCAGAAAACTCCTGGATGAAAATACAGGCAGCAAACTTCTTAATATCGGTCCTTGCAATGATTGTTTGCATTTGAAATAAAAACCAAAGGCAAACAAAAGGAAAAATAAACACGTGGTACCATATCAAACTAAAAAGCTTCTGCCCAGCAAAGGAAACCACCCACAAAAGGAAGAGGCAATCCACTGGCAAGGGCAAGAAATAACAAGTGTTGTCAAGGATGTGAAGAAAAGGGAACTTTTTTGTACTGTTGACTGGAATGTAAATTGGTGCAGCCACTATGGAAACCAATATCGAGGTTCCCCCAAATAAAAAATATGAAATACCCAGAAATTCCATTGCTAGGTACTTATCTGAAGAAAATTAAAACACTAATTTAAAAAGATACATGAACTCTATGTTCATTGCAGCATTCTTTACAATAGGCAAGACATGGATGCAACTTAAGCAATCAATTGATAGAATAAAGAAATATACCACATTGTGTATATTTACACAATAGAATATTATACAGTCACAAAAAGAATGAATTTTTGCCTTTGGGGCAACATGGGTGGATTTTGAGGGCATTATGCTTAGTGAAATAAGGCAGACAAAGACAAATACCACATGATCTCACTTACATGTAGAATCTCAAAAAAATCCCCAAAGCAAACTCATAGTTACAGAGGTGGGGATGAGAGAGATGGGTGAAGGTAGTCAAGAGGCACAAATTTCCAGTTATAGAACAAATAAATCATTACTGTAATGTACAGCATGGTGAACATAGTTAATAGTGTATTCTACATTTGAAAGTTGCTAAGAGAGTAGGTCTTAAAAGTCCTCATTACAAGGAAAAAATTTTAACTATGTGTGGTGATGAATGACAACTAGACTTACTGCAGTGATAATTTTGCAATGTATACAAACATGAGTCACATTGTATACCTGAAACTGATAAAATGTCATATATCAATTATATCTCAGTTTAAACATCAGATTGATTATTTTAGGGGTGATGAAAATATTGTGGAGCTAAGTAGGGGTAGTGGTTGCAAAACATTGTGCCAGTGAACTATGTTCATTTTTAAATGGTTAATTTTATGTTATATGAATTTCACCTCAATTTTTAAAAAGATTTTAAAAAGACTCTAAAGGTGAAAATAAGGTCAAGAGATAAGTAAGAGTGGGATGGTACATCATCCCATTCATGATACATATGAAATAGGTATCATATATTTGATTTCATACACTATAAAGGCATCAAGGGACATGATAAAGAGAAAAAAAAATCACACAAAATGGCTACAAAGTCTCTGAGATATGATTGTTAAGAAAGTAAATCTGTCCTTCCCATTACAGAAAAATATGTTACAAAGGTAAGAGCTATCATTCTTTTTGAGTCTTCTTGGAAAGGAGCACCTTCAAGAAAGAAAAAGAGAGAATAAGAAATGTTCAAATCTTTAATTTTGGAAATCGGATGGTTGGGCAAAAGCTTAGATGAAGAGATTCTGGAAAATGAGATAAACAGTCATATATAACAAAAGTAACATCCTCCTCCACCTTTTTCTTTTTCCCCAGTAGAAATTCAAACAATTAAAAGAAGGAATGTCATATGAAAAAGGATGCTGATGATATGAGTAATTCCAGTGGGTAAAATCTAGAAAATGTAGCACTTGACCAAGTATAATAAAGAAGAGTTGGGGCTGCCCAATACAGCAGCAGCCTTCGTATCATTGGAGGCCTGGTTGTGACTTTGGCATAGAGGACAAGTGCATTCATTAGTAGACGTTAGATGACCAACAAGGTCATCCTGTATCTTCATGGACCTGTGTTTTCAAGGGATTCCACTTTTAAGGAAAGCAAGAAAGATTTTTAAAAAATGAATATCTGGATTCTAAGAAACAACTATGTGAAGATTTACACATGTTTACTTTGGAGTAATAAAACCCTCAAGTCTAAAGCAATGTTTATCTAACCACCATTTAGGTTAGTGTATTTAGGGGAAAAAATTCAGTCAGTTTGGAATCACTGAAGCAAACAGTTGTCTGACGGAATCTTTTGTTTGATTTTCAGTTGTTTATTACTGGATTGTAACTGATGATAAAATCTTACTATGGAAAACCAGCATTGACTTCTGTTTAGTTTGGGGAAAAAACCCACAATTTTCTTCTAATTAAAGCCAGTTGTTTCTAGGAAGGAAGGAACAAATTAGGTTCATAGCCAAAAGGGAAAAAAACTCATCTTTATTTGGGAGACACTCCAAAGGGTCAGCAATGAGTTCCAGAGTATAATTTAATTATACACAGAAATAGCCTTTGGGGAAGGGAAATGGGTAAATGGCCAGTAAGTTTGAAATAATACTGCATTATGGCCTTTAGAGTAGAAGTCCAATAAAATCTTTTCGGGTCACACAATTAAATTCCAGCAAACATATTATTGGTGGAGTCTACCAAATATTTGTTTCTTCTGTATCACATTCAACTGTGTCTTAAATCATAGAAGACTTAAAACTGGTCAACTCTTAGGCCTGGAATCTGAGCATGTAAATATTTAGGCTCAAACTAGGACAGTTTAGAGAAAATTTATATGAGAATGCTGGTCAAATGCACATCATTTGTGTACACACACTTACAAACACATAAACATGTGCTTAGAGAAGCTAAGAAGTCTCAAAATTGTTTTTTCTTTACAAGCTCATTTGCCTCTCCTCGAGAAATTCCTTATTCACAAAGAATGGTTTTTAAATGTCAAATCAAGGGTACTAATTTTCTTTCCTTCTTTTCCTCCAAAAGCACCATTAAATTAATACTAAGTGGTTTTAAAGAGCAAGACTCTGGTTGATGTACTTTATTTGAAATATTTGGTTTAGTTATTTCCAACCTCTTTTCAGATTCCCAGATTATCTGTTTCTAAACACTGTATTTTCCTGATTCCATCTAAGAAATTTCATCTTCATTTACAAATATAGAGCTTTATAAACATTAATAAAAGTTATGTGTGTTTGCGTGTGTGTATGTGCGTGTGTGTGTGTGTGTGTATGTGAGAGAGAGAAAGATAAGGGCAGAAAGACAGGGAGGGAGAGAGAAGTGGATTCTGGATTCTGGTAAAAAAAAAAATGTAGGGCACTTAGCACATCAATTTAAAGAAATATGTTTTCTGAGGACCCAATTCTTTATATTAAACAGGGCATGTAAGGTAAATTTCTTTTTTTTTTTTACAGGTAAACTTTTATGCAATCAGCTACTTACTGAGTAATCTGAGCAAAAATATTTCATTTATGCTTATGATGTGGATTTAAACTTTAAAATCTAGGACACTGTATGTATTTGGGTGGCTACTGATTTACTTTTGCATAAGACTTCAATTTATATATTATGATTATGTAAAGCCTGAAACTGGAGTTTCATAGCAAATCCTTCAGACTTCTCAGGTGGCGCAGTGGTAAAGAATCTGCCTGCCAATGCAAGAGTCATGGGTTTGATCTCTGGGTCAACAAGATCCCCTAGAGGAGGAAATGGCAACCCACTCCAGTAATCTTGCCTAGAGAATCCCACATACAGAGGAGCAGGGCTGGCTGCAGTCCAGAGTCACAGAGAGTCAGAGATGACTCAACAAGCACACAGCATAATACCATTCATCTCAAGTTTGAAAACATGTCAACATGTAGCATTTGTTGATTAAAAATGTGTGAAAGTATAAAAAGAAGCAAGGTAATGATAATTGCTAAATATATGAGAGTTTATCCATAGGAAGGAGGGTAGACAGAGAGGAGAAGTAGGTAGCTAGAATATCCCATTCATAGTGCTGGAGTGTTGTAGTAATGTCCTGAAGGTGAGAGGGCAAGATACTATGTTCTGACAAAGCTAGTGGTGGGTATTATTTATGGTATATATATAAAATGTTATTTTCTATTATTTTGTCTATGTCTAAAATATTATCTTTTAAAAAGTTGAGATTAATAAAATGAAAAACTTTTAAACATTAAAAAAAGAAAAATGAGAGACTTCCCTGGTGGCCCAGTGGCTGAGACTCATCGGGACAGGGTTCAATCCCTGGTCAGGGAACTAGATCCCACATGCCACAACTAAGCGTTCACACGGTGCATCTAACGATCTCACATGCCACCACAGCAAAGATTTAAGTTCCCATATACCACAACCAAGACCTGCTGTGGCCATAAAGATACATTTTCTTTTTTAAAGGAAAAATGAAACAAGATAAGTTAGCTTAGCAAAGCTGAGTCATCTACAGCCAAATGCTATAGCTGATCTCCCTACTTAATTATTTCCTTGAGCTGACACTGCAGGTGCTTGTGGCAGCTTCTGAAACTATTGCCCCCTTCTGGTTGAATCCAGAACAGTTTCCTAATTCATCAGTATCAGACCTGGTGCTCAGGGGGTAAAGCTCTGCAGTGCAGGAGACCCGGGTTCAATCCCTGGGTCAGGAAGATCCGCCCCTGGGCAAGGAAATGGCACCCCACTCCAGTATTCTTGCCTGGAAAACCCTATGGACGGAGGAGCCTGGCAGGCTGCAGTCCATGGGGTTGCAAGAGTCGGACACGAATTAGCAACTAAACCACCGCAGCCATGGCTGCGAGACCACAGGGAGGGACCTAGGTTATCCGGCCCAACTAGTTCAGAGAGAGGAAAGCTCAGAACCGAAGTGCTTCTGCAACTCCCACCACTAAGAGGGCAGCTTGGAGATGCTGCTGGGCCCAGTGGGGACCAGGTCCATCAGCACCTGCTCAGACGAGGGGCGAGGATGGGTCAGAGGCCGGGGACTCACGGATGCACGCGTAAGGGTCCGAGATGGCCTTGAGGGGGTCCCTGTAGAAGAGGGGTCTGCGGCGGTCACAGGGCTGGCCCTCCGCGTTGTGCTGGCAGTCGTCACACGCGCCCCCACTGCGGCCCCCGCTCACCAGGTATGCAGTCATGTCGACGTGACAGCGGTCAGAGTGGCCGTTACAGTGGCAAGCTGAAAACCCAGCAAAGTTAGGAGAGACTGCCAGGGTCCCCATGGTGAGCATCCCAGGGATGGTGGCTCCCTGCTCCGTCACCCATTTCCCCCTCCTCCACTTCCTTCAGACTCCTTACACCGAGTATATAGAAGCTTAAAATAGTTGCTTTCAAGGATCTTTTAGCACTCCAATTCTGCTCATATACTCTCTATAAAATGTGTTCTCGAAATGTTCACTATTTAGATTTTTTTTTTTAATCAAGCAGAGAAATACAAATCATTTGGGTGATCTAAAAGCCATAGGATGCAATATTTTTTTGTTGCTGTTGTTCAATAAAGAATATGTTTAGGGCTTTCCAGTTGGCACAGAGGTGAAGAATCTGTCTGCCAATGTAGGAGATGTGGGTTTGTCTGGGTCAGGAAGATCCCCTAGAGGAAGAAATGGCAACCCTCTCTGGTATTCTGGCCTGGAGAATCCCAAATACAGAGGTATGTCATGGGCTACAGTCCATGGGGTGGCAAAGAACTAGGTATTAGACTGAGCACACAGCACACACAAAGAATATGTTTACTGACTCAGACTGGTAAATCTGAAGGTTTTACATCACATGCTTGGGAGTATGGTAGTACTGGATTCTCCAGATTAGATGCTAGAGCTGGTCCAGCCAGCCTCTCCTTCTCTAGGGCAGAACTGCTGGAAGCGGGGCTAAATGTCATTTTCCTCCCAACACACGCTCACCCAGATCATCAGAAGGAAAGGTTTAAGGGGATCTGTGTATCTTTGTGATAATATCTATGCTACTTGCCTGGTTGGGTTTTTCCCTGTAAACAGCATAAGCTTGGGCCACATTTTGCTGGGTCGTGTCCACTGTGTCACTCATGGATGGGGCTTTTTCTTAAGAGCTCATCTAATAACCTCTTTGTCAAATCCTGTTTTTCCCACATTTGGGAAAAGAAACTGAATAACAGCTTTAGAAATGCATCAAAATTCAGAGGCAGAAAACACATGACAAAACCCCCTCCTATCTTTTTAAGTCTAAATATTTTATTAAAAAACACAATAGCCTGTCAAACTCCATCCTGGGCCTCATTTCTCATATCTTATCTGATATATGGGTTTAAGGTCACATTCACTGAGTGTATATTTATTCAGGAAAACAGTGGGGCTCTCTGTACCAATTCTAGTGGTCACCAGATTGCTGGAGTGACACCATCCCCACTGATATTACCCTCCCATGGCTGTGCCCCTCCGATGGAAAGGGCCACACAACATATAATCTAGTTCTTCAAATTAATGTTAAGTTCCGGTGTGAGGGTTGGAGAAGCTGGTGTTCTTCTGTGCAGGAGACATGAGGAATATCACATAGTTGGAGCTGAAAGTCACAAGTTCACCCCCTATGGTGCCAGAAGCCCAACAGAAACCAGCTAAATGTTCTCCAAAAGAAGGGAAAGCAGAGACTGTAAGGAGTTTCATATAAGGAAACTAAGTCTATGCTAAGAACTGAGGTCCACCCACCTTGGCAAGCACTGTCCAGGAGGCCCGTAGCTGGCCTCCAAGGAACATCCTGGAAGAAGTCCTTGCACCTCTCACAGTTTGGGCCATCTATATTGTGCTGACAGATGCATCGACCATGAACCTGCATGCGTGAGCAACATGAATGGTGTGAACACAGGGCTCATCTTTGAACTTCGAGGACGTTGGAGTTCTTTAAATGGAAAATGAAATACCAGCCCAAGGAGGTCTCTCTGGGTCTTAGGTTCGTTAGTTACAATACGAACCCTGACTGTCTACTATTACTTGCTTAATTAGCTTTTAAACTTTTTAAATTTTAAGATGCTTAAGTGAACATTTACAAGGAATTCTTTGTTTTTCTGAGTTTTGGTATCAGGGAACACATGGTCTGAACGCAGACCCTTGGCAAACTGACGGCCAGCATGGAGAGAGTGTTTGTGTGCGCATGCGTGTGTGTCTGTGGGGGATGATTTAGGAACCTCAGGGAATTAGAAAACCAAAACTGCAAAAAGGTGTGGGATTCTCTTGATTTTTCACAAAATGCCCTCCGTGCCCACATTCCCAGGGAAAAGTTCCATTTCTGGTGAAACACATGAGGTATCTAAGTGGAAAGATCTATAGCCTCCAGCCTTGTCCGTTATGACCAATAGTTCAAAACTATTTTTAGTTAGACACACTCCCAAGACTCTGCACAAAATTTAATTCTTCTACTGTATTGTTCCTTTAAGATTAGTCCCAGGAGTGGAGAAGATCTGCACTGCTTAGGACAGAGTCATTCATAGCGTGTCACTGGAGGTGACGGCTTTTGACAGCATCAGATGTCACTCAAACACTTTGGCACTGAGCCCGGGCTCTCACATGAACAGACCTTCAATACATTTTTATGAGACAATGTATGTGACATGGTTCCTCCCCATCAAATCTCCATTCCCTAAAAAATCAATAAACAAGAGAGACTAAGATGGACCATCTGGAAACCATAAATTACAAATTCTGCCCATTAGCTCAATGATGCCCACATGTGGCAGAATTCACAAGAACGTCTGTCCAGAGAACCAAAGGCCCCCAGATGGCCTGATGGGCCAGATTGAATGATACCTGCCTGGCACAAAGAGGGCTCTAGGCTTGTTGATCCCCACATGCAGTCTGACATACATTCAGCACTAAGACAGTGAAGGGAAGATAGGAGAGCCGATCTTGCTCTCGGGTGAATTTGTAACTCACCATGCAGGGAGGGCTGAAAACATCACCGTGCGTCTTCTGTGCTGAACCACATTCGCTAGCATGGCCATTGCAAAAACAGCTTCCTCTAACCACCATCTCATACAGTGCATAGTAGTATTTATTAAGGGAATCATTTTGCTTTCTTCCAAGCAAAGTATCCCCGAGAGTATGGAGCCTGGTAAAGTTTATCCTCAGGTTTGTTAATGTCACGAGGTCTAGAGAAAGGAAAATAATGAAATTAATAAATCAAAGTGCTTTAGGTTGGATGGGTTCAAAGCACTCTCCTTGACTGATACTCCCTTACCATCCTATAGACACTCAATGACAAGGAATCTCCCTCACATGAAGTTTTACAAAAGAAGCCGGTGTGAAAAATATAAAGCAATTCATACCCTGGATGTAAGGGCTGTAAGGGTTTTGTATTTCAAAGCTGGGACTCAACACCTTTAAAACAACCTGTAAACCAAATGTAGGTAAATTTAGAGTGTTTTGCCCCCAAAACGTAAGTGTTCAATATACTCTTAAAGAAGATATCTTGACCTTACAAGAAGGCTGAGCCACTATTTCCCAGCTGGTGTAAAATGTAGATTATCATTTGGGTTCTCATTTGAATAAAGTACCAAGAATGAAAATGAAGGAAGGTTGTTAAACAGTCATTCTGGCTCTTTATGCACAAGCGGTCCATGCGGGCGGAAGTGCTCATACCACTGCTGGAAAGGACTCCTGCTTAGTTGGGGTGGAGTAATGGGTTCATAATTCAGCAAGTCCTCATCAATGTGAATCTGGCATTGTGGCATCAATGTGGATTCTGGAGCTGCCTTCTGTCACCATTCCTACTACTCTACCTGATAAGGTAATACTTCCCAAGCCTACTCCTATCCCCTGACTTTCTGCCCATCACCAGCTTTGCTCTGAGGAAGTTCTGGGCAGATTCCACCCAGGTGGGGGGCTTGCAGAGCATAGACGGCTGCCATTAGCCTTTATGGTTCCTTTGAAAGGACTAGAAAAGATATTCCTACCTCTGGCATCCTGGCCACAGTGCCCAACTTGCATTTTAGCCCTTGTTTACCTTCAGTAGGGGCACTCTTGTACAGGATCATTTCCTGTAAGGTATTTGTAATTTACCTGAATATGAGATGAATTCAGGACTCATTTCAATTTAGACACTACCATTCCTAAACAAGCAGCAGCTCATGTTCTATTTCAGTAGACACTACCTAAACTGTTTTCATCTCGATTAACCACGATAACAACAACAACAACAAGATTTCATTTCCAGGAAAGAAATCACAGAAAGGAAATTCTACCTCACCACCAGTGGAGGGTTCAATATCCGAATATTTGGAGTCACAAACAATGTCTCCCACTCCCTGGGCCTGGCCAGATGTGATGTTAGGGAAGGAAGCAGCACAATCTTTGGCAAAATATTTGAACACTCTCCAGGTATGTCCATAGTCTGTGGAGCGTTCAACTAACATTGCAGCAGGCCGAAAATTCTAGGAGAAAAATCAGTTAAACTTGTCATGCTTCGCAAAAGTAGAATTTATAACCCATTCCAGATTGACAATATTTTTGAATTCTATTTTTAATACCTTTATTTGTATCTTTTCAAATCTATTCTAAGGAATTCTCTGGTGGTTCCACTGCAGAGGGCACAGGTTTGATCCCTGGTCAGGCCACTAAGACTTCACATGCCATGCAGCAAGGCCAAGAAAAGGAAAAGAAAAAAAAAAAAATCTACTCTACCATGAACACACCAAAATCTCTTTTTATCAGGTGAACAACTATTTATGAGCACATGCTTTGTCCAAGAATCAAACTCCATTTTAAAATTGTTTCTGTATAAATTAATTGAAGAAAAATGGCATGTACTTTTAAAAAAAAAGGCCAATGCAGTTGACATTTTTATAGCAATCTGCATGTGGTTTTCTTCACTTAGAATACTTTTCCTCTGGCAAACTCTTATACATCCTTCAAAATCCACCATGAAGTTAACCGTTTCCCCAGAGTTGACTTAGCCATGTCAAATAATCCCCCAACATTCTAATCATACATCTATTTCTGCACTTGTCACTCTGCATTGTAATTTCAGAATTATATATCTGTTTATACCCATGACTAGACTGTGAGTTCTTTGAAATCAAAGACTACTTCTTAAATTTTTAAAACTTTTAATTTTATGTTCATCTTTTATGACTAAAACCTAGCACCAGGCCTGACAAAATTAGAATTCTGATGAATGATTAAAGAATGATGATAGCACAGATTTTCTCTGGCATCTAACTCAGTAAAGAGCCTTTAAATTTTCTTCCTCTTTTGATCACAAATTTTTTTTTTTTGTATTTCCTTAAATAATTTCCAGTACCTGTCCTTTTATCCTCCAAATTATCTTTCTAGTTCTTGTCATCTCTAGCACCCCAGAGCTTGGAGGTTTTCCTTTTCCTGTATCTTCTAAGACTCTCTCTCTTTTCTTTTTTGTTAATCATGTAAGTTATTATTTAATGAGCACTGGTGTTTTTCTGTTTTTCATTCAAGAGCAAAAAGCCCAGATAACAAAGCTCCAGGCTGGATCTGAACAGCTTTTTGTTCTCTGCAGGGGAGCAAGGAAGTGAAATCTAAGGTATGCCAAGCATTTGGTAAGTAGGTAAAGGGGCAGCACTCTATACATCTGTACCTTAAAGGTCAGAATAAGGTGACTGAGCTGAAATAAGGCCTCTAGGTCCAGTCTGATGCTGACATGATCAAGACCTAAAGGAAAATCCAGAAAGAAGAAAATCAGTGATTTTGAGAGACAACTGTTTACCATGCTAATTCCTCAATTGTTCATAATGAAACCCTTTGGAATTTTATGGCTGGTGATTAACACTCTTGCCAAGTGTGTTGGAGTGGCTTTCCATGCCATTCGCACTCGGGATAAGGTCTATGTGAGGCTTATATCCGTTTTCCCTGACTTTGCTCACATTTGTGTTTCAGTGACAACGCGTACAGCCTCAGTGGGGCTGTGTGACACCACCACGGGAGCTCCTGGGTGGTCCCTACAGGTAGACAGAGCGCGCTGTGTTCACCTCGAATCTTGACTTCACGTAAGCTAGTAGCCAGCACATGGCAAACAGCCACACCCTCTCCTTCCAACAGCTACAAAGAAGCATTTGACCTAGTTGTATTGTCATTCAGAAAACACACTTTGGATTTTTCTCCTGGGACTGAGGGTCTGTGGGCTCCTCTGTGGCGACCAATCATGTTCCTGTCCAAAGGATGACATTGAAAAAGCCTCATACTATGCTTGCCCTAAATCATCTTATATACTGATGATGATGATTTCCTTACTCCCTTCTCATGGTCTAGAGCCTCCTACAGGAAATACATTTAGGTATCCAAAGACAATAGAGGGACCACAGCCCGAACATCCTGGCCAGGACTTGGCACTGAGATAGCTTGATGCCATCCAGGTATCAGCTCCAATCCAGCCATGATGGAAGCTGCTCCTAGAGTGGAACTGTCCAATGGATTCTAGCAGGCACATTTTAAAAAGTAAAAAGAAACAGGAGAAATTATTTATATTTATTATATATATAGTCTATATATTTATAAAATGTATTTATCTATATATTATAAATAACATGACATATTATAAATAATATGCACTACAGATAATAAATATATATTATAGATAATATACTGTGTGCTGTGCTCAGTCATGTCAAACTCTTTGCAACCCCACGGACTGTAGCCTGCTAGGTTCCTGTGTCCATGGGATTCTCCAGGCAAAAATGCTGGAGTGGGTTGCCATTTCCTACTCCAGAGGATCTTCTCAACTCAAAGATCAAATCCACATCTCTTGCATCTCCTGCATTGACAGATGGATTCTTTAACACTGCACCACCCAGGAAACCCTAGATAGACAATACATTATCTGTCATTTATTTATATATTTAAATCATATGTATGATACAAATATTATATATAATACATTGCCTAAATATATTATATATAAATATATACTATGCCTAATCCAATATATCAAAAATATTCTCATTTCAACATGTAGTCAATATTTTAAAAATTAGTGATGCTTTATTATACATACTTCTTTCCCCAAATTAAGTCTTAGAAACCCAGGATGTTTTACACACATAGCACATCTTGGTTTGGATTCAGTTCAGCTCAGTTGCTCAGTCACGTCTGACTCTTTGCGACCCATGGACTGTAGCACGCCAAGTTTCCCTGTCCATCACCAACTCCTGGAGCTTACTCAAACTCATGTCCATCGAGTTGGTAATGCCATCCAACCATCTCATCCTCTGTCATCCCCTTCTCCTGCCTTCAATCTTTCCCAGCATCAGGGTCTTTTCCAATGAGTCAGTTCTTTGCATCAGGTGGCCAAAGTATTGGAGCTTCAGCATCAGTCCTTCCAATGAATATTGAGGACTGATTTCCTTTAGGATGGACTGATTGGATCTCCTTATAGTCCAAGGGACTCTCAAGAGTCTTCTCCAACATCACAGTCCAAAAGCATCAATTCTTTGGTGTCCAGCTTTCTTTATAGTCCAACTCTCACATCAATACATGACTACTGGAAAAACCATAGCCTTGCTTCCAAGAAGCAAGCATCTTTTAATTTCATGGCTGCAGTCACCATCTTCAGTGATTTTGGAGCCCCACAAAATAGGCTCTCACTGTTTCCATTGCTTCCTCATCTATTTGCCATGAAGTGATGGGACCAGATGCCATGATTTTAGTGTTCTGAATTTTGAGTTTTAAGCCAACTTTTCTCTTTCCTCTTTCACTTTTGTCAAGAGGCTCTTTAGTTCTTCTTCGCTTTCTTCCATAAGGGTGGCATCATCTGCATATATGAGGTTATTGTTATTTCTTCTGGCAATCTTGATTCCAGCTTGTGCTCATGCAGCCCAGCATTTCACATGATGTACTCTGCATATGGGCTTCTCTCATAGCTCAGCTGGTAAAGAATCTGCCTGCAATGCAGGAGACCCCGGTTCAATTCCTGGGTTGGGAAGATCTGCTGGAGAAGCGAAAGGCTACCCATTCCAGTATTCTGGACTGGAGAATTCCATGGACTGTACAGTACATGGGGTTGCAAAGAGTCGGACATGACTAAGTGACTTTCAGTTTCATTCTGCATATAAGTTAAATAAGCAGGGTGACAATATACAGCCTTGACATACTCCTTTCCCTATTTGGAACCAGTCTGTTGTTCCATGTCTGGTTCTAACTATTGCTTCTTGACTTGCATATAGATTTCTCAGGAGGCAGGTCAGGTGGTCTGGTATTCCCATCTCTTGAAGAAATTTCCACAGTTTGTTGTGATCCACACAGTCAAAGGCTTTGACGTGGTCTATAAAGCAGAAGAAGATGTTTTTCTGGAACTCTTTTGCTTTTTTGATGATGCAACGCATGTTGGCAATTTGATCTCTGGTTCCTCTGTCTTTTCTAAATCCAGCTTGAACATCTGGAAGTTCTAAGTTCATGTACCGTGTAAGCCTGGCTTGGAGAATTTTAAGCATTACTTTGCTAGTGTGTAAGATGAGTACAATTGTGCAGTAGTTTGAACATTCTTTGGTACTGCCTTTCTTTGGGATTGGAATGAAAACTGACCTTTTCCAGTCCTGTGGCCGCTGATGAGTTTTCCAATTTTGCTGGCGTATTGAATGCAGCACTTTCACAGCATCGTCTTTTAAGATTTGAAATAGCTCAGCTGGAATTCCGTACCTCCACTAGCTTTGTTCGTAGTGATGCTTCCTAATGTCCACTTGACTTCGCATTCCAGGATGTCTGGCTCTAGGTGAGTGATCACACCATCAGGGTTATCTGGGTCACGAAAATCTTTTTTGTATAGTTCTTCTGTGTGTTCTTGCTACCTCTTAGTATTTTCTGCTTCTGTTAGGTGGGTAAGCCATGTTTTTGGATCATTAGGATCCAAATTGAACTAGCATTTAATAGACACCAATAATGTCTGTGTCCAATGGATGACATAGAAAAATAGCCTTATACTATGCTCACCCTGAATGATCTTACCTATTATGATTATTCCCACACTCCCTCTTATGGCCTGGGATCCCTTTAGGGAAATATGTTTAGAGTCTGAACACAATAGAGGAATTGTAGTCCAAGGTGAGAGATGCAGGGATGCGGCAAATGGAATCCTTCTCTGGGGGGATAAGAGCTCCAGACCAGTGTTGAAGAGGGTCCATCATGAGTGAACGAGCTGCATTAAACACATAAAGCTGGGGTGGGAAATAGGAAATCCCTGATCAGGTCCAAATTTACAGTGGCATCTAGGAAACAGGGCCAGTGTGAGGTTCAGGATCACAATGTCATGAACAGGGAAGGGCAAAAACCAGGAAGGAAAGAATTGCAGTCAGTAGTCAACTACCCTTTCAATTAAATTTTTATATTAAAATTTTTAATTTGCAGAAAGAAACATCCTTTCTCTCTCTGCCTTCATGTGTTGAAGAAGGAAAAAGCACATGATATTAACTCTCAGACTTCCCCCGGCATTATTATTTCTGTTTACATCAGTGTGTTTTTTATTAGGCTTAATTTACCAACACTTCATAAACTACTCCCATCCCCTTTTTTATTTTCCCAAAGAACAAGAGCATACAGAACTGTTCCCCATGTGAAAAAAGTAAAACATTCTCAGGTATGTGCTTAAAAAATACTTCTATTTCTCAAAAGGAAAATATTCTTTCTTAAAATGAAAATTGAATTTTGCTTTTATACAGGGTTTTACATTCTCAGTGGATATTATTCCATTTCAATATAACTCCTTGTGTGATATTGCCAAAATCATATAGAGAGAAAGATACCTTACTAAAAATGTGAAGAAATAAAAGATTGTAAAGAAACTTGGTCATACCATTTTCAGATTGCCACCACTTCTTTTCTCTCTCTGGTTCAAAACTTACATTCTCAATGGTGTGGCTGTTGGGTTGGGTGTGTGGATCATATGGAAATCTGGAATCACAGATGAAGCATTTTTGTTCCCCCTGGAAAATACATCATTAAAATTAAAAATAAATAATCGTCATTACTTATTGTTGATCTGAATTTAAAAACAAGCTGGATGTGCTATATTTGTCATTCAATCTAGCTAAAAATAAAAAGCAGAGGAAATTACAAGACATAAATTTTTCCATCAATAGGTGCTTGACTACCAAAACAAACAAAATTAAGACTTGACTTAGAAATTTTATAAATGTAAACATTTGGGACAAAACTGCAAATTTGTAGAACTAATAATTTTTTCTCATACAAGGAGCAGAGGGTTTAGAGTTTGTTTTAAACTATAGAAAAATAACTAGGATATATTCTTGAGTTGGAATGACTTCCTTTAGTTAAAAAAAAAAAATTAGTAAGAAATTAATGAAACAATTGGCCATTAGTTTATCTGCAACCATCATCTTTTCTCTCTCTGATATTATTTTTGGCATAAAAGCTTCCAGAGCCAAAACCTTTACTATGCACATGTAGATTTTTTTGAGTTTCATTAAACTCATTACAGAGACCCATCCTTGTCTTACAGACTAGAAGATTTTTGTGAATTGGAACTAATTTTGCTTGGGATGGATTTTCAAAGGTTTTAACAGTCAAGACTGGCCTTTGAGTTTGTTTGCATCCACTTGTAGATGTACTTACTTAAATTCCTGAGGAACTCTCCCAAGATTTCCAAAGGCCTGTCAATGGCCTGCACAGTTGTTCTCGCTAATATTTGTGGGACTCTGGAAGAGCATTTTTGCAAAGCTTCCAGGAAGCAGGAGTGATTTCTTACCATGCTCCATATTGGAAATTGCCCAAAACAGCAAATATGCTGGTAGGTATTCAGCAAACATTGGATTTTATGCTTGACGATGGCTTACAAGGGCCTAGGTTATCTGACCAGTCCCGCCTCTTTTGTTAAACAAATGCATGATGATTTTAATGACTATTTCAGCTATAGGTTGTCAAAGTAAACCAGACTTTCAAGAGAGTGGTATAATCTTTTTATAATCACCGGCCATCATAAGCCCTTATACTTGAAGAAAACCAAAATGCCCTGTAGAAATTAAGGACCAGTACAAGTTAGATCAGTTCTGCCTATGGGGAGATTTGCCCCAGATCTGTCCTAATAAAGCAACAGGAGCCCAATGATTCCACCAAAAGTTGTCAAGACTTGAAAATATTTCCAATACTATGGAAAATATTGGGGAAACTATTTAACTTCAGGCCATTAATTTTTTTCTGTAAACATNTATGGGGAGATTTGCCCCAGATCTGTCCTAATAAAGCAACAGGAGCCCAATGATTCCACCAAAAGTTGTCAAGACTTGAAAATATTTCCAATACTATGGAAAATATTGGGGAAACTATTTAACTTCAGGCCATTAATTTTTTTCTGTAAACATTTTAGAAGTATAGTCTTTGATGGAGCTGGCTACAGAGGATGCTTAGTTGTGGCAAATAGATATGAGAGGCCCAACTTGGGTAACACTCTGAGTCAATGCTGACTTAAACATTTGGAAGGGAATATTTTGCTTGAGAGCTCTTTGCTAGTTGATGGATGAAAAAAAAAATTATCCTCCATGACACATGAATTTTATGTAATTAATACTTATAGTTTCAGCTCTAAAGCTTTGTCAGCTAGAAGATATTTTGCGGTTTTTTTCCCTCAGTTCTAAGATTTTTAAGATTTCTGTGATTACCTAGACTGAAGAAGTTCTGGAGTTGGTTTTACTTCTATTTGGCGTAACTTTGCCATATAGGAACATCAAGTTCTAATTATTTTAACATCAAATTCAAATAATTAGGCTCATGACAATGTAAGCAGATGCCAATGGTGAAAAAACAAGATGGGTGATGCCAGTGTGCAAAGTTTCTAATATTAGAGTTGGGAACCACTGCTTTGTCCAGGGGACCTGGCCTTAGGAAAGCTACGTGAAGGGGCTTCCATCCCACCTGACCTAAAATGGAGCAAAACTTCTACAGTGTCACTTTCTTGCACATGTAGAGAATCTGCTTTCTTATACAAGTACTTCCTAAACTTAGACAAAGGCTAAGCACTCAAGTATTGTCTCCACTTATTTATAATCATCCTCTTTTACTAAAACCAATGAGAACACAAAACCTTCCCAGAGGCCTCCAGGAGTTGCCTTACACAAACAATACGTGGAAAAACCTGGGTCACTAACATTAGGCTTACATCCAACTTCCTTCGTGCACATCCTCTTAGTTAAGGGGCTGACATAATTGCCTCAGGCTTTTGAGCAGGTGTGATACTCAGATGACTTTGGATGCTTGTTTCAGAGTCCAGGGAAGAAAAAAAGCAACTGGTCCTTTTATAAAACTGGTCTTTAAGAATAAAAGGGACAAAAGGATGTTCACATTGGGACTTGATAATCTCTAAATAAGACAATTTCCAAGTGGCATTGAGACGCTGGCAGACAATCAATTCCAGGTCCACACTCTGTCCATCTCCATCTAAAGTAGAGCCCATGTTCAGCATAATAGCCCTGAACTCTGAGGGATCTTCCATCTTCATCCAACTTGTCAATTATTTAGTAAGTCCACTCCAGTGGAGTCACTAAAGCAGCCAATTAGAACATATATTGTATAGTAGTTCCTTCAAATACTGAACAAAAAAAAAACCTTTTTTTTTTGTTTAATTCTAAAGGTAACAAGAAATAAATGAAGCCCAGCTTCCTTATTCCCCAATTAGTGAAGGTTTCCTGGATGTTGAACTGAATCACTTGTGTCTCTGGTGTTTGGGAAGGCGGACCGTCTCCTTTTCTCTCCTGTTGTCTGGACAGCCCTAGATGTACTTGAAAAATCTACATCACTGATGAAATCATGTCCCAAAAAGTAAACAAAGATCCAACCCACCTCGAGGTAGCTGAGGATGCAGTATTTCTGGGCTCTGCCCAGTGCACAGGTGGAAGAAGCCGTGAGCTGCCCACTGAGACCCACCAGGAGATCGCCGACGGGGGCTGATGGGCACCTCTGCTGCGTTCATCTGGAGCTTTCACGTAACTGAGCAACCCTTGAAAACATGTAGAAACAGGACACATGAGGCAGGCTAAGGGTCGTAGAAGGCTTAAGGAAGTGACTGGTTAAGTGGGACAGTTAACAGCCCGCCTATTTTTAATACTAGTTCTGTGATCATGAAGACCCTAGTGGTGGATACTGTTGGCACCTGCAGTCTGATAGAAATCTCTTAGCCTGGGAGGTTAGGCCATCTGTGCTCATGACCCCACCTGGATCAGCTGAAGCCAGTGACTGATGGATGCATGCTTCTCAGCCATTGCCTCAGGCTGGGATCCACTCTTTATGCCCAAAGTCTCTTCTGGGAGGAGGCTGAAGCCAGACTCCTGCTGGGACCCCGTCCTGGCTCCACTGCTCCCACTCTCTCCCTCTTCAGAGTACTCCCTCAATAAATTACTCGCATATAAATCCTTGTCTCAGGCTCTGCTTCTAGGAAACCTGACCTTAAACAACCTCCATTCACTGGAAATCCTCTACATGTCATTTTAGGGCAAATAACAAAGACAAATACACAGACATGAGGAAGGAGAGTCCTAATCATGCCTCTTATATCTGTTGTTCCAACCTGGAGGAAAATCAACTGGAGAAATTAAGAAATCCTTGGGAAATAACTTTCTCTTCAAATATGTAAATTCAGTTGACCTCCCTTTGCAATCTGGAGTGCTGGATTCAGACACACCATGGAACAGATCATGTTTCTTTGGGATAAAAGATGGCACAGATGGAATTCCAGACTGTACTTAGCCCTTGGTACCTGCCATCCAACAGATCTGTCATGAAGGGTTCAGTCACAGAGCATTAAAAGGCAGCTGTATCTCAACTATCACAATTCTCTACTTTTCATGAGAAACCTCTGAGATAATATCCTTAAAGGTTGGTTTAAAAATGATTTTTACAGTTCTGTTTGTCTTAAAATGTTAAATTCTGAGTTAATATAACTTAAATCTGTATATGTGAATGCAGGATGGGTAATCCACACTATTTCTTGCCTGCATAGCTTGTCTGCTTTATTCCTTAATGTTAAAGTTACACACTTATAACCCATAACATACTAGTAGATTTTGTTTACTGTTGGACTGAATAAAAGAAAGCAAAAATCTTACTGGGAATAAGGTCTAAACTGAACATGCACTAAAACTAAATACATTATGCTAAAGCTATAATGTGAGTCCTCTATTTTATGGATAGCTATTTATAGACATAGATACACTTCTTTTATTTTCTTTTTGGGGCTTCCCTGTGGCTCAGCTGGTAAAGAATCTGCCTGCAATGTGGGAGACCTGGGTTCGATCCCTGAGTTGGGAAGATCCCCTGGAGAACGGAAAGGCTACCCACTCCAATATTCTGACCTGGAGAATTCCATGAACTGTAGAGTCCATGGGGTCGCAAAGAGTCAGACACAACTGAGAAACTTTCACTTTCATACTTCTTTTAAAAGCATATTTGAACAGGACAGTATTTTTTAAAATTCAGTTAAATGGTTAGAATTCTTTTTTTTGCTTCTTAAGGCCAAAATCTAGGAACTAGTTTTCTCTTGATTGCAACTCAAACTGCAGACATGATAATTTTGCAGAAATAAAACAGCCTCTGGATTGAAAGACACAGGACCCAGAAGAGCTAAAACAATTTAAAAAATATTTCTATTTGATATTAAGGTTTACTATGTATCCACAGTAAGCAAGAAAATGTAATATTGGTGGAGAGACAGACCCATAGATTAATAGAATAGAGACCTTGGAAATAGACCTAAACAAATACGATCAACTGATTTTTGAGGTTCAAAGGTGGATGAAGGACAGTCTTTCAACAAGCAGTGCTGAAGCAGTTGGACATCCAGAGGCAAAAAAATGAACTATAACCAAAACCTCACACTGTATACAAATATTAACAAAAATGGGTCATGGACTTAAAAAGTAAAATGTAAAACTCCCACAGACACATAGGAGATTTGGGCAATTTAGGGCTAGGCAAAGCATTTTTAGAATTGACAATAAGAGTATGACTCATAAAAGGAAAACTGGTAAACTGGAACCTCATCAAAATTAAAAAACTGTGGAGAGATAGAAAAGCAAGGAGAATATAATTACCAATTACATATCTGACAAACCTCTTGACCTAGACTATATAGTGTTAGTTGCTCAGTCATGTCCAACTCTTTGCAACCCCATGGGCTGTAGCCCGCCAAGCCCATCCGGCTTCTCCGTCCATGGGATTTTCCAAGCAAGAATACTGCAGTGGATTGCCATTTCCTTCTCCAGAGAATATATAAAGAGCTCTCAAAACTCAACATTTAAAAACCAATCCAATTAGAAAATGGCAAGCAGCATGAATAGACATTTCACTGAAGGAAACACATAGATGGCAATAAGCACCTGAGAAGATGTTCAGCATCATTAGTCACTAGGGAGATACAAATCAAAATCACAATAGTACTACATACCCATCAGAATAGCTTAAAAAACAAAAACAAAAACTGGTAACTCCAGCTGCTAGAGAGGATGTGGAAAAACAGGATTACTTATATACACTGCTGGTAGGAATATAAAATGAAACAGTCATTCTGGGGAAAGTATGGTAGTTTCTTATAAAGCTAAGCATATGTTTATCATACAATCCAGCACTTATACTCTTAGGTAATCATCCCAGAAAAATTAAAACTTCTATTCACACAAAAAACTGTTCAACATCTTTATAATAGCCCCAAACTGGAAAGAACCCAGATGTCTTTCAATGGGTAAATGGTTAAGGTTTCCCTGGTGGCTTAGATGGTGAAGAATCTGCCTGCAAGGCAGGAGACCCATGTTCAGTTCCTGAGTTGGGAAGATCTGCTGGAGAAGGAAATGGCAACCCACTCCAGTATTCTTGCCTGGAGAATTTCATGACCGAGGAGCCTGGTGGGATACAGTCTATGGGGTCACAAAGAGTTGGACACGACTAAGAGACTTTCACTCACTAAGTAAAGTGTAGTCTGTCCATACCATGGGATGGTACTGAGCAATAAAAAAGGAAGGAATCATTGATGCATACAACACTGGATGAATCCCCAAGGAATTACAGTGAGTAAACAACGCCCATCTCAAAAGGTATGTGCTGCATATTTCCATTTCTTTAATGATGAAATTATAGAGATGAGTAACAGATTCATGGTGGCCAGGGGTGACAGAGACAGGGAGGAAGGGAGCTGGATGTGGATATAAAAGGGTATTACTAGGGAATCCCTGAGTTTGAGAGAGCTCCGGGAGTTGGTGATGGACAGGGAAGCCAGGCATGCTGCAGTCCATGGGGTCGCAAAGAGTCGGACACGACTGAGTGACTGAACTGACGGGGGGAATCCTTGAAGTAATAGAACTATTCTCTATCTTAACTGTGGTGACGGACTCATGAATAGGCTTCTGATAAAATTGCATAGAATTAAATATACAGACACACACTCACACATACACGAAAGGGAACATGCAAAACTGGGGGACTCTAAATAAGGTTAATGGACTATTTCAGTGTCAGTTTCTTGGTTGTATATTGTACTGTAGTTACTCAAAGTGCTATCATTTGTAGAAACTGGGTAAAATGGGATCTCTCTGTATTATTTCTTACAACTGCTTGGGAATCTGCAATCATCTCAATGCAAAAAATTTTTTAAAAACCAAACAGTTCTCTCTCTCCTCAAAAATCATCCCCATTGGCCTCTGGATGGTGAATCATGTAAATCCCACATTCTAAAATAATACACACAGGGTGGGTTCCAGCTGCTCCTATATATTATTCCTTTGAGACAAGAGAATTTACACCAAATCCTGTTTTAAGCAAACAGAAGTGGGAGGGATGAGCCTAAAAGGAAAAATAATTACCATACTGTGGAATAAGCTTGCTTTTTCCTCAGCTTTTTTGATGGTAAAAATAAGAGTTTTCTTAATGGACTTGTTTTGCATTTAATGGATTACTTTCCTCCAACTTGCCCTCCAAAACTACAGGCTATTGAAAAATACTCTTTCTCTTGTGTACACATTTCCCACATCTATTCTGTTCATCTGGTGATTTTGTGATTATTATCAGGCATTAAACATATGTAGATCATGGTTCTACAGCTAAGAATATGATCCATAATGTCTCCTTCCCCATAGGTTACCAAACATCACTCTTGGGAATTCTCCATCTTCCATCTCCTTGTAAAGATTATTATACTACAACAAAGCGTGACATTTCTTTCTCTTTGAGACATGGTAAGTTCTCCTCATACACTTTTAAAATTTTATTGTATAATAAATGATTCTAGCTTGGTTAAGATGGATTCTTTCTTTTTATTCACCCAACAATCCAAACCCAAAGTTCCTTTTATTTCCTAGAATTGGCATCAAGGATGAATACCGAATTTGAAGTTTGGATTCAACATACAGAGGCTTTTTCAAAAAGGTCAGGCATAGAATGTCTGCTAGTGCTGCATGTGGACTAGCTAAGATTTCCCCCCCAGGGATTTATTCTTTTAGACAAATTTCATCCTGAATTATTTCACTGGAATTGTTACCTTAGAGATTAAACATGTTTTTATAACCTGAGTTGGCCAAGCTTTTTTTAATCAGGTATGTACTTTTCAGAAATAAAAAGTATTCCAAGACTTTGGGAAATGGAACTGTTATTTGTGTAATATTCTATAGTCATATATGAACTTTTGATCTAAAATACTTGGCTGAAAGAGGTTAGAGACATTAAGTAGTTAAAGCTTCATGCCTGAACACAGACTCAGAAATATCCTTCTTGGATTAAAGCTTTCAACTGCCAAGTTATTACATGAGCATTAGGTTGGAAATGATTCAGAGAAAAATGATGTTTCAGTCTCAGAAAACCAATGTATTGCTCAAAAATTACATACAAGTTGAGGACAGGATCTTATTAAAAATGAATTTAGGAAAGCTGGTGATTTAAAGAAAATATACACTAAATTTTCTGTAAAGTCAAGGGTCATTTTATAGATATAACCATTACTATTTGATCGTGGTAACTCTGTACATTGTTACAATTTTCTTAAACACATGCAATGTTTTCATCTACTTTATAATTCACTTCAGAGTTCAGAAGCTATAAACATACACATTTGTTTACATACTCACATACATTACTATGAGTGAGAAAACATGCAAAGGATTCAGATTGGAAAAGATGTGCACTTTGTAAACAGTTCCCCAAACCAGGGACTAATTTTATGATTCTCTCTCTTTATCTTCCTGTGCCAGAATGCAAGACAGGGGCAAATAGGCTTAGATATTTATATCAATGCCTGTGGTTGAACTATGGGCTTCCCAGGCGGCTCAGTGGTAAAGAATCTGCCTGCCATTGCAGGAGATATAAGAGACAAGAGTTCAATCCCTGGGGTGGGAAGATCCCCTGGAGGAAGGCTGAGTGGACATTGAGGGAGAAGAAGTGTCTCCTGGTTGAGGAGGCCTCTCTGAGATGCTGTGGAGAGGTTTAGAACTTTGGCAAGGTGTGAGTAAGTTACCCTGTGGAGGGGCTGGGAGAAGATGCTGTTAATTGGTTGCTTCTGGTTTTGAATACTGGTTTAATCCCTAAGAGAACAACCAAAGCAGATGTAGATGGGGACTTCCCTGGTGGTCCATTGGTTGGGATTCTGTGCTTAGTCTCCTGACCAAGGTGTGGGTTCAATCCCTGGTCAGGAGACTAAGAATCCTGCATGCCCCCGGAGTGGCCAATAAAACCCTACCCCTCTCAAACAACAATAAAACAGATGTAGGTAGATGAAACCAACTCTTCTCGGCCTGAGGCCAGACCTAAACTTCCTAGTCTTGAGGGGGTACAGACCAGTGAATCTCCTCTTGCACTGGCTGGTAGCTCATCACTGAAGCAGAAAACTTTTTACAGACAGCAAATGAACATTTACCATCTACTGCTGTTCTTTCCTTCATGACCAGTCAAGCCAACTGAGAATTTGTCTCAGCGTTTGGGAATTGTATGGAGAAGGAAATGGCAACCCACTCCAGTATTCTTGCCAGGAGAATTGGACAGAGGAGATTGGCAGGTTACAGTCCATGGGGTTGCAAAGAGTTGGACAAGACTGAGCTACTATCACTCACTCACTTGGGAATTGTAAAATTAAAAGAGATTCTTCAAGTCTGCTGCCATGAAGAAATTCAGCATGAATCTTTGAAGAGAAGATTCTAAGCAATTTAGATGGTACTCACCCAAAGTAGGGCTGTTACAAACACAAAAAGTTCAGGATCAAAGAGAGTAATTGTTGGAAACCTCTTCTCTATGACTAACGTAAATGATTATCAGCTTATCAAAGACTGCACAGTCATGCAGAATTTGGCCTTTTAGCTCAGAGCTGCTACTTACTCAGAAGAGAGAATTTTGCCTATAAATTCTTTATGAGATGTCATCATTGGGTTAAGTGTAACATTCAAAGCAGAGCTATTTTTAAAAATTAAAATGCATTGTATTTGTAAATTAAGAATCTGAAAGTATTTTGCTCTTTTAGTGTCTTTATTTATCTGCTGCCATGAATACTCCATTAAAGACTGACAGAAATAGCTATGTGTGGATACTAGCCATGTTTGAATGAAACTTTCTGGTTGCTTGACATATACAACAGAAGAGTCATGAGAATATGTGTTAGTATAGAAAAAAGGGGTGGTTTAGTATAGAAAAAAGGGGTGGATATGTTTAAAACCTATTTCCAGTAAATATTTTAGAACAATTCAATACAAACAGAAAATGGATTTTGACATTACTCACCAAGATGCAAAAGAAAGATCAGTTGAAATTGCATTCTTTTGTCAGGAAAAAATTAAATTCAGTTCTGCTAGGTTTAGGGGGGAGAAAAAGGAAGGTAAAGTCAGTAACTGATAGAATCAAAAATTGTCATCAATTTTAAGTGATTTGAAAATTTGTCTGATGGTCTTTCTTTGGGTACTTATCATTTAGTCTTCTTTTTCTCTCCTTTTAAAAACCTAAGTGAATAGTTAATTTACAATGTTGTATTAGTTTCAAGTGTATCTGATGGTTCTTTGAGACACAAAAATACCCACAGTGCCCAACTCCTTAAATAATAAGTGTATATACTTTTTTGCAAATATTTGTTTTCTAGTTTTTGACGTCACAGAATGTAATCATTAATCTATTTGTCCATTTTATTTATTTAGAAAAAACTTTAATTATACCATGAACATGTGTACTTACTGTTGAAAAAATAGAAAAATCAGAAGGCAAAATTGAATTGTTACCCACTGAACTACCGTCCAGAGAAAAGTAGTTAATATCTTGCTCTGTGTTTTTCCATACTTTTTTGCTTGCATATAAATATTTTCCAAAAGTGATACAATACTGCATGCTTGCTTCAATCTATACATCCCAGGCATCTTTCCGTATCAATAAAAACATTTTTACATCAGGGAATTTCCACCTACGGAAGGATATCAGGACCATTGAGGGGCTTCTAGGAACCCAAGCTGTGCCCCGCTTTGTAGATTCAGCTATGTCCCTCTAGACAGAGGGACCGCACAAGTCACTGTTAGAAGGGACCTTGACACAGATGGAAGTGCCCATGGGCTTCTGTGAGATGGGAAGAGAGGAAGTGAAATGCTCTCCTGTACCAGTATTTTAAATGACTGGATGGTATACTCCTGAACGCAGGAACCAGAATTCAACAAATGCTCTACAGGTTGACATGTACTTCCTTTCTTACATTTTCCTGTTACAAACATTTTTGCCAAGTCTTTGTTCATATCCTTAACTACTCCTCAGGATATGAAGTGGAAACACTGGATCAAAGCGTGTACTTATGCTGGTGTGTAAATGAAATGTTGATGCTATTATCAAGAGCCACATGAAAAGTTTGTCCCAACATATACTACCAACAGACTATGGGAACAACCATTGGCCTGAATATAAATTTTTAAACCTTGTCAATTTAAAAAGCAAAAAAGTATACCTCATCATTATTAATGTTTTTGCTAGAAGAGTAGTGAATATAAAATATTTTTCATGTACTTATAGGTGAGAATTTTTTTGAATATAGCTCCCTCTGTTATGAGTTGTTTTTTTTTTTTCTTTTGACATTCTCTTCTTCAAGGCTTTTCCTAGTGAGCTTTTGGTTTCTCCTGCTAGTCCCACATTTCAATCCCTCTAATCTTTCTTTCACTCCCTACCCTGCAGCATCAATACAGCCATTTCCTACTTTCTGAACCCTTTTCTCATGCAGATTCCTTTGCCTTGAATGCCATTCACCTGAACTTCAATGCCAGCCTCTTTAGGAAGTTTTTTTTAGGGTGTTTTGAGATGACTGACTGTAGGCAAATTTCCAATTCTGTCATCCAAGCTCTTCACACGGTTTGGGGTTCATTTTGCATCTTGAATGCTATATGGAAATCACTCACTGAGAAGCGAACTCCCTGGTGTATCCTTATTTGAAAATAAGCTCTATCTGCTTTAAAAGTTTGCAATTTTGGATTAATGATCTTACACAAAACCTTGCAAAGTCCTACAGGAGAATCCAGAATGGAGCCTTAGGAAGGTTCATTGCTGCGGGCCACCTGAATCTGGGCTTTTTTTTTTTTTTTTTTAGTACGTTCTTATGGTTTTCTTTTCTCATTTAGGGCTGGTCAGTTACCCAGCTACACTTTTGATAACATGAAATTCCCAAATCTGATGTCCTCTTGGATTCACGACTCCAGCCGACATGCTACTTTCATTCTAGATATGCACAAACATTAACAAAGTGATTATCCTTTTAATAAGAATGGGCAATATAAACCAAGTTTGAAAATATTATTCTCTATAATCAAATAAATCAAATTCAGTGAGACAATAATTTTTATGTGCCTACTACTCAGGGCTTGAAATATTCTAGGCTGAGTGGATGAGGTAATTAAAGTGCTGCATAGGAAATATAATGGCATACCTTTTTCTCCCATTCACAGAGCAGATTCTAAACTGAAAGACTGCTTCCAACTATAGACCATGGACTAAAATTTCCCTCCTTTGCAAAGATGGGAGGGATGCAGACTGCAGAATTCTAAGGACTCAGATTTAGAGAGAAAGGAGGCAAAACTGCATTGCTGATGGCAGGAGGAAAATAACACATGAAATACTTTTGCAGAGCATCTGGAGGGAACAGAACTTCCCCTGTGATGAAAATGAACCTCTGGGAATTTTCTCAGCCCAAGAGTTACCATTAAGTGTTAACAAAGCCATGACAGGAAGAAGTGAACTTCCCAGCATAAATCAGCTGGTTCAAGAGTGACTTGCCCCAGAGAGGAGGAGGAGAAGCAGATCCAGACTGAATCAGAATAGATACCCTTCTCTTATCAATAATTGCTTATGGCTTTTCATCAGTTTCTCAGTGAGGGAATGAAAGACAGAATCACAGAACTTATCTGATCACTGGTGGTAGTGGTAAAGAATCTGCCGATGCAGGAGATGCAACAGGTGTGGGTTTGGTCCCTGGGTCAGGAAGATTCCCCTGGAGAAGGAAATGGCAACCCACTCCAGTATTCTTGCCTGGGAAATCTCATGGACAGAGGAGCCTGGTGGCCACAGTCCACGGGGTCACAAAGGAACACCACTGAGCACACGCGCACACACACACACCTGATCATCTCCTGCCTGTTGAGTGCCTCCACTTGGAGCAGCCGGTCATGGCCCTGGCTGTACCTTAGAAACACCTGGGGAGATTCTTTTTTAATGAGTTCTCTTAAAAATATTTATTTTATGATAAAACGCACATGAAATTCACCATCTTAACTATTTTAAAGCATACAGTTCAGTAGTCCTAAGTACACTCACACTGCTACACACCCCATTTCTAAAACTCTTCTCAGCTTATAAAACTGAAACTCTGTTCCCATTATTAACCTGTCACCCCCTGTCCCCCAGCCCCGTTCTACTTTCTGGCTCTATTGAAATGGGCTACTCTAGGCATTTCACGTAAGTACAATCATGTGGTAGCTGTCTTTGTGACTCTTATTTCACTTAGCATAATGCCTTCGAGGGGCATCCATGTTATAGCATGTGTCAGAATCTCCTTCCTTCTTAAAGCTGAATGATGTTTCACTGTTTGTACCTAGGGAGATTTTTTTTTTTTAAACAGTCAAGGCTCAGGTTCATCTTGGACCAATTCAATCAGAATTGCTGGGGGTGGGATCCAGGCATCAGTGTGTTTATGATGCTCCCCAGAGGATTCTATATATGTAGCCAGTGATGAATGCCATCTTGAATGCCATATGGAAATCACTTACTGAGAAGTATACTTACTGTGGCATACTTATTTGGAAATAAACTCTATCTAAACATCTAAAACCAAAACATCTAAAACTCATTATTTAGTCCCATATACAGGCTTGCCTCTTGAATTCCATTCTCAGAGAATTGTTAAGCCTGGGGAGCTTTAACAACCCCACTGCCCGTAATATTCCACACAAATTAAATCAGAATATATGATGACACAAATAGATGGATAAAGATACATTATGTTCTTGATTTGGAACAATCAATATTGTCAAAATGACTATATTGCCAAAGGAAATCTACAGATTCAATACACTCCCTATCAAATTACTAATGGCATTTTTCACAAAACATTTTAAATTTGTATGGAAACACAAAGACCCCAAATAGCCAAAGCATTCCTGAGGAAGAAAAACAGCTAGAGAAATCAGACTGTCTGACTTCAGACTACACCACAAAGCTATAGACATCAAAACAGTATTGTACGGGCACAAAAACAGAAATATAGATCAATGGATAGGATATAAAGCCCAGAAATAAGCCCAGACCCCTACAGTCAATTAATCTGTGACATAGGAAGCAAGAATATACAATGGAGAAATGACAATATCTTCATTCAGTGGTGCTGGGAAAATTGGACACTTACATGTAAAAGAATGAAATTAGAACATTCTCTAATACCATACACAAAAATAAACTCAAAATGGATTAAAGACCTAAATGTAAGGCCAGAACCTATAAAACTCATAAAAGAAAACAGGTGGAACATTCTTTGACATAAATTACAGCAAGATGTTTTTCAATCCACATCCTAGAGTAATGAAAATAAAAACAAAATCAACAAATGTGACCCAATCAAATTTAAAAACTTTTACACAGTGAAGGAAACCATAAACAAAACAAAAAGATAACCCATGGAATGGGAGAAAATATTTGCAAATGAAGTCACCAACAAAGGATTAACCTCCACAATATACAAACAGCTCATGCAGCTGTACATCCAAAACACCCAGATGACCCAGTCAAAAGATGGGCAGAAAATCTAGACATTTCTCCATAGATGACATACAGGTGGCCAAAAATCACATGAAAATATGTTCAACATCACTGATTATTAGAGAAATGCAAATCAAAACTACAACGAGGTATCATCTCATACCCGTCAGAATGGCCATAATCAAAAAGTCTACAAAGGATAAATGTTGGAGAGGGTATGGAGAAAAGGGAAACCTTCTAAAAGGTGGAAACACCAACTGGTGCAGCCATTATGGGAAGCACTGTATAGAGGTTTCTTTAAAAACTAAAAATTGAACTACAATATGATCCAGCAATCTTATGCCTTGGCATATATCTGCAGAAAACCATAATTAGAAAAGACACATGCACCCCAATGTTCACTGAAGCACTATTTACAATAGGGAAGACATAGAAGCAATCTAAATGTCCACTGACAGATGAATGGATACAGATGTGTTATATATATATGAGAAAATGTTACTCAGTTACAAAAATGAACATAATAATGCCACTTGCAGTGACATGGAT